ACAGAAGGAAAAAAAATATTTTTCATACATTCATATATGTAGTTATATATGTGAATGTATAATTAATATTCAATAGTCATGTGAACCAAATACACCGAGTTTATATTATTTAATCTTAAAGTGGTTGTAACCCTACTTGGGATATTTATATATGAGGTATGTATGAATGAGGGTGAACGTATAATAACATTTAGCAGTCTGGAAGTTTACGCTTCCGTTCGTACGTTTTTAAATACATCCTGATTATAGAAAGAATTACCTTTGTCCGTATTTCGTCAGTAGCACAGTATCGCGTTATTACTATTAGGAAATCATCGTTATTATGTATTTAATTATTTCTTTAAGTGCTCTACTCTACTTACTTAAGTATGAATTACATCTATCTAATATTAATTTATCTGTAGAATTATTGTCTGAAAAATAAAACATAGTAATATAAAATACAATACTATCTACTACTTTCACACGTGATCTATACGTATACATATAGGTATACCCAAAAATATTTTTTTTATATATTTTATTTTAGTGTGATGCTACAATATTTAATAATACTTTTTTTATCAGAAAGGTTGTTGGTTATACAACTATCAACTATTTAGTATAAATAATAATAGAATCTAATACACTAATAACAAACTAAAATAAATATGAGTATTTTAAATAATTTCGTTACGATTGTATGCTAAAATTTCCATGATTTATACCTAGTATAAATTCCTGCTGCATGATTTTGAATATTTGTGAATAATTTTTGTGTATTTATCATCAAAACTCAATTTAACATCAAAACTCATGACGATACTAAATTTTGAGGTAATGAAGATATTGCACCTAGTCATTTATATGGAGGATTTAAAACAGATTACAGGCAGGTATAAATAAAACTTATAATATGTGGTTTATTTATGTGAACTGCGGTAAAGTTGCCTCATAAGTGCATTGGACGTGTTCCAAGTATTACACCTATTTCTGCCGCTGAGCAGTTTTTTTTTTTTGTAAACTGTGTTCCGGTTTGAAGAAGTGTCAGTTTGAGTAGTAAAATCACAGAATACGCAGTCACGTTAGTCCTCAGGAATAGCAAAGTATAAGTTGTAATACGATCTACATGAACTACTGAATATATTTTTTTTATTTTCCTATACTAATTTTATTTTAGTATGATACACATTATTTCTATTGATATCTAAGATAAAGGCATCACGAGTGAATCATTTCATGTCGTATATCATTTGCCCTTTCCGGATGAATAGCATACCTACACCATTACAAACTGTTTTCCAATAAATTGTCTCTTAAATAACTTGTAATAGGTGTACAATTATTTATTGCACTGTACTTTCATATTTTAAGGTATCATAACATTATTATCCTAGTAAAAATATTCTTCTCGCCTACTTGTTGTTATTATATATTTTACTAGAATTTAATCTAAGTAATTGAAATTTTATAAACCTAACAACACAATTCCTTCATTGTTTAACGTATCTATTCATAGTTTAATAAGAATAGATAAACCAGTTAGCCATGCACAGATGCATTACGTTGAGCATTGATTTTATCGTTTCCAACTTCAGTCTGCAGTGTACTACTGCATATACTCCGCAGTGTTATCTAGTAATACTTACATACCTACTTATGTGTAAATAACTATAACATATAATTAAATAAGAATGCTGTCCCAATACTCCATAAATTTAGAAAATTATTTATCAAAACAAATAAAGTATGTTTTTTTAATCTCGAAGATACGGGAAATGGATTATAATTACAGATTGCATCGGTACATTAGCATCATAATTCTTATACACTATACATTAGATTGATACTATCTTTATTACAAATAAAAATAAATCAACAGTTTTAAAGAAAGGACGATTTCCTAAAAACAAACATGTTTTAAATTCTCTCACAAGGGTTCAAATGTATGTACTCGCAGGACTACGTCGAATTTGTCTCGCATTTGATGCGGACTTCCTTTCATAAGGACCTTTGCCCGATTAATGTTTTGTAGGAAGGAAGTTATCACATGTTCATTGTCATATCAGCAGGATGCTGAGTAATATACTATTTGGGTTTATTGCTGTTTTATATAAATTTCAATATTTATTTTATCAGCAATTATTACAAATGCTGTTGTTACTTTATTATTGTCAGACATATGTATATTTACTGTTTATACATTTATTTATTTGTCTGGAAAAATAAATCTCAATAATATTATATTTTTTATCAATATGTTTGATTGAACTTTTGTTTTTGTATTCAATGTTAACAATTTATTATGTTGTTTGTCTTATTTAGTTTTTTAATGTTATTTACCGACTACTTTATACGAATGTCATTAGGTACGTGATTACGTATTTACTCAGCCACGCTTAAAGAACAGATATGAATGTTTAAATAACAGTATTTGAATTGCTCAGACAAAATTAGATAAAGATAATACAAAAATAAAAACTCAAATATAGTTATCATCCATACACCTAAATATTTATGGAGAAGACCAGTCGCAAACTTCACAGTGTAGGATTATCACATAAAGATAAATGATTACCATTATCGGTGTTGTACATTTATAAAACCGGACTCCTTAGCGTTTGATATTTAAACAGACAATTAATATCGAAACAAAAAAACAAATTAATTAGACAGCATTACAGGCGCTTTGTTTATTTTACGTATCTATATAGGTATTTTACTTAGATAAACTGTTCTAGTTCAAAATAATTTTTCAATTCGAATTTTTAGATTATTTTTTAAATTACACTTCTGTTACTTCTATGATATGATCGTAATGCTATGTAAAAATTTTTATTATACAGTTAATAGCTACAATTATTTTATATTACTTGAATTAAAATAAATAAAATATTACTATCTCGTTCAGTAGGTACGTCCAGTCAATTCATAGCCAATGTCACTAAAAGGTTCATATTATGTTGTTTGCCCACATACGCCTACCACTAACTGAATACAAATTAACACCTGGTTGGTAAATTGGTCACAAGGGTTAACTATGACTCACTATTGAATTGACACATAAACTCATAAAACTACATATATACCTACTTGTTTATAGTATGGATGATTCATATTGTAGTAAGTATTAATGTATGAGAAATTAATTGAGTTCTAAGTTATCTATGATTAATTTCCGTTTTATTAGTTCCTATTAACGTCATTTCATGACTCCATGGTTCTTTTATATATATATGGTACTGAGTTCAAATGATAGTAGTATGGTATCAGTTTTCTATGAAAACTGCGTAATTTTTTTGATTATATTCTAATAAAAGGACTTGAGAAAGTATACTTGCTTACGCATGATAAAATAGACGATGTAATTAAATGAGAATCATAGGTTCCATAGATAACTAAATGTACCCATACAATGTAATTATAATAATAAAGATAATATAAATATTATATAGAGATAACAAATAATAAATATTGAGACAACAGCTCTACATATTACTTTTCTGTTGTATAACTTACTGGTATCAATTGTAGGAATTATACGGCGTTTGCAAGAAAAAATTAATGTCCTCAACAAACATATTCCATTGTTCAGTCGATATATTAGTAATTTATTCATTCAGTCAGCACCCAAACAATGCTATTATTTACATTGATTGTAGAAAATAAGATACGTATACCACTACTAATAAGATCATTAGAATGAGAACAATAATAACACAAAATATAAACGTGTATATAAATTACATTATTTGGCTCTTTGTTGTATATGTTGTTGTCAATCTAATCTTATGTTAACGAAGTGTTACAGACAAAATGTCGAGAAATAACAACTAAATTCATGAGTTTTCGTTTACATTAAATGATCTACATTGCTTCATGAAGTACCACTAAAAGATATACATATAGTAAAAGGAGAATTCTTTCTTATTTATGATTAAGTATTTCATGTGTTGATAGCATCAGAATATTTTAAATACATATTTTAGTCTAATAAGGTAGTTATTAGAATTTATAGATCAGAGATCGTTGAACGGAATAACGAATATCAATTAGAAAATGTTCAAACTATACAAGTATCGTGTGAATTATAAATTAACGTCATATTATGTAAATGAAAGTAGCGTTCAAGTAAATTATTCTCGTAACTTCGTAAGCATATCGTGTCTCCTATTCATTTTTGTCTCCCACGACGATCCGCAGCGATTCAGCGATGTCATTTCACCTAATAAATTCTGTTTAGTTATGTTATAACTAAATATTACGTTACATTGCGTTTAAGCTGTGGAGTGAATTCACTAATTTGTTAAACTTTCACTAATGTACTGGGTACAACTACCCGCGTTTAACGAATTATGCTAATCATAAATTGTTTGTGGCATACAGCATAATATTATAAATATACATTAATTAAAATATTTGTTAACACATTTATTATTTATTCACATTTAAATGTTTTCCTTCTATTTAAAATACGTAGGTTTTTAATTAACATATACACCATACAGCTAAATATTTCCATCTTCAATTTTCTTGAATAATGTATAACTGTCCCAAATCACATTCAATAAATTAACTTGTAAATTGTTTTATTCGTAAAACTGCGAAATGAAGACTTCTTTTTACTTTGTATAAACTATGAAAACCAATAGGTTACTGTAGGTCCCAAAAACACAAGAATTAAGTATTAAAATCCTAGATATAAACATTTTGGGTTCAACTTGAGATATAACAAGAGTTATGAACCAGAACTTAATTTTAAAATAGTTATATATACCTAAAAAAAAACATAATCGTAAGTAGCTAGTCCTGTGCAAACTAATACAACGGCTATGTTAATTCTGTTATAACTTACATGTTATTAAATTAATGGACAACTAAAATGACAATTATTAATATTATTATTTAAACACCCCTAAAAAACGTTACTCGTTAATAATATAAATAAATTGAAGTATTAAAACTTTGCGAAGGTAGTGACGTAGTACCTAGTAGGTACCTGCATGATACAATTCACTTACTTGTTAAAGGTCACCTCGTATTGTTTTATTTCCTTTCTGGAGAACTCATGAAACTCTGTGTAGACATTAACGAATTTATATTGCGGTTTAATCTCCAGCCCTTCTTCGAGTTTCTCATTGATTTCTTGCCTCCTTGATAGGATACCGCTAAGTTCATCTGTAGCCGCCATCGTGAAGATTTGCGCGGGAATTTAATATATTTCTTCGAATGAAATCCGTGACCGATAGTGCGAGAGGCAGTCCGCGCTACGACCTTTGCGATACTGGTAGTCTGGCCGGTCCGCAGCCACTCAGTGCCTTCGCACTCCGCGCGCGCTCCCTCGCGGCCGCGCTGTAATCATGTCGCGGGGGACGCCGCCGCGCCGCGAATGAATCGACGTAAATAATACATACTTACATACTATGCACGTAATCTTACCGCAATGTCACGGAGAAGTCCGTTCACCCAACATAAAGAAGGAAAGAATTTTGTTTCAGAGGAATGTATTATGGATATAGGCATTGTACCAGTAACTGTAAATATATACTTCGTTAGTTTTATAAAATGTATATTTCTTTATTTCTTCCAAAAAGTATACAACCCCAAAAATCTACATGTATCATTAAAATATATAAATCATATTAGAATCTCTAGCTGAGAATGCTAGAAATTAATCAGTAAAGAAAAAAACAAATCTTGTGGCAACAACTCAACAAGATACTATTTCATATTAAGCGCTAATGGATATATGTAGTTCCAAACTTATCTTAGTTTGCAACGCAAATATACCTACTAATAACACAAAGCTACTATATAAAATGGGTGAAAATCAATGAGCGCAATATTTACCTAATTTCAGTATTTTTAAGATTTTTTTTATAATTAGGTATAGGTACTTACTTATTCACAATGTTTTGAATTTGTTTAAATTGCACATGCTCTCATAAAGGGTAGTGTAGTAGTACTCCAACCACACTCAATCCTTCATTATCATTATCATCATTACCATCATCATTATTATTATTATTACACAGTATAAAACAAAAGTCGCCGTCGCTGTCTACCCTACATATGCTTAAATCTTTAAAACAACGGATTTTGAAGCGGTTTTTTTTAATAAATAGAGTTATTCAAGAGGAAGGTTTATATATATATTTATATATAATATAATATATGTACACCCGTGCGAAGCCGAGGCGAGTAGCTAGTAATGTTATAAATGTAATTGATGAATTAAAGTAGGGATGCTGTTACGCTTTCACGCAAAAACTAATAAACCGACCATCATGAAATTTTGTACACATATTTTTGGAGGTATTTGAATAAACATAGGATACTTTTTATTAAAAAAAAACAAATACCACCACTACGTACCACCGAAATTGTAGAATTTCGTGCAATCAAAATAATTTGGGAAGTGTTCGTTGTGCCGAAAATTCTTGGCGTACATCATATTACACACAACTATTGATTGCGATCTCTAGTGTCTGGTTAATGCCTATAGTTCAGAAACAATTCCTGTATGAGCTGTTAATATAGAATTGTACAAATATATACAGGCTGTCCCGACGATAAATCGGAATGCAGTTGAATCAGTAGATAGTACAAGTCATCACAGCTATCATAAAAATAAATCTTGACCCGGGCCACAGGGTCAATATTTATTTTATTTAGAATTTACACATTTATTTTTGCCGACGACAATTTTAGACGTTCAGTTAAACTATGTAATATTATTTGATGATAATAATAATATTAATCTAAGGATATAATATTAACCTACGATATCATACATTCTGCTAAACCATAAAAACTAACAGGTTTGTTGATACACCAAAGTTTGAAAACACACAAATTGAGTTTTAGTTATCAGTGTAAAATATTCATTAAAAAATACATAATGATGTCTCCATGAAGTGAATAACTTATACTTCAAATAAATTGATGTTCAGTAGAATTTTTACTGGAGTCGAGTTGTCGTAAAAACATATGAATGTGGTAATCACCCACACACGAATACATATATACTCGCAGTATTAGCATTGTGTTGCGCAAATCAACAGACCAAATTTAAACGCGAACGATTCAGATGAATTAGAAAGAATGTCAAGTGGTGTTCTTGAATACTTAATGCATGAAACTCAAATGTTACTGAATTGTAAAAGACTACGTATATCATAGAATTCTGTAGATACTACCGAAAACTAAATATATCTTCCTGCGACACAATTTAAATTACATCCTGATTATATCTTTTTAGAAGTTATGTTACCTGAGACACATTCAAAAATAGATTTAAACTAGAAAAACTCTATTGTATAAAAGAACCATTTACAGTATTTAACATGTCGAGTCAGTGACGACAACTTTAGCAGGCCATAGTTCATGAGATTCAATTTGCTAAATATATTGAAGAGATTGAATATGTTAAAAATATGTACTTTTTACAAGGCGCAGTCAGTAACGACAACTTTAGCACTTCCTACTTCATCTAGAATATGTTAAAAATATGTATATATCTACTATACTAACAAGGCGCAATATATTTATTAAATTAATATATACCTTAATCTACAATTTATAGGCTTCCAAGACAGAAAAATATTCTGCATATTAAATTTGTATGACTGTTTTCTATAGGCTAATCTAATAGATTAAACCGTATTATTATAATAATACGTTTATGTAAATAAGTATATACAATTTTGAACGCAACTATACCCAGCATAGAAATTATATGCATTAGATATGTAATATATTTTTTCTATATATTTCGTTTAAGGACAAATTGAACTGCAATGCGCCTGTTCATTTTATTGCCAAGTAGTAGAGACCTTTCGTGAGAGAAGCACTTCGCGTATGGAGTACAGTCAAAGGAGCATGGTTTTTATAGCCCTTTAGGATGACTCTTCTGCTTGCGTTAATAATATAAACTGGCTACCAACGAAGCATTCTTTGCACCAAATGCATTCTTTTGGATGATGCCAGAGTTGATCTGGAATTAAATTATTTTTTCTTTTACGGTACTGCACCTCTACCAACGCTATACTGCATGGGCAACTCATGTCATCGGCACTGGGGCCACGTTGAGAAAAAAGTAGACTCAGAATGAAGTGATCAGACAGACCTGAGGTTAGTTAGCCTATTCTGCCTTTTTAAATCGAACCCCAGGCTACAAAACTATCCAGCAAATGTTTTATTGTTAGAGAATCCTTGTTATGTGTTATTTTAAGATAACATACTAAAAACACCGGCTATCATATGTACTACATTCATAATTTCTGTGACAATTGGAGTAAATACTTATGCAAGTAAATATCAGCTCTCGAGTAAAACATAATGTTTCAGCATAATTTCAAATAATTGTGAAACTAAAACCAGTTACGAGACAAAATATTTTCCCATGAATTTGTATAATCGTTTTTAATTAGGTATACACAGCACACTAAGTATATATTTAGATGGATGTATTCATTTATGGTCACATAACAAATTATTTTAAACTACTCGTTTTGTTCAGCAGTACAGACGCTCCATTTGAAAATAAAATGACAGATCCTCTCCTCTTGGATGGAATTCATCAAAGGTATTTTTTTTCTTACAATTTTTTTTACAGTTTATATTATGTTCTTCCGTCTGTCTATTTAATTTTATTTATTTTGTGGAATTAAAGACATAGTTTTAAATTATATTAATCGTTCTGTTTGTATTTTGTTGCCATTATGTATCATTATTTTATTATCTGCAGTACCTATGACTGACTGGTAGAAAATGCGGCCAAATGTATAGTACACTAGCTGACCCGCGCAACTTCGTCTGCGTTTCATTTCCCCACCTTTTGCAATATTTTTCAATGCAGCTCAGCTCCTATTGGTCTTAACGTAATGTTATATAGCTTAAAGCCTTCCTCAACAAATGGACTATCGAACACAAAAAAATTCAATTCAAACCAGTAGTTCCTGAGATTAGCGTGTTCAAACAAACAAACATACATTGAGTTTTATAATATTATATTAGTACAGATATGACGTGATATATACAGATGACGCTTACAACTTACCATCCGTTTATTTACCATATATTTAGCTATCCGCCCGCGGCTTCGCCCGCGTGGACATAGAATATGTAGGTTATCGGTCGTTTAAAGATCCGTGTTCAGTAGTGGGACATTATATATCTTAAACCTTCATCTTGAGTCACTCTATCTATTTTGTCTTTTAAACAAAAACGCATCTAAATCCGCTTTTTAAGATCAAAACATACATAGGTCTATTACATAGAAGATATTTTAACCGGAAATTGAAGCCATTTAAATGGTATTTGCAGATCAGTTGGGGTCATATATATTCTTGGTAAATGAGCTAGTTGCCCGGCTGCCGTTTTACTTTATGGGTTTACATTTCACAAAATCATGATTGACTCATGCTTTTGAGAAATTCAGATTTTTGACGTCAAATCGTATGGTAGCAGTCCAAAAGGTTTTAGTAAAAATTCCTTTGGATAATGAACTGCGTTTTCGATATTAGTCACGTTGTAATTTTTTATTTGTCCGGGGACTTTTTGAATAACAGATTATTTTGTAGATCATATTTCGAATCATATTTCGTAGATTTCGCCCTAGATCACATACACTCATAAAATCCAATACGCCAATAAAAGCCTTTTTCTAGCATCTATCAAAATTTCTAAATTTTGGATGATTTGACCTAGGATCCAGAAAGATATCTCAATTTCTGTTTAAATTAAGAGTGGGAAAAATTCCTTCCCCAAGTTTGAGCAGTTGTTGTGGGAAATCACTGTCTGTGATTCCATGATGAGCTCTCGAGACTCATATTCTTAAACTTTCAATTAAAGTTCATAAGGGAGACGATGTTAATGACAGGGAGAGTCTGTCACAAATCTCCAATAAATACAAAAGTAATCCCGCCCATGAGAGCAGTGCCGTTTCTAAGATATTTTAAGGTTATATCCAAAGCCTCTTTGGCTCATGGTGCATTTATCCCACGTAATCAATGAGGCATCTTATAATAATTTATCAAGAGAGTCTATTTTCTGGATATAACATGAAGATTGTTGCTCAAATTTACGGATAGCGGAAGCTTAAAAATAGAATGAGCAGTTTTCCATCCTTTAAGAGAACTGCAGCAATTCCTGACGATGCAACTGCTATCGCTACCACCCCGATTGTATTATCTTAATAAGTATCCCCTTACTTGTGTACCCGTACCCCAGTGACGCCCCTACATCGCATTTGGTTTATAGCTAACAGAGGAGTAGATTTTTTCTAATACTTGCATTGTTAACTACGTGATATCTTTCGAATGGAATGTCCGAATGGAAAAATTCAAAAAGTTATATACAGGTATTGAAGCAGTCGTTAATATGAGGTAATTTATGATTAATACCAAGATAGAAAATAAAGATAATTTCCAGCGGAGGCGTTTCAATTAAATTTATAAACAAAAAAATACTTATGTCAGTATACATACGTCAGTAAAAGTGATAGATAGACACATGCCGTCGCGACACTTTTTATGGATAATGATATGCTCTACAAAAAAAAAATTAGGGATCCTTACCAAATCTCCAATAATGTAACCCAAGGTGTAAAAAAAATACAAAATGATGTACTACAAGTACATCATTTTCTTCTATCATCAATAGTTTTCGCAGCGCATGCGGTGTTAGGTATTTTTTGTGCAATTTTATTACACCTTGGGTTACATTATTGGAGATTTCGTAAGGATCCCTAATTTTTTTGGAAATATAATATAGCCTATGACATTCACGGATAGTGTAGCTTCCTAATAGTGAAAGAATTTTTCAAATCGGTCCAGTAGTTTCGGAGCCTATTCAATACAAACAAACAAACAAACTTTTCCTCTTTATAATATTAGTATGATTTGGCCGCATTTTCTACTTTTTTTACTTTTGTATTATATTAAAGTTAAACAAATTAATTTATCTATTCCGGTTTGTTTGGAGATATTACATTTTTTATGTTCCTAAAATATATCATCCGTAAAAACATATGATGTATATTTCACAATATTATTTGATTCTTATATGACCTTATGTATAAAGTCATATAATACTGCTATATTCTTATGTAATATATACGTATGTCAGTAAGCTAATTTGATGATGATGACAGAAAATTATGAATTTTGACAACTTTTTGAAAAACTGTTCACTTCGATAACCTAATTAAGATGTAAAATATGTTTGTTTGAAATATTTTTTTATTATACAGCAATTTGTGGTATATACATACATACATATTATATAAAGCTTTAGACTTAAAGAGGAATCTCTTTCAATCGTTAACCGTTGAGTTATGGATGTTTAAAGTTGTGGAGCGGTTTTATTTAAAATACTGAACTGTCTTATTTTTTTTTATATTGAAAAAAATAAATAAAGATAATTCAAACCTATACCTATTGACGTAATTATAAGCACTGTGTATTGTGTATCTATAAGATCACCCATAGTTAATTTAAAAGCCGGTTAAATTTTACATAAATAGGTAGATATACTTTTCTATTATTAATATTTATTTCATGACACATCCATATCAAACACTGAGCTATATATACATTAAATATTTAGCTGTATACGTGAGTAAGATATCACATGTGAGCTGTAAAAGATGACAACAAATAATAATAATTATGATAAGCTGTTCTGATTTTCACACAACCCCATTTAATCTACACATATAAATAAAATTGTCTGTTTGTAATATTGATATAACCGTTTTTTACTACATGCATATGCATATAAATAAGGTACTAAAATATCATTTTTTACAATTTTTGTCTGTCTGTTTGTTCCGGCTAATCTCTAAAATGGCTGGACCGATTTTGACGGGACTTTTTTTTAGCAGGTAGCTGATGTAAAAAGTAGCAACTTAGGCTACTTTTATTTTAGAAAAATAAAGTTAAATTCCGCGCCGACGAAGTCGCGGGAATAACAAGTCCTAAAATAAGCAGAGTTTGTATTGCGGCACTCACTTGTGGTAACTAGGTACTTACTAAATATTAAAATATATCATTTTTGCAAATATACACAGAAAATAACCACAGTAATAGTATTAATCATACCTACTCATCATGTTTGTACTGTCCAAATATCGAACCTGCGACTATTGGAAGTAAGGTGGTGCCGGTGTGGTAATCACCACCAAGGTTATATAGTACAAATAAAAAATCCAACCCTTTTTGTCAATATGACGAAAATAGAAATTCAATGCCTACAATATAATAATATTATTGTTGTAGGTAATTTTAGTCACTTTAATAATGACCTACGTTCACAATAAAATAAACTACACATATACCTACGATCTAGTATCTATGTATTTGTATAGCCAACCTATGTTATAATGGTTATATGGTACATAAACACAATGAAAACATAGGTAGTTATACTTTCATTTATTTTTAATGTCTATGCTTCAAGATAATACAACAATATCGGATCAATGTCGTATTTGTTTTTAGGTAATTTTAACGGCAATTTGATTTTATTTGTATTAATTGCTATGCTTTATTTTATTAATAACCAAATTAATTTTCTTTTATTATTCATAGCATATTCGTTTTATAATATAATTAGATACAGACAACGGTAGAACAAAATAAGTAACAAATACACGCATTATATCTAATTAAATTAATAATTCCTTTAACACACCTACTACCTATATTTTTGTGGATTGCGTAGACAATAACATAATACAATACGACTATGTGTATGCAATTTGTGTGAATTTTAATTTCGTAATTGACACATGTAGTCCTCTGGGTGTCATAGTAGTCCAGGAGTCGATAGTAAATCATTTATATTGCTATAAAACCAGAAAAATAATATGTATGTACTGTCTGTATAATTAAGATTAACTACTAAAATATAATTAAGATTAAGTAATAAATACAACCTAGGTAACGGATATGACTTAAACTGGAATTAAATACTCACCAGAAAATCGTTAGTTATTTCATGTAAGACTGTTTAATTTATGTGTTTAATTTATGTGCGACTGTATAATTTATTTTTGTTTTTTATTTATGTTTTTTTTTTAAATATTTACTTAATTTTAAAATTAAATGTAAAAATTAATAATAGGGTCTACTTGTCTGTTACTGAACTGTGTTATAGTGAAACACAGACAGATCCTGCAAAATATACATATGTAGTTAAAATAGTGTAAGTGTCTTTTTAATACTGTGAAAATATTTTTAGGTAGGTACATATATACAGGTACGTATACAATTGTTATAAATTTGTAAATATTGTTTGTTACATTATTTAGTATGGTTGAGTCTGGATCTTTTAAAAAAGAACATATACCTGAACATACCACAATATAGCGAATTCAGAATCTTCAGTTCTTGGATAGATTTGTGGTTTACAACAATTTACGTTATGCGTACGGCTCTCTAACTATAATGGCGATTTACTCTTTTTTAACCAAGCCTAAATTACCAACAAAGCTTTTTGGGCCGTCACCCAGTCCAGTCACTTGAAACATGAGACGTCACTCTAGGTAAGTGTCGTAAAAAATGCTTTAAAAAAAACTTCATTCAAGATAACTAAATACTTTATTACATTGTAGAGCTGAAAGCATTGAGAAACCGCCAGAAAGTGATTGGAATAGTCGGCATGAGGTAAAAGTTAAAAGGAAACCCAATTTTCTTAAAGATTATCTGATTGATTACACATCAAATTCAAATCTTCATGGTCTCAAATATATTGGAGAGAAGCAGAGAACTTCACTTGAAAGGTGGGACAAAGATTGATATAAGAACTAACTTTTAACAAGTTCATTTATGTATTATGTCATAGGTATATCAATTATTATTTTTTAAATATTTGAAAAACACAAAAACAAAATGAAGATTTAGAATTTCGCAAACCTTCACAAGCTTCTAAAATAATAAGCAGTAATAAACAACATAATAATCTATCCTACTTTGTTTCCTATTTCGCACAACAACTATTGTAAATTGAAACACCTCTAATGAGTACACAAGTAGGTATCATTAAATAGATAGTAACGTAGCAAGATATATTTTTTTATTACCAATAAGCAACAATTTTGTAGGGTTTTCTGGCTGTTCATATTTACTTGCTGCGTGGTACTTTGTGCTGGTTTAATAAGAAAAGTGTGGATAAAATGGAATGTGAGTCCAGTCATAGTCAGCTTTGCAGAATCATCCACCCCAGTGTGGCAGGTACGTTGCTGATAACATTATGGCTACTAATTAAATTATGTTATTAAGTAACAGTAATTTAATAGCATATACTGGTGGTTACAGTATTCACCCCTTTAAAGTGTAGGTAATCAGTTTTATTTTTAAAGAGATTATGTATATTTTAAATTATACCTTAAAAAATTATTATCAATGGATAGACTCCATTTCACGGTATTGCCGAGCTATTTAGGATAAGATACATTGTGAGGTAAGTTTTGTCTACTAAATTGTTCAGTCGTTGAACATTGCAGAATCACGTTTGACTCAATCCAAAATCATTATAATTTTTGACACAAGAGCCAAAATATTATAATAATCAGGAGTGGCAATACAAATAATAATATTAAACAATGTAACAAAAGAATATGATCATTGAGATTATTATTCTTCCAGATACCATATCCAGCTGTGACAGTCTGCTTGGAAACAAAAGCTAAACAGTCCGTGTTCAATTTTACAGAATATTATCACCTTTATAATGATTCCGGTACACGTGAAAACCTAACTACTTACGAGTAAGTCTCAAAAATTGTCTTATTATAGAAATTAAATTCTAATTTTAAAAATACAGATGACCTTATACAGTAAAGTTAATAAAAATTACGTGCAATGCTTTTTTTTAAGATCTTGGGGGTCTAACAGTTTAGCTCACCTTATTACATTCGATGGTCGCGGGTCCGAATCCTTGAACATTTTAAACATTTGTATGAGTATGTGTATATTGATCTGGATGTTTTCTATGTATAAAAAAATCGAAGTTTCTATATTAGTTGTCTAGTGCTCATAACAGAAGCTCTGCTTAGCTTGATATTAGCGTTGTGTGTATTGTCCTGAGAAATTATTATATTTTTTATATAATTGGAATGGTAAATTCATTTCAATTTGAGATTTTTGATTATTATTTACCTATATTATTTAGTCCATACTAATATTATAAATGAAAAATAGACTGACAAACATCCATGTATCAAAGCATAATATATATTATGATACTTTGTTTATTGCTCAGAGCCGCAGTTCGAACACAATCCTCAAAACTCTAGGAAGTACATACCTATGTACTGAAATTCTCTTGACGTATTAATTATTGTAAAATTACGTTAACTGTCATTTCAAAATCAGCAGTCTGTAGTTTAAGATTCTTGCGGAAGTGGTTCGTTCTTTAAATAATTGCTACAAGAATAATAAGATAATGTATATCTACTTGTTTCAATTATTCTAGACGAAATATGTATGAAGACTTGACGCTTGTTTGTGATGATCATCTCGCTCCTGTTGGAGGAAGAAAATTTGGTTACGGCAATGACACTGTTGTAAACATAAAAGAGGTAAGTGTATACAAAAATGACAAAACTATAAACATCTTAGATCTGTAAATATATATACATATTAGTTGGGAAGTCATAATTACTTTTGAATAGTGCTTTTAATGCGACATCCGTGATGTTATTCATGTGATCCGTGATGTCCGTGATTCAGCTAAGACGATTTGACAGGAAACTACTTCTACTCTTTTAAATGCTACTACTCTTTTAAACCAAAGGTATTATTCGTTTATATTTCAAATAATGGTATTTTAGCTATAAAGAAATAATAATTCTTTTCTAGGTGTCACCGAACATAACAGATACATTTTTTGGATGTAAGTGGAAAGATATCCCCAAAGAAACATGTTCGGATCTTTTCTCGCCTATACTCACAGAGGAAGGACTATGTTATACATTTAATAATTTAGGTGCTAATGAACTTTTCAGAATGGAAAAGTATGTAATTCAAATTAATTTTCACTACATGAGCGTTTTTTATTTTATTAGTACATTCCCTAATCTATTTCGTCTACAATATTTTTAATATATACAATATATAATAAGGTTACAAATTTGCTTCCACTTATGTTTATTTGTTTTTCTTTTAGTTGTTCAGTTTAAATAAAGTATTGTCCATGTTTATTTATAGTCATATTAGATTAATAAAATGTAAAATACATAAACAATAGAATATAATGTATTAGATCAAATTAAACATCTCAATATTGACATATAATAACTGTTACAGCATACATAAAGATTATCAATATCTTGAACATAAAAACCTAGCAAAATCTTGGTCTTTAGAAGATGGCTACGCACCGATGACTCCTATAGAAACATATCCCCATAGAGGATCTGTAAGTGTTACTTGTATTAGAATATTATTTTCTTCCTTGCTTATTAATCACTAAATACAATAAATAATTCATATATTTCTATCTAAAACTTGATGTTTTCGAATGTTGGTAAAATGAATAGTGTACACAGCCTCCAGACCTTATAGATACTTCGATTAGTAAACAATACAATTCAACGAAGTATACATTAATTTTGATTTAGTAGCTCTGAGACGATATTCTTGTTGCTTTTTAGGGATATGGTGCAAAAGCCGGATTGACATTCTTGATGAAATCAAAACAAATCGATTTGGATTTTCTTTGTAGAGGACCTGTACAAGGATTTAAGGTATGTAATATAAAATTAACTGACTGTCCTGTATGTTCAGCGTGGGGTTACCTGAAACTTTACATTTTTTGTATTCTTAGATTTTGCTGCATAACCCAGCGGAATTGCCTCGACTTTCACAACAGTATTTTCGGTCTCCATTATCGCAAGAAGTTGTCGTTGCTGTTAAACCGAAAATGATGACCACCTCTGAGGGTCTGAGGGCGTATGATCCCAGCAGGCAAGCACTTTTACCACACACCCAAAACACTAATATCTATACACTTTTCTACTATTCAACTCTACTCTACTATTCTCTACTATACTCTAACTATACTCTACTACTCTACTATTCAATCAATACCTAACTAGTATTATTTCTAATTAGTAGCTATTGGTTTTGATATCTATTCCTGCCCCTTGGTAGCTTCTCTACTACAAGTAGTTCCCAGCTTAAAATATAAACCATGACAGAAAAAGGGAGCGGAGAACTGCATGACGAAGCATTATGGGTGTCACAGTGTATTTGGTATATGTCAGATGTTATTGTGTATGTGTGTGTAATGATGTTGATATTGATATCTATAAGCAGTTATCGCTACTCATAGAGTAACCCACAAGGATTGCAAACGTTGTAATTCCGATATTATTATGTAATGTATCTTATTAATATTATGACAACGTGGGAATTTATGAGTGTGGCTGGATGGACGGATTTCACGCAAAAAGTACTTAATAAATTTTAATGAAACTTTAAAGTAATAGGTACCTATAGCTTGTGCATCAGAAGAACACATAGGCTATAGTGGGCGAAGCTTCGGGCACAGCAAGTATTTACATGTGAAAACTGTTAAGTATATGTAATTAACTAATTATTTATCCTCAGACGCCAGTGCTATTTTCCTAGCGAGAGATATCTCAATTATTTTAAAATCTATACTCAATCTAACTGTGAAATGGAGTGTTTAACAAACTTTACATATGCACGATGTGGCTGTGTTCATTTCGGAATGCCACGTAAGTATAATACATGTGCAACTTGTGAAATAAAGCGTGCCGTGCGAGAGTAGGCATTGTCTGAAATAAACAAATATTATTTTTAGACGGCCCGGAGATGAAGGTATGCAATGCTGGCAGCATGGCTTGCATCAAAAAAGTACAAAGTGAGTACAAATGGTTTCTTTAATATATATTTAATATTACAATATACAGACTTTTGAAGGTAAAAAGAACTATTGATTGCTTAATACGAATCATAATACGTTTATTTTCAAACTTTATACAATTTTTATATTAAAAAGTAGATGTTCCCGCGACATTGTCCGCGTGGAATTTAACTTCACTTTTCTAATTTTAGAAGTAGCCTAAGCTTTATTACATTAGCTACCGGCCAAAAAAAGGTCCAGCCATTTCAGAGATTAGCCGGAATAAGCAGACAGACACACAAAAATTGCAAAAAATGTTATTTTGGTGCATGTACCATATTTATATTAATATGCATGTAGTAAAAAACCGTTATTTCATATTACAAACATACACTCTAATTTTATTTATATGTATATGTATAGATAGTGTTGCCCCTGAAACGAAATAAAGTAATTTTTGAACAATAAAATCCTACAGTAATGGCTAATTTTTTTAAATATTAATGGGACTTGGACTTGGTCTTGAAATATTAATGCCCCTATTACTATCAACAAGACCCCACGCTCTGCATGGCATGCAGGGGTGCCATACATGGTAACCCTTGGCAACCATTACGGTTAATTTCTCTTATATTTGCCACTATAACCTGAATTCGTCCTATATATTTTAGAATTTAGGACTGTTTTTAAAGTATTTAAAGCTTCAATACGTATTGAATCAGTACAAATAGAAACGTCTGCTAATAAATGTGACAATGTAGAAATCGCTTCATACATTTTAGTGGAGCTCGTAGTGGCAGAAGTGGAAGCTGGTTTAGAGAAGACGTATGAACAGAACGATACAATTGGTGAGGCGAGAGAGATAGCCTCCCGCTGTAGATGTCTGCCAGCCTGCACCTCTATCGAGTACGAAGCGGAGACCTCCCAGGCAGACTATGATTGGAAAGCTATATTTAGAGCCTACAGATTAGATATACCAGCTGAAATGAATGAGTGAGTACTACGTTTCATGGAAAGTTTGTTCTATATTCATTTAATAGGAGAACTATATTCATGCAATAGAAATATATAATGGTTACAGTATGTAAAAATAAATGTAAAAATATTACCTACGCAAATTAAATAGGTATTTATAATATTTAATCTCCGCAACGTTTCAGTTTCAATATAAAGCTATCTAACAATAATAATTTAATTTCACTATTTTCGGTGTTATTGGTATTTAATTAGTCTAATATATATATAATTATTCTAATTTCAGCATGATGTATTCACGTGTAATGATTTTCTTCAAAGAGCCACAGTTCATAACATCGCGACGATCTGAACTCTACGGCCAGACGGACTTCCTTGCCAATTGTGGCGGTCTTCTTGGGCTTTTCATGGGTTTCTCTATTCTGAGCGTGATCGAAATTCTATACTTTTTTACATTGAGGTAAGTTTCGAGGCTAATTAAAATCATTGTGGTGAATTAAAATTTACATAGGGAATTATAGTCATGGTTCTTAATAAATAGGTAATTATAGTCCGAATGACACAAAAAACTAAAATTTCTTTCGTAATCTACTTTTTTATAAAAATTATAATGTATGCCGTACTAATACAACAAAAATTCATTATTTCAGACTATGGTGTGTTATTTGGAATCGTCGCCGTAATAAGAAAAATTGTTCCGATCTCCTCAAAGCTGCTGATGTGGCCGCAAAACCTGATAAGCAAAATTACTGCGATTAAACAAGTATCAACTTTTAATGTTAATACCTATTCCTCATTTGTTACTTTATGAAGTTATCCTAATATTCAATTACAATTATTGTTAGAAATAACGCATCATAAATTTTTAAAATTTCTTAAACATAGTATGTAAGATAAATTAGTCATATAAGTTTTCAATTATGCATGATCAATTTTAATCTCAATAAATTATCACCTAGTTTTATTCGATTTTTCTATTGATATTGTCCTTTAATTACGGTATTTCAACAAACTATTGATTGGTTCACTTACAATGATAGCCAAGGTCTGAGTATCACTGCAAGTAAAAATCATAAAAATAAAATAGGTATTTTAGTATCTTACCTTGCATTGTCTTGGCATGTACATGAATATTAGATAAACTGAGATAGAACACCGTCTATAAACAAAAAAGTTTTGAGACACCTGCTATAATTCCTTCTATTGTTGCCGAAGAAGCCTATATATAAAACTATCTATGGTATGAGGTGTAACTTAATATCATAGATATGGCCTAAGTCTGTAATATGGAAAAATGGATTTCTGAAACAAAACCACTCTGATGACTTGCTATAGGTACTCGTTTAGAATACCTAAATACGTGTACATATGTAGTACAATTCACAAACACATTGGTATTTATTCAATTGCCGTATAATTAATTAATATTTTTCTTTTAAAGTCATTATGAAAATTAGTTTCATTATTTCACATGTACGAAACGTACCTAATTCAATTGGCAAATTATTTGCGAAACTGCACGCTGTTTGTTCATTTTCGTGTGCGTTTTAATTCCATAAGTAAGTCCTTAGGGAAAGTTTGATAGTTTGCTATAATATGTTAGATATACATATAGCAAACACCAAGTTGAAATGGACAGAGGGTTGCGAAACGTCGCGCATTGCACTGTGTAATAGATAATTCTATTACGTTATGAGACGACACTCTAAGTAAGTTAAAGTGTGAAATAATTTGTTCATTAAATAATATATCTAATAGAAAAACTTTACCTGTAACTATTTGATCTGATAGGTCGGAAAGCATTGGAAAATGTACTTCAAAACTAGATTTAGATGCTGATCCAAAGAAAAATAAATCAAATGAAAATGAATGGTTAAAAAAGAAACCATTTTTTTTAAAAGATTATATTATTGATTACACCGCCAATTCTAATCTTCATGGCTTAAAATATATTGGAGAGAAACAGAGAACAGCGGTAGAAAAGTGAGTACCTACATTATGATAGCTGTAGTGGATACTACTCGATTTATGTGGTCAATTAACTTCGATATTAAGCAAATTCATTTAAAATGTTTAATAAAACCAATAACCTTCTAGAATATTTTGGCTCTTTATGTTCATATGCTGTGTGATACTCTGCGCTGGGCTAATAAGAAAAGTTTGGATAAAATGGAACATAAGCCCCGTTATCGTAAGTTTTGCTGAAACGTCAACTCCTGTTTGGCAGGTGGGTACCCTGATTCAAATTCAGTTTATTTTTATACGAGTATCCATATGCAATATTTTCAATACAAGCACAGTCACGATGAATATTAAGTACTGACTACATCGTTATAAATACATATTCAAGTATTACCAGTAAATTGTTACAGTGATAAGGTGCTGCTCGTAACTTTACATATGTACCTACTTTCTTATTTTTATAGTGGACGACTACTTTGTATAAATAAGTGTTTATATAATAACATTTATATTCGAACTTCATTTTTAGTAATTGGTGAATCACAAAACCTTTGAATACTTAGGTGTTCTATGTGTAATCTTTACTATTTCTTCATTTACATGCTGCTGCATACTAAAGGTGTTAATTATTATAGCATAAAAAATTCAATACTTAAATTTTTTATATAAGTATAATTTTTTTTTATGCTATAATAAACTGTTCTTCACTCGAATTTAATATTATCTACCGTATAATCGAAATTGTTAAATCTCATATTTTTTATTTACTTATAAACACAAAATCTCGATATTAAATATCTGACGTATTTATATTCCCATCTAGTCTAGTTACGTGTCAGATGATAGTGACTGCGGCTGCTTTAATGATACTACTTAGTGAGTTGTTGTGCATTATATGTATAATTATACTTAATTGCAAACATGCAATTAAGTATTTATTTAAGTACTTTAAACATAAAGTTATATAATCACAGTAATAATATTTTTAGGTAGCTACTTTGTTAGTATTTTTCTGCCATTGTATATTATTTTATAAAACTACTACCTACCTGCAAACATAAGCTTAACCTTATGTTTGCAGGTAGGTATAGCTTTTGTTGACAGGGCATGAATTTGCTATATTATTATACTCGTATTATCGCCAATTCATGTTCCAACCATTTTTTTCCACACTTAATATTTAATACTTTTTAATTTAGACATGGAATCATTGTTTATAACAACTAAACGCAACCATAGGCTGTAATCGCCTCTGTGCATTTATACCTACGAATTAATCTCAGAAACGATTTAACTGATTTGGGTTTGGTTTTCACGACATATTTATCTTTTGTGCACGTCATTAAAAATAGTGTTTATTATTCCTGTTGGTTTAGAAACAAAAAGTTATATTGAACTCCAACAAAACTAAGTGCATTAAATTCACGCTGCCTAATGTAAAACAAGTAAATACGCAGCTATTGCTTAATGATGAAATAGTAAATTTTGTTAATGATACAGTTTTTTTAGAAATAACAGTGGACTCGAAGTTACAATGGGGGCCCCATATTTCAAAATTAGCCAGTAGACTTAGTTCTGCTGCTTATGCAATTAGAAGGATAAGGCAATTAACAGACGTGGCGACGGCAAAACTTGTATATTTTAGTTATTTCCATAGCATTATGTCATATGGCATACTGCTATGGGGTAAAGCTGCCGATATAAATACTATATTTATTATGCAAAAGAGAGCCATACGTTCTATTTATGGTATGGGTTCTAGAGAGTCATTACGTCAATGCTTTAAACAATCAAATATCCTCACCGTTGCCTCACAGTACATTTATGAAAATATTATTTATACAAGGAAAAACTTAGATAGTTTCAAGAAACTTAAAGACTGTACAAGTAGAAACTTACGCAATAAAAATAAGCTAATTTTACCTAAATGCCGTCTACACAAAGTTAGTAATTTATTTTATGGTAATTGCGTAAGATTCTATAATAAACTGCCAGAGTCTACGCTAAATCTTACAGAGAGGCAATACAAATCTTATATTAAACAAATGTTATGTAAAAAAGCCTATTATAAGATAGATGAATTTATAGATGATAGCAATATATAGCAAGAATAAGTTTATTTGCGGACAACGTTATAATTTTAATTTTCATACTGCTTTCTTGATATATGATAGCGTAGCGGCTTTTGTATTGATTGCCGCATGCATCCTTATGTAAAGTGCGAATACTGTAACTACCATATAGTAATTTTTGTAGCTGTGACGTGGTCGTGTGGAATGAGTAGTCATGCTCACTAAAATGTCCAGACATGTGGCGGCGTGGTGGGCCGGGTCAATGGGCTCCCTAAAATATGGTCGAGCGCAGTGATGGCTGGCTCATCCGTCATACTCGTGAACGAGTGCTGCTTGTAGGGACTGGTCTGCTCTTATCACTACGACTGATTTAATCTTATTGCATGATTATATTTGACCCAAAAAATTAGTGCTTGTTGGTAGTTTGTATTCACACGTTTCGACTTGTAAATGTAAACTTACAAGGATTATTTAAAAGAGCAACACACAAGTTTCTTGCTCGTTCTTCTTGTGATGAGACAGCTTTCCGAACGAGTGGTAGATAAAAAACAAATTGTTATGACTATTCAAAAGTGCTTAAATTAAGTTTATTTGAATAAATGATTTTCTATTCTATTCTATACTAAGTTGCGGACTCGGCTAGTTTATGAGTTATGCCTATCTCCATTCTCATATTGTAATATAGCGAACCTGGTATGTGATCGCAACACTGTCCCTATCTAATTATATTAGATATTATCAGTTTTAAAACATGTTCCTTCTGGACAACATGTTCTATTAATTTCTTATTACAGATACCCTATCCAGCTGTGACCGTTTGTTTAGAAACAAAGGCAAAGCAATCACAGTTCAATTTTACAGCATATTACCATCTCTACAATGACACCGAGAAACGTGCAAATCTAACCGATGAAGAGTAAGTATTACAACATTCAGAAGGTCAAACAACAAATATTGTTTGTATAATTTTAACTTATTTTTTATATAGCTGAAATGACCAAGAAATTGAAGGAATCGTCGTCACTATGCTATATAGCTTATCTATCAGGTTAGCAGATAAAAACTTATTCTAAAGAATATCCTTCAAGTCTTGTCCCTGATGGGTCTAGGAAGACCTTTGAAAAAGGCGAGCACAATAGATCTCTGTAGGTCGCAGAGCTACAAAACTGAAGCAAGTAGCCATAGTCTCCTATCTATATAAATCAGTATATAAAAATACTGATTGCTACTTATCTTATAATTTTACTGTCTGCTCTCATCCTTTACCCGAAACGCTTACAATACAAACAGCTTGGCGCCTGAAATTGTTGAGATCTACAGAATTGGTTACGTATCTAATTAGTACTAATAGCTGTTAAATGAAAACATAGTGACTACTAACTACCTCAATAGGTACAGTTTCTACGAACACTTTACCAACGAAAGTCTGGCGGTGTACTAAACCTCTAGACCAGTGTGGTTATCATTATCAATAGAAAACTTTGTGATTACATCTAAAGGAATTTCAAATTCATCGCAATTTTAATTTCTCAATTCTCGTCTGATACCAATATATTAATTAATAGTATATTCTGGTTTAAAATGTGTCTTTGTATACCTTCTAATAAATATATAATATATACTAATAAAGACTGAGGTACACATTTTAAACTAAAAACATTTAATAAAAGTTTATTCGCTCATCCACTGTTCGGACAAGTTCTTGGCTATATCACAGATACATAATACATATTACATAGCTATATCAACTGCGTTCCTAATAAGGTAAACATACATTTATTTGCTTTCATACGAAACATCTAATCGATATTAGATACAATAATACTAAGCATTATATTTGGATTTATTATTAACTAGCTGTAAGTACCCGCGACTTCGTCCGCGTGGAATTTAACAAAAAAGTTAATGACAGAATTTTTCTAACATAAAAGTAGCCTAAGTTACTCCTTATTACATCAGCTATCTGCCAATAAAAGTCCCGTCAAAATCAGTCCAGCCATTTTAGAGATTAGCCGGAACAAACAAACAGACAGACAGACAGAAAAAATTGTAAAAAAATGTTATTTTGGTTAGTGTACCGTATTTATATTCATATGCATGTAGTAAAAAACTGTTATTTCAATATTATAAACAGACACTCCAATTTTATTTATATGTATAGATAACAAAATAAAATCGTACCTAACTAAGTGAAAACTCTGTTTTTATAAGTTATGGTTACAACAGAACAAGGGCTGGAGATATTAGTATCAAAAATATAGGTCAGATGCAAAAAAACTTAAAAAAATAGCTGCTGCGCTAAGTTGTGATATTCAACATTCTAATGAATTGTTTTTTATTGTTGTTTGATTATCAACAACTAGATGACGTCTATAAATTTACTCGTATATACCTACGCGGACATGCGCACAAAGTATCTACTATAGTCGTATATTTAACTCCTATACTCGTATGCTCTAATATCCCACCATGATATATTCAAACATTATCAATAAGCTGTTATATACTTTCCTGTTAGGTATAATTTAATCCACATACGTCATTATACAGTTGCACCCTTTGTTTGATGACATTAGTCAGCTCTTGATATTCGTCATCATTCTCATAAACAAAATTATTATAATTCACACAAATATACATATAATCTACGTCATCCTTACTTCTTACAAATATTATAAATGCGAAAGTAACTCTGTCTGTCTCACTTTCACGTAAAAACTACTGAACCGATTTAAATTAGATTTAGTACACATATAGTCTAGACCTCGAGAAAGGACATAGGCTACTTTTTAATTCGAAAAAGGGTTGCAAGGGGCTGAAAGGGTAGATGAAAAGTTGAAAGGGTAGATGCAAGGTTGTATGGAAATATTTTTAAATCTTGAAGCTTAGAACGTATTTTGTAGGCTGTTGGTTAAATATGACATTTAAAGTTTGTAAAATTTTTACTCTTACTGATATTATAAATCTGCTTCACTCACTTACACGCCAAAACTACTAAACCGATTTAAATTTAAATTTGGGATACAGATAGACTAGACTCTTAGAAAGGACATAGGATACTTTTTAATATGAAAAAGGGTTGTAAGGGTGTTGAAAAGGTAGGTACAAGGTACTGTCGAAGTATAGTCATTTTTAAAGTTAGATGCTAGAAATTTTATTTTTTAAGCTGTTGATTGAATTGTAAGGGACTTTGTATCGTCATTTTTGAAGCTAAGACAATTAAACTTTTTTATTTAGCTTTTATTGAATTAGCTCATTAAATATTTTTTCAATATTTACGCGGACGAAGTCGAGGGTACAGCTACAGGTTAATCGTAAATTTATTTCAGGCGGAACAAGTATGAAGATGTTACACTTGTTTGCGATGACCATCTTGCCCCTGTTACTGGAAGAAAATTTTGTGATGGCAATAGTACTGTTAAAAATATCAGAGAGGTAGATATTCAAAAGATAACTCCCCGTCCTTTAATTAAACATTATTATGTCTCATAACAATTAAACATTCTCTATTTCCGAGGACATCATTACTAAATTAAGAATTCTTAAAAGACAATCAGTAGCGCCTAAAATATTATTTAAGAATCTATTCGGTACTTAGGTACGTATCTCATTTTTAATAATGCTAAAGTTTATAATTTCATTTTGAGGTACCGTGGCTATTTATCTACTATGTACCCTGAAGTACACCCAAGTACAATAAAAATAATATAATATAATAAAACGATATAATATCATACAAGATAATTTTTCACTGTTCGTGTACGAAATAATAGATTTTATTTCATTGTAGAATTTACAATTAAATACATACTTTTAGCTGTCTCCCAACATAACGGAAGCTTTTTTTGGGTGTAAATGGAAAGATATTCCCAAGGAAACATGTTCGGATCTATTCTCGCCTATATTAACAGAAGAAGGAAATTGTTACACCTTCAACATATTGCGCGCTGAAGAATTGTTCAGAATGGAGAAGTATCTAATTTTCATAATTTTTGTAAATGTACTAGATTTGTATATATAAAAGGAGCAAAACTAAATGAGCTACCGCAGTTTCTACTAAGCAATGTACTAATGGATTTCAGTTCACATCAAATTTATCACTATCAACATCATCAACGACTATATATTTTTTTACCTAATATTTTTAATAATTTCAGTCTGCATAAAGATTATCAGTATCTAGATCACAAAAGAATGTCACAATCTTGGTCCTTGGAAGATGGATATGATCCTATGACTCCAATAGAAACGTATCCACATCGGGGTTCAGTAAGTTCGTTACGTTTACTTTTTATTATTTATATTATAAAGCTAACAGTCAACAGATACTTATAGATAGACAACAGACACTTTCGAATTTATAATATCTGACTGGATTTTTATCTAATTCATCTTTCAGGGGTACGGTGCAAAAGCTGGATTAACATTTTTGATGAGGTCTAAAGAAATTGATTTAGATTATATCTGTAAGGGACCAGTCCAAGGATTTAAGGTATAAAACATAATTATAAATAAATATTATTTTTAAGAAGTGAGAATATTTTTTTAATATTACAGATTTTATTACACAATCCTGCGGAAATGCCGAGACTAACGCAGCAATATTTTCGATCCCCTTTATCACAAGAGGTCGTTGTTGCCATTAAACCAAATATGATGACCACCTCCTCGGGACTTAGGGCATACGAGCCTGCCAGGTGAGCGCACAAATTTACAAGATTCCGTACAATATGGACCCGCCCAATCTCCTCTCCAATCAGAGGGGGGTGAAGATTGTTAATAATTATTTCTCGAATTTAATTGGTTTGTATTGTAGTAATTATGGATTTTTCTATGACCAGACAATTAGTCAAGAATAAAATTGTCATGTAAAGTAATATTGTATAGGCTAAATTAGAATTTAAGCATTTAGAGTCGAATTTGATTACTAAACCACTAGCCACGATCCTCTCATTTCAGAAGATTATAGTATTAAAATTAAAAATTATAAATGTTAACATATTCAAGTACTTTATATAATTTATAATACGTACTATGTCTATTTATTTTAGACGACAATGCTACTTTCCAAGTGAGAGGTATCTCAGATATTTTAAGGTTTACACTCAATCTAATTGCGAGATGGAGTGTATGTCTAATTATACATACTCCAGATGCGGTTGTGTGCATTTTGGCATGCCACGTGAGTATTTATCATAAACTTCATTATGTAAATATTTCATTATATTATTTGCTATGCAACAATAATAGAACAGAGAAGTAATACCTCTGTTATACCTCTGTTCTGAGGGAACTATCAACAATATCTATATACCTAAGCATAAATTCGCTTTGTTTTAGATGGCCCAGAAATAAGAGTTTGTAATGCTGGAAGTATGGCCTGTATGAAACGAGTGCAAAGTAAGTTACTATATATAAAGTCATAATGTTATGTATGCTAGTAAAATAGTCCACGACTTAAATAATTTATTCGGCACATATCCTGGTAGGTATAGGTATATCACTGAAAACCATTTCTAATTTTTGATTCCAACATTTGTATTTTTAAGTATGATGATTTGAATTGTTCTGGATATTTACCATGTATATTATATGTATAATTAATTATTTCCATCACTTAGTACCCATAATACAATCTCTCTTAAATTGTGACTAAATAACACTGTATGAATTGTCCTAAGTCATTATTATTATACAATTAAGCTTATTTAAGTTATTTTATTTATAAAAAAAATACAATTCATTATTATTGAATAACAACCGCCTGAATGTCACGAACACAGGACTGAGTGAGTATTAAATATAAATATGACAAGTCATGTCACTGCAAAAAAATATAATTATAAATGTATTTATACTGTTATCATATTCTGGTTTTGAGTTTTATATTTTCGTGTATGAGTACCTACCTGTACGATGAAGTAAAGCTGTTTAGTATTTTTATCTGTTTGTTTAATTGTGGTTGGAAGCATTAGGATAATATTTATTTGTATAAATTGATGCGTCGTCTTAAATATAGGTTAACATATAGGCTAATGAAATTAACTCAAAGAAATAAATTAGTCATTTTGTTTTATTAATTTTAAATAGCTAGGACTAAATAAATTCGAAGATGCTTCTATCTATCTATGTTTCCTTTTCAAAAATATACGGCAAACAGATCTTAATGAAAATCGACAGTAATATTGATTGTTTCACAAAGATAGATATAGACTACCTTTAGTCTGGGACGGGATGAAATAGGGGTTGTGAGTCGAAGGTAACAACTAGTTTGTAATAATTCCATTTTACGATATAATATCATGTCGTGAGCAAATTTCAATAATAACAGAATTTATTTGTATGTTACTTTCCAGTGGAGCTTGTTGTCGTGGAAGTGCAGTCCGTTTTAGAGAAGGTAAACCAAAAGAACGATACAATCGATGAGGACGCGCGAAAGATAGCCTCCCGCTGTAAATGTCTGCCAGCTTGTACTTCCATCGAATACGAAGCGGAGACCTCCCAGGCAGACTATGATTGGAAAGCTATATATAGAGCCTACAGATTAGAAATACCACCTCACATGAATGAGTGAGTATATACGTTTTATTCGTCATATTACCTTATAATTTGAAACATGAAACAGTACTGAGTAGGTACGTACATAATTTTGACATTTACAAGATTTAATTATGTTAGTACTTAGGTAATTATATGGTATAAATTCTGAATATACAAGTATAACTGACGATACAAGTATAATAATTAACTCCATGTTAGCTCGCTGGTTCTAAACTGGCTCGAAGGACCAGAAACATGCAGTAGTTAATTCCTTGCACACCTCCACCATTTTCTATATAATAAAAATTTATATATTGAAGTAAATGTTCATATTCTTATTGTATTAACAAAAACAGTTGTCTTTCCTGACAAAACATAACGAAGTCACGTGCCTTAAATTATCGCTAATCCATTTCTAATGTCTATTATTTTTATATAATTTTCAGTATGATGTACTCGCGAGTAATGATATTCTTCAAGGAGCCACAGTTCATAACGTCACGGCGTTCTGAACTATACGGCCAGACAGACTTCCTGGCTAACTGTGGAGGTTTACTCGGACTCTTTATGGGTTTCTCTATACTGAGTTTGGCCGAAATAATATACTTCCTCACAATAAGGTATACCCAATAACATTATTACAAGTACAGTCACAGAATTAATAATCTTGTAGTACCTGCTAATGAATTTACGTTTAACAAAAACGCCAACCTATCACTGTCGTTGTAATAGATTATCATAACTTACTACATTTGCAGGTGCATTATCTAATACAGTTGCTAACAATATTAACATTAAAGGTTTAGTATATTGGTATATTTTGTACTTATATATGAAACATTCGACAGATTAAAAAAATATATACAGTATGTAGTCCACCTTAAAATCTGGATTATACCATATTTTATTAGACTCTGTGAAGCAAATCATCTAAGAAAGAACATCTTGATTATTCTTCATATACCTCCAGTGTATAGATCACAGCCATAGCAGTAGTCAGTGATCATACCTATATTACAATACTTATGCTTACTTCACGTATTATGTACTACTAAAAACCTTATACATAATTCTTGAAGTCGAGCGAACAAATATATATTTGGTTTTGTAAATATGTGGTTTTGTTACAGACTATTTTGTGTTATCTGGAATCGTCGTCGTAGTACGAAGCATGAATCAGATCTGCCTAAGATTGAACATATACCAGACGGTGATAAAATTGGGAAAACAAAGCAACAGTTTATCGATTAATATAATATCAATTTAATTATTTTATTCGCCTACCTATAGCTAAACCGCTTTCAACATTTATGTGTGTTTACATTCTATAGATATATATACTGTTCCTTCCATTAGTAGTATATGTAATATTATATTATCTGTGGTAGTACCGATTTAATCCCAGTTCAGGTTAGAATTAGTTTCCATTAGCTAACAACGAGCTTCAAGTAAAACTTAAATTTCTGTGGCAATCAGCCAACGTGGATTTTTAGAATTTAACATTCTATACTTGTTTTTTTTTTGGTTCACATGTCTAATATCCATAACTTGGGACTAGATGGCTTTGTGTGAATTGTCCAGGTGTATTATTATTATTATAAATATAACTTATTGTCTATAAAATATATCCTACGGATACAGATCTAAAAAAAGCAGAACTCGTGCTAATCTACATAAGGAACATGACTAAAAAGTGCACGAAAGCCAGTAAGAAGCCAGCCACGAAAGACACCTGTTATTTAACATTAAAATAGTATTGTATTACTTAAATAAATAAATACCTAAGTAAATTCATTTGATGTAGGTACGCAGGTATAATCTAAGTACAACAGTCATGTTTTTATTCAATTTAATCCGGTTATTTTCATGGTGTCTAGCATAAGTTATTCGTAATCGTGGGTATTTCTATTGTTCTCAATACCCTCAGCCGCATGAGTCGCATCAACCGCAGGGCACAGAAGGCTGTCTCAAATAAAATAATTAAATGTGTTCAAATATCACTTTTATTTATTTTAATCAAATGAACCTACCTTACTTGCCCTACCAATGTACCAAACATAATTAGTAAGTAATTAATGACTTAAAATATTAACTAAGAAATTTTCACATTTCGTAAATATAGTTATATACTGAAACTTTGAAATCCAAATATTAAGAAATTATTAATACATCATAGAAATATAAGGAATGCGTAGACTTTGTTTGGAGTGTTCCCTTCAGCCAGGTTTCTTTCGACTTGATTTAATAATATGCCTCAGTCTTAGTCCCTGCAATTAAAACAGAGTATAAAATTAAAAAGATTAACACTCTAGCCATAGTGGATACCTGTCTTTCAAATTCCATAATGTCAAATACATAAAGTTACGTTATTATTACCTATGTAGGTATAAGTACGTACAGGAAATCAAATCAATAAGATGGCTTTTTTAAACAAAAATCGTATTTAAATGAAATCAAAGAGATGTGAAAAGTAGTAGTAAGTATCAAAGTGAAAAGTAAAATAACTTTTAAGGATCTCAGTAGCTATACATTCCTGAAATAAAAGTACATGATAATTATTATGTGCATGATTAAAATATAGCCAGTCGGGCTGTAAATATGTTTACAACAACAAAAAAAATATGATTGAGGATAACATACTTTTAAACAGTATTTGGTCCACTTGGCTTCTTCTTGGGAGCATAACCAATTCTATTATGAATTTCTTCAGTAGTTTTCGCCCCGGTGCCATGAGACTTAGACGTGTCATCTTGCATGTCTGTTACTAAAGACGACGACAAATTACGTTCCTGAATACTTCGTGAATTTTCATATTCTTGTACATCATCCAGCTTTAATGTTACCTCCGTTAATGGCCTTCGTATCATTTTGTATGCTAACAATAAAATAAATTAGTTGTAATATATTATTTTTTTAGGTGAGTAGGTCTGCAACAGTCCATCGTGGCCCTGCTGGAGTCACCATGAACTATTGACGATGTTTACTGGGGGGACCGCATGGAAATCGATATTATAAATAATAAATTAACTATTAAAATTAAATTTATATCTGGGTACATAATCACTAAAATAGTACCCGATAAAGGTACTTAAGTAATCGAGACGAGTCCAAGCTAAAATATCGGTTTGGATAGTTGATATTACGCTACGTGACTATCAAAACATGTTATTTTAATAACTTTCATCTAAAACAATTAAAATAAAATTTTAATACATCGAACGCTACTTAAAAATTAAATGAGGACAATATTTTAGTTGAGAACGCTACTTATTTTGCTGAACTATTGGTACGGCTGTGCATAGTCGATATTAATGATGTACCGACCATCGCAAGTAGCGAATATCGATAAGATAATAAAAACAAAATAATTATGATTATTATAGCAGTCTTTATCTTAGAACATACGTGACCTTTTTTAGGGAGAAAATAAGAATAATAAATTGGCATTGTAATAAATTTCGTAATTAGAGAAGTTTTTAGGGCATTGTGACCATTACGATTATATTCGTACCAAGAGTAACCTGACATTGAGGGTAACACAGCTGAAGTCGAGTCACAACGCGAGTTTCAAAGCGTTTGTGGCCCTGGTCCCCACCGACTTGCTGCCCACCTTCATGAAAGAGGACTACTGGCCGAAAGGTGTGGTATATCGGCGCTACCGTGGCAGATTGCCGTGATCACACAGACAATATCAATGTATTAGTTTTTAAATATTATATTATATGTATGTTGGTCTATAAGGTATTTATAATATGGGCCTAGTTGGCTGAAATAAATCAATAAATAAATAAATAAAATTACATCCTAATCAGTGCAAGGAAAATATTGACTTTAATAAAAAAAACGTATGACAAAATAATTTGTGTTTTTATGTGTATTTTAATACTTAGGTTAGGTAATGTTATTGACCTTACCTGTCCTGAACCTGTCCAATTTAAAAGAAAAAGAAATTAGAATAAATAATCAAATACCTGTAATAGCAACTTTGCACGATAAACAATATAAAATTGCTCTTATAGATTAAAAAAAAGTGTAAAGATAGTTTAATTATTATTAAAGATAGTTACCATTAACTCATATCATTATAAACAGCAAATGCCACTATTCCATTATCATCCGCTATATAGTAACAAGAGCATTTTCATAACTGGTAATATAAACTATATTACTAGACTTCAAAAATATTTGATAAATAATTGATGAAATAAAAGAAATTTATATACCCATTTATATACTTAAAGTATATATCGATATTATAAACACAAAATCTATAAGAAAAACTATCGTCACAATACAAGAATTAGGAACAGCCCTACTCATTCATTTTTAACGTCAAATGTGCATAAAATTACGTGACACGTAGAAGCAAAGAGATTATTCAATCTAATTATTCTTAAGTTAAAAACAGTTTTCTTTAAGTTTGGTATTTCCAAAGTGTATAAAAAAGACACGGTACAGAAAAAAGACTCACCAAAATGTTATATCTTGAGGATTATTTAGAAAGTAAGTTGATTTTCATTCCAAGGCATTACGTAATGCAGATCTGTTGGTAGTACCGTGGCGTGTCAAATCATATTTGTTTATGTCGTTCGACTGGCGCGCTTATTCAAATTTTTTTCAACTGTTATACAAGACTGATTTCTGACATTTATTATTTAGGTATTAATGCATCTTTTGGGACTATCCTTTGCTTTTACATTATTATTTTTGTTTTCAGTGATCGAACATCTGCCACAGGAACTTAGGGATAGATTTACTGAAATGCGAGAGATGGACTTATCTGTTCAAAGTATGTAATTTAAAATTGACCCTTGAATGTGAAAATACTGTTGTTGCTTAAATTCATCAGTGCTACTAGTATTCTAGTAACAAGAAGGCAATTGCTTGAAAAATGGAATGCCTATATGTTATAATGTCTAATATCTATATATTGTCTAAGGAGACATATATATTCCTTATACTGTTCCACAACGTGCTAGACATTGAGGGGTTATCCCGACCCTCATTATATTTGTTCCATTACTAACTAAAGTAATTGTTAATATTCTAATTTAGTAATTTAAATAGTTATAATATTAGAATTAAAAACATACCTATGTTTAAACATTTAAACATTAAACATATAATGACTACAAAAATGTAAATGGAATTTACTATTCAATTCTGTATACAGATAGTATGGACACATTGGAAAAAAGAGTCCGCACATTATTTGGTGGTTGTCGGCGTGGCGAAATGAACACAGATCAAGCTAACACAGAATTTGCAGATATAAAGCATGGGTATAACAAAACATTAGAAGAGGCAGATGAAAAAGTAGCTTTGGCTAACCAAATGCGTGATTTAGTTGATCGATATTTACGAAGGCTGGGTATGTGCTCACAATAATATAAAACATAATTTATATAACAATAATAACATATTGGGGGATAAGATTGCTAGAAATGGGGACCCCACCAATACTAATGTACCATGACAGGTTGACCCTCTTGAAAACAATAGCCATTAAATTCCTGTAAATTTGCCATATTGGACTAAGTGACCAAACTTCATTCTCATCCTATCTTAAGTACTAGTATACAACCATCCCCTGCTGTTAGCGCAGGCGGGTTTAGGCGTTATGCGGGTGCGGTATTATTATAATCAACTATGAAAATATTATTATTTTTATTACAGATACTGAATTGCATAAATTCAAATGTGAATTAGAGGCAGATAATAAGGGCATAACAGAGTTGCTTGAGAAAAGATCCCTTGATTTAGACAGCAACACAAATCACACTGCTACATCTAATAACAACCATTACAAAGAAAACAGGTAATAAGTAATAATTTTACTAAGACTTTCTAATTTCTCTTCTAGTTACATGCTATGCAAATATTTCCCATATTAGTTCTAATGTTTTAAATGACATATAGACATTATCAACTGTTAACGATGTCGTGATGTCTCTTACTAATTTCGCTCAGTTTATCTATCCACCATAGCTGGGGGAGAGCCTACTGCCGTGTCTCTCATTGATTTGGTGTATTATCGATGTTTTCATCACAAATATGAATTGATGCTATTTTTTGGTATCAACCAAACCTTTTGGTATAAGTCAGATTAGCAAACCACTAGGCCACGATATTCTGAAGGTAGATTTAGGTATTACACCTACTTACTTATGTAGAGACTGATTCTTTAGTAACTTTTGTGATTGCTTTGTAGGATTAATATCATCAACAATTGTAAACAATTGTAAAATAATTATAAAATAATTTTGCAGATACCGTATCAGAGCAGAAAAACGCAGAGATAGCTGGGGTACCAGGGAATCACGAGCTCATGCCACCACGGGCAACCTTTCCAGAACCGACTCTGCTATACAGGTGCTCATTCACATAGTTATTACATGAATATAATATACATTAATATTAATGTTGATAATAAATTATATAAATATGGAAACAATGTAATTTAGTTAAACCTAAAGTTGGAGGGAAAAATATAGTGTGTACGATGATAAATTTGTTAATAAAATTTAATTTATTTAAGGCTGCCCTGGGACGTGATTCATATTCTTTGGGTCATGCCGGCAGTGCCATAGCCGCAGCAGCTAGCCAGGCTATAGCCGCCACACAACAGGTATGTTGCTTTCCCGGTGTTCGCATGAATGTTGATCATAAATTTTCTCTTTAGAACACTGAATCAACTACTCACTATTAAAACCCATCTAAGTCTGTAAAACTTCTTCCATGTACATTTCTTCAAACCCTTGTACTATTTGCCTTGTAATTAATTATTTTTCCACAATAAATAATAGTATCATATTTACAGCTATAAAAAAATTTATTAAAAATAATATGTAAAAAGTAATAAAAATAATGAAGAAAAGGGAAATTTTAATGGTCGAAGACAAGGCAAAGTTTTCTAAAACTATTTGTTCCTTTGTTTCTTTTACATCATAACAGTATTTTTTTTATAATTATGTCCAATATTCCGCATCAGACATCCTCTTTTAATTCTACTCATAGTCATGGTCAATTACTAGATTGATCCAGGTATTCTGTTATCACCATAACTTTACTTTAAACACTTAGCACTCATAAATATGAACATGATAGTGCCATGTGTAATGACTAAACTACAAACTATACTTTATCTATACACGGTTTCAGATGCAGCAGGGACGACGAACAGCTTCGTTAAAGGCGTCCTACGAGGCGGTGGCCGGTGGTGAACTGCAACACGCTCACCATCTACATCACGCAGCCGCCGTTGCCCACCATGACCACGGTACGATCACTACAATAAAAACAATGTTTACAGCGAAGTTATTTGATCCGAAAAGAACTAACAAGAAAGTAGATTGTTACTTTTTTCAAACAAATCAGTAAAAAGCAATAATATCACAACTAAACACTAATCACACTAAATCGAAGAATTAAGCGTTAGGGTCTTCTTTCATATGACAAGCTAATATTAATCGAAATGGGTGACTAATACAAGTTTTTTACAAATCCACATCTGTGGGATAAATATAACATATTTAACCCATAGATGTGGATATTTTGGCTACATACTATATTACTTTATAATTAATTAAAACATATTGTGCTATATATACTACAGGACATGGTGTCAGTGCTGGTCACAGTCAAGCCACGAGTGTTCATGGGCATCATACAACATCACACGGTCACAGCAACTCATCATCATCATCTAATAAAAGACAAAAGCAAAAGTAAGTATAATGTTTGAATATTAAATCTTTTGCAAGAAAGTAACTAAGATGGTTTTATAATGCTGGTTAGAATACGCTTGTCTCATAGACTACTATCTTTTATCAACTTCCTACTTTTTAAATAGTAATATTATATTGTATATTCAGAATTAGGCTCGTTTCTATTTAGTTACATTTGTGTCAATGTGTACTAAATATTAGTATTGTCAGTAACATCCTTGGATCAGTATCATCTAACTATGTATATGAATTTAATGAACATGAAATGTGATATGTGATAATAATGAATGTAATATTCCGCACCGCAATACTTTGTAAAATTATTATACAAATAATCTTCTCAGAAAAACAAACTACAGTTCATCGTCGAATATATCGGCCCACGCACAGCAATCTGTCGCGGCTGCTAGTCGCTCTTCGTCGCCCACTGTTGTGTAAGTATATATTTTAATGTTCAACCGTTTCATAAAAACGGAAATTAAAAAACTTGTGAATCCGAATATTCGAGATCCGAAATTTAAGATCTGCAAGAAATATTTTCAGTTATATATGTACATATATATATATATATATATATATATTTAATCTATGTGGTATAGTATATAAAGGATTTTTATATTCGATTTCGATGATATACCTCGTTAAATGTATGTATATACTTTATTTTATACAAAAACTAGCTGTGTATTGATACTTTACCCATGCCAATCTTCCATCTTATATTTGCGTGTATCAGTGAGGACAAGCCAAGTAGAGTCAGACTTTTTGAAATCTATTTCAGGGGCAACATTGTGAATAATGTGACTATTGAGGAACCCATGGAAGAGGAATGGACATACGACCCCAACGAGCCACGCTACTGTATTTGCAACCAAGTGTCCTATGGGGACATGGTCGCCTGTGATAATCAAGACGTATGTATTGTAGTCGAAAACAGTCATTACTACCTCTCTATTGGTCGCAGTTCCTCCCGCCATTTCATTCCTGTGGAATAGAAATGATTAAAAAAAATCCTTGTCACATGTTTTTAATTGCCGCTCGTTTTCATTCTGAAATAAAAGATAGCCTGTAACCGTCTTCGTAATACAATCAATCATCTTTACGTCAAATTTTATAATTTTATCTACTCCAGTGTTATTTCGTGAAAAGGTCCAGGTGTTTACTATGTACATTATGCATGTATTTACAAACAACAATATATTTGTATTGTGTGTGTGTGTGTGTATATCAGTTGTGTAGTACTCATAACACAAGCTTTGCTTAGCAAGGGACGAGTTGGTAGATTTCTTAAATTTCAGTAATAAGATAAAATCAGACTTGACTATACTGTAATAGTTCAACTATTACAGCACAAACTCTAAGAAATGCGAGATTTATATTTTCAATTATGGATTTAAATATGTTGTCTGTTGCAGTGTCCATATGAGTGGTTCCATTACCCCTGTGTTGGTATCACCGCTCCACCAAAGGGCAAATGGTATTGCCCTCAGTGTCAAAATCTCCGGCGCAACCGCACCCATCGAAAGAACTGAACTACCTAATGCAATTAGCTACTTCCTAAAAATATATTAAAAATATATGCATTTGAATCATAACAATAATATTTAGTGCATTTGTAATGTTGAATTGTGTTCGGTTCTTAAATATTTAAGGCAAATTTGACTCATTAAGTAAGTGAGTATTAGCAAAAATATCTTTAGTATGCACTTTAGGGGCTTAATAAAACCGTTTAACAATATAGACTTCTTTTTTTTTCATTCATTATGTATAAGTCTGTGTGCTTTCTTTAGTCTGTATTTTAATCTCGCCGACTAAATTGACAAATGTGAATATCAAATTTTAAATACTGTTACCAGCTGTACAGGTGTAGTGCTGTATTTAAGGTAGCAATTTGTTGAAATATAATTGTTTTAAGTTTTCTACATTGAATTTTTAAAATTTACGCACTTACAGAAGAATTTCCATACTTATATTTTTTTTATTTAAGAACACAAGATATATTTTTGTGGTTTTCGTGCATATAGTAATCTTTATGGTATTATAGTAAAAACAAGCTATTTTTTTTTTCTTTCTAACAAGTAAATATTTTAAATAAGTGTAATGACACTTACAACAACACACTTACTTTGTAAAAGAGGCAGTTAAGTCTTTGTTTTAATTAAATATATATATGTCAATTAAAAATATTGATGTTTATACAATAACCCTATATACGTGAATACCTATACTTTATTTTACATTTTAAATAAACACCCACAGCAAAAGACAGCAACATATGTAATGTCAAATTTGTTTCCGAAATAAAAAAAACTTGTAGGTTAGTATTTAAAAAATAATATATGTTTTTTTTATGTCTTCCAGTATCGATAACATAACCTCTGCTCCGCTTGGGTGTTGTGTAAAATTATTATTATCTTATACTCTCTACACTACAGGGAGAAAGGGATTGTGGACAGTAATGTGGACTCATGACCCTGTTACTAGCAATGTACCATGTCAGGTTGACCTCCACGCGGTTTCCCCTGGAAACCATCGTGATAAATTTCTGCTAAATATGTCACGATGGGCTAACTAACCTGACCTCATGTTCATCTTATCATCGTCCACTGGTGCCCCGCCAGCGTAAACCGTTAGCGCAGGCGGATGCACCATACTAAAAAAAAAACCACAGATAACATAATATTACATACAGATACCCCATCCCATACAAGAAAATGGTTCCTTCCTAACTCGGGCTATTCTTCGGGCTATTTTATTTCGCCACCGTAGCCGCTAGATGTCTCTAGATCTGAAGCAGTTCGGATTACTAGTGGGTGCTTAGTAACAAAGCATGAAAATAGATGGCAGTGAATTCAGTCTACATGACATCTGTTTTGCAAAGATATGTATATAATAGATATGTAGGTAACTGTATCGTGTACCTCATTAGGGACGATTCAAGATTCAATGTAAATGTGTAGGTATAATATCGTTAGCCGACACTCTGCAGATATGGCTTATGTGCCAATGTATATACCTATTATGTTATGGTTTATTTTACATTCCATGCCTATTTTTTTGATATGTTGTAACGCGTCTGCGCTATACGTATAGCCCGATTTTGATACTTTTATACTCGTACGTATCAAAATCGGGCTATATGATTTTTTATTTCAATCGTTATGTGTAAGAGACTGGTTTTAGCTACAATTAATTTACTGGTATATACCTCATGTATTCTACGATGTACCCCTCTTTTCCCTAATGAGAATTCCGCTATATCTTATATATAAATTTTGTATCACAGTGTTAGTTGCCATATTTTTCCCACATTTTGATGAAATTTGATATGTATACTTGCCAGGTCTGAGGTAGGGTTGTTATCTATTTTTTATACCCCTAAGTCATAGGGGTGGCCTACCCCGAAAAAATATTTTTTTGTATTATGGACAATTTTTTATTTATTTATAATGTTACATTGAAAATACATACACGCCTAAATTTTCACCCGTCTTTCACCAACCCCTATTTATAATATTATAAATGCTAAAGTAACTTAGTCTACTACGCCAAAACTACTGAACTGATTTAATTGAAATTTGGTAGACAGATAATGTAGACCCTGAGAAAGGCTACTTTTTAATGCGAAAAAGTATTGAAAGGGGAAATGAAAGGCTATATGAGGATATCGTAATTTTTAAAGTCAGATCTTGTAAGATTAAGTGAACTAGGTTTTTCATTATTAGAAATGTGTAACGGGGTAACACGTTATTTAGTGCGAAATTGTGTATATTACAATAAAATTTAACGAGAAAATATTATAATGATGTCACTGGGACACTCATTGCCTTACTACTATATCGTCCGTTAGTCGCGAACTTTCTGGAAACACGAGAGGCGCGCTCCTATTGGTTAGTAGATGAGGTAGACGAGTCTCACGGCGCCGCAGCGTAAGTACTTACTATACATACGTAGTATACATATGGGTGTTACAAATGTTTTTATTACGAGTAATATTACTCTGTTATCTAAAGCAAGTAATGTGTGCTTATTTTGAACTTGATAACATTCTGAATTACTCGTATATCTTTCAATATCTTTAGCGGTATAAACCAGGTTATGTTACTAGTATTGTTAGTGAGGGATAAAGTTGATGAACAAAAATAAAACAATATTCGTATTAAAAATATATTCATCTAATATTTTTGGCATTATTTTTAAGTTTCTTCCAAATACAAGGGGTCTGACATGGGGTGTTATGTACCTACATTAAAAGATACTTTTTGAAATGTATGAAATGTATGTACCTACATTAAAAGATAATTTTTGACATGTATGAAATGTATGTACCTACATTAAAATATAATTTTTGAAATGTATGAGATGTATGAAAGAAATGTATGTACCTACATAAAAAGTTCATTTTTGAAATGTATGAAATGTATGAAATAAATGTATGTATGTACCTACATTAGAAGATAATTTTTGACATGTATGAAATGTATGTACCTACATTAAAATATAATTTTTTAAATGTATGAGATGTATGAAAGAAATGTATGTACCTACATAAAAAGTTCATTTTTGAAATGTATGAAATGTATGAAAGAAATGTATGTATGTACCTACATTAGAAGATAATTTTTGACATGTATGAAATGTATGTACCTACATTAAAATATAATTTTTGAAATGTATGAGATGTATGAAAGAAATGTATGTACCTACATAAAAAGTTCATTTTTGAAATGTATGAAATGTACGAAAGAAATGTATGTATGTACCTACATTAGAAGATAATTTTTGACATGTATGAAATGTATGTACCTACATTAAAATATAATTTTTTAAATGTATGAGATGTATGAAAGAAATGTATGTACCTACATAAAAAGTTCATTTTTGAAATGTATGAAATGTATGAAAGAAATGTATGTACCTACATTAAAAGATAATTTTTGAAATGTATGAAATGTATGAAAGAAATGTATTAAAAGATAATTTTTGACATGTATGAAATGTATGTACCTACATTAAAATATAATTTTTGAAATGTATGCACCGTACAATAACAATACACGTTAAACATCATACCACAGAGTCATACGCAAGTTAAAAACAAACTGCTATGATATATTAATGAGAAAGGAAAATCAACTTTATGGTATTCGAGTTAGGGTCGATTTCTCTCTTTTTTTTAAATACTATTTTAATCTTACCAGTTGCCAGTATTCGAAGACAGCTACGATTCGTACTCGATATTTTAAATTATTATGTAATCGATTATTCAGTACAAATGTAAATAACCAACGACACTAATAATGTACTACTATATTCCGTTCTTTGAAACGGAACACTGCTATAATACAAAATAATGAAAATTTACTGTTCACAACGACTCATTAAAAGCATCATCGAATAATGCGCTGTAATAAAATCCTGTTATCGATTATTCAAAAAAATCGATAATACATGTATTTATTTTTAATATGACAACACTTCATACATAAGTATTATTGGAAATAGTATTACTTGCTTGTTCGGCTATTTTTAATTTACTTAAAAATTTTTTATATGTTTAATTTACAATAATAATATATTAAGTGCTTATTATTGGAAAATATAAAAAAGACATTTAATTAGGCCGATACAAATGACGACAATGCCATCTATGAAAGCATTTTGAAAACATTGAGCCCCATATTAGCACTGATTAAAGTGTAATTAAGTACTGGAAAATAACAAAATGAGTAAATATATGAAAATTACTTTTCTAAACGCATTATTTCATTTTAACATGTATATATAACTTTTTAAAAATTGATTAAACATTTTTGAAAACACAGTTTTGTTTTTTATAACGTTTGCAAAACTATGAAGAATTCCATAGATACCAATCACGCCATCTATATGCAACTTTTAGCAATAATAATGGCTACTTCCTCATTGAGTGCCACTGACCATACTATTATCATCTATAAAAAAAAACTGTACACTACCTAACTAAAAATAAAAATAAAACAGTTTTGACTAGCTAATCGACAGACCTTTACAAATATTGATAGCATAGTTATTAAAAAGTACAAGAGCTTTCCTCTGAATTAATTTCATTAATTAGAAAAATTCAAGTTAGTAAATTCCACACCTATACTTCATAAGGTAAATATTTGTTTCGGTAAATATCTACATTTATTTAATAACTCACATTTAGAAAATATTTTCAAAGTTTGAAATCAAAATGTTAATATTTGACTAACCACTCAGCAACTAATCACTACGCCAATGCAGTTTTAGTGTTCATTGTTCTGTATCAATTAATGTCAGGTTGACGTTGTCAACGCTATCCAAAATACACTCTGTGGTTTCCTCCTTATTTCATTGAAATCCATTGACGTTTTTCTAGTAATTTCTAGCAATTTCTTTTAAATATACGTTTTAATTGTGATTTCATTCGAGAATTTACTGATTATAATTTTCCGTTCGATGTTTAACAGTACACTAGTATTGTTATATAATTGTATCTAATTAGTATAAAGTATTTGATTTACTTGTAATACACATTTTTTGTTTTATTGAATTGAAGATAACCAGTATGTCTGAAGTGAAAATAAAGGAGGTAACGTAACCTAAAAATTTCTATTGGTTACAGTAGTAACTAAATATTTTGGTTATATCCTAAATTAATAGTCTTCTTCTTTTAGCTTCGCAGTGATATAGACGAGTTAAATGAGTTACTAAAACAAGCCAATAGGAAAAAAGTTAAAGATCTCTTGTCACTGGAAATTCGTAAATTGGAGACCGAATGGATTAACTTGAAAGAAACCGAAAACGCTTCTATTACTGATGTCACATCGTCGCCTGCTACAGCATCGGCTTCAGCACAAAAAAGATATCAAATCAAACTAAATGGTTATGGTTAGTCAATTTTATTGTAAAGATTTTTAATTTCAACTGTACGAACCTCCCAAACAACTAATTTAAACTTATAATTAGTTATGTTATTTTTATAGCAGCACAGTATTAAATAAAAAGTATTATATATTCTGCCAAGTTTGGTAATCCAGCCAGGTTTGGTATCCCATTTTCATTCAACACTAATATTATCAATCTTTATAACGGTTTTTTTATAATTACACTTGAACATTTTATTATTTTATTCCTTTTTTTATAGGTTGGGATCAGTCAGATAAATATATACAAGTGTTTGTTACACTTAAGGATGTTCACACTGTGCCAAAAGAACAAGTTTACTGTAAACTGACAGATAGATCAATGGAGTTACATATTGACAATTTGGATAACAAAGACTACTTGCTTGTTATTAATAAACTTCTTGAACCTATTGTTGTTGCAGACTGTCACTGGAAACAAAAGACAGGTATATTTTAATACTAGCTGTACCCGCGACTTCGTCCACGTGGTGTTGTGCTTTATTTTTCTAAAATAAAATAATATTTCTAAAATAAAAGTAGCCTAAGTTACTACTTATTACCTGCCAAAAATATCCCGTCAAAATCGGCCCAGCCATTTCAGAGATTAGCCGGAACAAACAGACAGACAGACAACAATTTTATAAAAAGGTTATTATATATGCATGTAGTAAAAAATGGTTATTTCAATATTACAAATTTTCAATATTCAATTCTATTTATATGTATAGATAACGATACATCCATACAACCTTGCACCTACCTTTTCAACCCCCTTCAACCCTTTTTCACATTAAAAAGTTCCTAACCTATGTCCTTTCACAGGGTCTTGTCTATCTGTGTCCCAAATTTAATTTGAATTGGTATTATAGTGTTAGCGTGTAAGTGTGATAGTCAGACATTGACATTTGTAATATTAGAAAGCTATTTAATAAACTAACCTAAAATACCCAAAGAAAAGAGTTCCATCAGTCTAACTTCAAAAATTATGATTTGCCATAAAAAGTTTTATCTCCTAGTTTATTTTACCATCCTAAATGAAAATGTCATATTTTATCAACAACTTAAGAAATACATTCTAAGCTTCTAGCCTTAAAAATTACTTCCATACAACCTTGCATCTACTTTTTGAATTTTCATCTTCCCTTTCAACCACCTTATAATCCTTTTTCACATTATAAAATAATTTATGTCCTTTCTCAAGGTCTAGACGCCAAGACGACTAAACAGATTTAAATGAAATTTGGTATGTAGATAACATACCAAATTTCATTTAAATCGGTTTAGTCGTTTTGGCGTGTAAGCGAAACAAACACAGACAGAGTTACTTTCACTTTTGTAATATTAGTAAGATATTTAATAAACCAAAGAAGATAAAGAAAAAAGTGTAATCGTTCTAGCTTCAAAAATGACGAATTTCTATAAAAACATTTATCACCTATTTTATTTTATCTCCTTAATGGTAATTTTTTACAAACTTTGAATATCATATTTATTTATAGGTAATTAACAGCCCCAAAAATAAATTTCAAGTGTTTAGTTTCAAAAATGACGATTCTTCCATACAATCTTTCATTCCCCCTTTCAAGACCTTGCTACTCTTTTTTCGCGTTAAAAAGTAGCCATGTCCTTTCTAGAGGTCTAAACTATCTGTGTACTAAATTTCATTTAATCTGTTCAGTAGTTTTTCCGTGAAAGCGAGACAGACAGACAGAGTTACTTTCGCATTTTTAATATTAGTAAGGATTACAAACAGACACTCCGATTTTATTTATGTGTATGTGTGTATGTATAGTGTGCATTTAAAAAACGAAAATGTAACTTAAAAATATTTATTTTAGGAAAAAACAACTATCTACGTTACTAACTAAATAAAATAACCTATAAATAATTTATAAATTTCAATGTAAATCTGAATATTGAACACAAATGTACCTGATTTATAATATCTAATTACTTGAAGGTACAAAAGGAAAGCATTTTACTGCTTTCCTTTTTTACGTTCAAGTAATTAGGTTAAATAAAGTCGTCGAGACAACCATCAACTACAGCCCGCGCGACAGGTAGCCTGTGATATTGATTCGTTGGTGTGAGACGTAGCGAGAGGCCCCCGAGGTATCGGCCCAGCGCGGTGCTTGCGCCTGAGCGCGCGGTATTACTTACAATATTACTGTATTTTTCTATAAAATAAAAGAGTTTTTCTAAAATAAAAGTAGCTTAAGATACTTCCAATTACATCAGCTACTTGTCAAAAAAAGTCCCGTTAAAATCGGTTCAGCCATTTCAGAGATTAGCCTGAACAAACAGAACGACAGACAGACAGACAAAAATTTTAAAAAGTGGTTTTTTGGGGTATGTAGCGTATTTATATTCATATGCATGCAGTAAAAAAGGGTTATTTCAATATTACAAACAGACACTCCAATTTTATTTATATGTATATATGTATAGATGATGAACATTATATATCCACATACATAAATATTATAAACTGAAAAATGTGGTTATGAAAATGAAATTTACAAAAATACTTAGGATTACAGATCCTAAGTATTTTTGTAAATTATATTACAAGTGCTGTATTTAATTTAGTACTATACTATATAATATTATAGCCCTACAACTATCATATTTAATTTAGGGCATTGCTTGACTAAAATTATTGTGTTTATATTGTTATTTTGACATAACTTACCAATCTCGCATTACAGATAGAGTTGTAATATTCCTGGCAAAATCACGTCCAAATATCAAGTGGTCTCATATGACTGAATTGGAAAAAAAATTTGAAGACCAACGCAGCAACAGATTCAAAACAGAAGATGCTGAAAAGAAAGACCCACAGGAATCCATCATGAGTCTTATGAAGAATATGTAAGTTAATCTATCAGCACTAAATATAGGTATAAAAATCATTATCCAATATTTTATGTTACTAAATGTTAATATCTGGCTGAAAGTCATATTATAGGTTGATATAAGAATATGTACTATTAAATTCCATATAATTATATTTCTGACTACACATTTCAAAATTCAATACATATAACAACTTATTAATGATTCAACACACACACACAAGAATTTTCTTATTCTGTTTTGAATAAATTTTATTTCTTATTTTCAGGTATGAAACTGGTGATGATGATATGAAGAGAATGATATCCAAGGCTTGGTATGAAGGCCAACATAAGAAAAAAACTGACACCTTAGACCTGTAAACTGTGCTTATAATGTATTCTTATTTGAAAGTAATTTCATAGAAAACAATTTTGATTCTATGTGCTGTGGAAGTGTAACCTATTTTGTGTTATCACTCACTGATCTGTCTCCAGCCTTTAAAGTTTTTGATTACCAAGATTTGTAAAAAATTGTCTATCTGGATACGCCATCTCACCTATTTCAGCTGTCAAATAGCTTGTTTTGTGAGCTGTACTGTGAGATAAGGCAGTGAAATTAGAATAAATGAAATAATTAAGGCACATTATATCTTAGTTCTTTGGAATGGCAATGATAAGTAGAATTATGATGATGTGATGTCCATGGAGGACCACTTACAATCAGGTGGCTCATTAGCTTGTCTCATTTCAGTTAGTTCAACATTACTGGCTGCCTTGCATGTATGGATTATGTAGGACTATTTGTGCTGCTCATTCTTAATTACAGCTATTCAATTAAGAATAAAGAGCCTAAATGAATTACATAAATGAACCAGAGCCATGTTTTGCGTCATACATGTGAAGTAACCACTAACAGAATTTTTTCATAAACAGAATTTGAATTTTTTAATAAGTTTTAAGTGTAATAAATCTGTCAATGTCATTTAACAAAACAGTGTTTTATTAATATGTTGTAAAGATATTTTTTGACTGGGGGAAACCGGGAAGTTTTCTTTTTATAGTAGTAAGTACATTTAGTTATGTTAATTAATGAATGTTTTATGCTAGTGTTGATATACCATACACTACTATTCTACTTACGGTGATGCTCGTCATTGCTTGTGTCAGTCATTGACCAAGGTTATTTAATACTGAACTTATTTCATACAGCATAATTTACCGTATTTTCCGAACTATGAAGGCAACTTTTTAATTAGAAAAAGATAGTTACTACGTAATATTTATTATACGACAAAAAGGGAAATCACCCACTTTTGTTCGACTCCGTACTTTTAATCGACAATAATTTGTAATAAGTAGTAAGTAATATTGACATATATCTTTCTAAAATAATTTTTAGAAAAATATATTTTAAGTTTTAACCTGTCTTTTGCCCGAAAAATACAATATGAGCTAATAAATAAGTACTATTTACTACAGCCATACTGTCTAGAATTGATTTCTATAACATTTTTTTTTTCAAAGCAAATTTATGCAATACGTAGGCAATGTTAAACACCTACTTGATTAATGGATTCATTTATTTGTGATTTAGAAAAACAAATTTGATATTTTAACATCAATTTATTATTATCTAATAATATTTAACACGAGATCAGAACATCAATGCTTAAAAGATCTTACATGGTAAAAGTGGTAGAACTTACAACATCAAATCTAGATAGATCATAATAAGTATAGGTAGTTCGACTGCAATCGTGATGCCTTAATCCACTTTCACTGGAATTTTGAAAGAACCAGGATTCCACCAACTGAAAAACAACAATTTATCTAATTAAATATTTGTTGACTATATTTTAATAACACCTACTAAAAGTTACATAAATGAATCAATTATTTTTTGTACCTACCGAGCACATGTAACTCAAATAGAGGTGAAAACATGGCTTAATATTCTCACATTTTGTGCTAGATATATTTAAATTCACCAAAGGCGAGCTCACCCACCGATTTAAATGAATTTGGTTCGATATTGGTATTTCCATCGGCGGAGAATTAAATAGTCAGTCTTTAATTGCAGGTATTTTTTATAAATAGTCCTACACCTATGGTCTATGTGCCGGTAGTAAACTACTAGGCAACACTACTAAGCATTTAATCAAATATACATGATTTGGAAATTTGTTTTTTATTACCTGACTTTTTTAGCCCTAGATTTACTCTCAGATAGCATTTGCATGATTATTGTGCAGACATAAACGCCTTGCATTGTATAAAAGAGATGTTGCCAACTCAATACAAATGTTTGATATTTAGGATCTGTTTTGTTTCGAATCAAGGATCCAAAATCTCGGTGTCTTGCAGATTCAATCAAACGAGAATCGAGTTCACGGTCATTGCTAATATCCTTTGTTCTATAATTCATGTCACGTCGGTTGACGTTGATGTCACGATTACGATCACTGTCTCCGACCATTGATTCTCGTTTTAATGTGTTCCTATGCATTCTACCAGAATCATCTCTAGCCAGCCGCATCGATCTTACAACAGGGTCATAGGTTAGTCTAAGTCCCTCTCTAAATGATCGCTCTTCCCTTTGGTAACGTTCGTCGTATTGATTCGTATAGCGTATGCGATTCACACTTTTACGCTCGTGTCTTACATCGTTTCGAGAATTGATCTGACGTCCAGTAATTGGCATTGCGTTTTCGTAGCTTTCACGGAACTGGGATCTAAATACAAATCGGTCTCTATTATTTTCTATACGGTTGTTTGCATCAGCAGCTCTCCTTTGGTCTTCGCGAGTAACTCTGGCGACTCTTCTCTCAGAATAGCGCCGATCATTGTTTTCATTTAGTGGTGTCCTACTTTTGAATATTTTTGTTTCTGTATTGCTTATTATGTTGGAAACTGCATCCTCGTTTTCCCGTATATCTCGATATTCTTCACTTATTTTTAGTCTATTTAGTTCGGTATCTCTTACTAAGCGATTACTTTCCCGTTGGCCGTTATTTTGCCTAATCTGTCGGTCAAAAGACCTTGTTACAAGCCGTAGACCACTCCTTGCCTCTGAATCTCGCTGATTGCTGCGCATGGAGTTCCTATTATCATTTCTTAGATCTATAGTACGTCTGTTTTGAATTTCCCTTAGAATATTGCGACGTTGGTTATACTCATCTAACTCCATAATATTTTCCCCAAAATGCCTTACATGTTGATTGGGATGTTGACGTTCACGTATTAATCTCCGTTCTATTTGGGTGCCTTCTCTTTGTTCCCGGGATTCCTTTCGATTATAAAAACGATTACCTCTGCCTGTTACCAAGTTGTCCTGGGCGTCGACATCAATTTCATTCTGATCCCAGATTCTATGGTTTCCATTATTTAAAAGTCGCGAATTCAATCTAGTCGTAATTGTTTGACGCTCATTTCCTACGTTACGTACATCAGTTCGAATGGTATCTCGGTTAAGCGATTCTGTATAGTATTTACGGGTGATATCTCGGTTGTGATCGCGATTATCTGTTGTTTGTCGTTCTAGAGGTCGACGGCTCATTCTAGGGTCATTATCACTTCTTTCAAGACGTGATTCAAAACGAGAAACAGAGTTGCGTTCCATTCCTTTTCTTGACTCCTGTGGCCTATTTCGAGCATTTAATGAGCTGATGTATACTACCTGAGATCTTGTTTGCTCGAGTAAATTACGCCTTTCTGCACTTTCTTTAATTCTTCGAGATGTATCAGAAATGGCAATTCTTGATCGGGTGTTATCATAAACAGTTCGATCTGTTTCGCTGATGATACGTGATGACCTAAAATATTTATCTTCACGGTTGTTGCGACCATTTTCTCTAGAGTTTCTAGCGAAATGTTTGCGTTCTTCTCGAATAGAGGATTCCCTAGTACGACGCTGTTCAATTTGTATATCGTTTGAATATAAATTGGTGCGTCTAGAATCTCTTTCCCGAGAAAAGGGTTGTCTTATAACCGCACTGTTCTTTTCAAAATCGGCATTAGTTTTAACGGATTTGGAAAATTCGTGGAGGTAGTTTGCACGACGCTCTTCAAAACCAAGTTTCTTATGGTGTACACTTGCATAGACCGATAGCCGTGTATCTCTTTGCAAGGTATGCGGTTGGCGTTCGCTACACTCTTGCCTTCCATCAACGAGGCTCCGCTCGGCGAAGGATTCAATAGGCTGGAATATTGCGAGGGACGCAAGTAGTAGTAAACGCCACTTATACATAGTAACAATCTGGCTTTTTTGTAAGGATTTCTTTTGTCGCGATTTCAGTGTTAGAAGTGAAACTGAGAAGTCTACTTCTGAACTGTGGAGCTTAGCTGCGAAACCTCCTTTTATACGCCATCGAGGTCTGAGGCCACTGAATTTCTATTAAGCGCTAGAACGCATCCAATTTTAAACAAGTTACGCACAACATTTTATGAGAATGATCGACAAATCTTAATCCTGGAATTAAATCCCTCCTTTCCCCTTATGAGAAACGTGTTAACGTTTCTCATAAGGGGAAAGGAGAAGAAGTAGTGTATATTACCTATACCTTATTACAAGGACTAAAAATCTTCATGTGTACCTACCTATATAGAGGTCTGTCGTGACTGCATAATCAGAATTGTTAGAAAATCGAAATTTGGCATATCATATAACTTTCCAGGAACAAGACCGTCGTAAACAGTTGTCTGCTAAAAATATTATATTAAATATTGTACCGATATTAATTGTAATGTTTTAGACTGACTTTCTGGTACTGTGCATAGTCGTGGGAAGCTTTGTCTCTTTTATTTTTGTTGCGAGCCACCTTGTTTGCTTTGTAAACTGTGTTTTGCATGAAGCCTACCAAGAAAAAGCTACACGATATCCTTCAGTCCCTGATGTAGTTCATGTTATAGACGGACAGTTACCACGTACCATCAAGTTTGTTAGCCATTTTAGTTCAATGAAAATAAAGGTGTACCCATATATATACCTACGTAAAATAATAGTTTACTCCTATTTCAGTCTTATAAACACTTATAAGTCCACCTTTGCTCACATTGTCTCTAAGTTATATTATCATTGTATTATTTGTGCAATAAAGAGTATTTATATATTTATAAGACTGAAATTGGAGTAACATCGGCAACTAAAATATTAATTAGGTCCGAAATGAATCATCAAGTTTAATTAAAATTATCCAAAACATCATATTACCTCCAAAGATTTTCGAAAATATTGACATTTTCACTTAAACATAATTATAGTGTAGGTACCATATCTAAACACTATGTATATCTATACCTACCTAGGTATACGTACTTACTTACCTAAGGAAGTACGTATACTGAACAAAAATCTATGGAATTATATATAATACAAAAGTATCAACTACTGCAACATTCTTGTATACAGAGTAACGTTATCGGTGGTCACAGCTGCACAGGAAGATTTGTCCTTACTCGTAAAATAATTATCTGATCGCACCCGCTGAAGCAAGAAATGGGAACCCATAAATTGAATTCCTATGACGTCAATACGCTTAAAATTCTATACAAGTATAATAATATGTTATAGGACGACATGACCACGTACTAATACACAGTGTATTATACATTGTTCCTTGTGCTGTTCCTGTCTATATATGTAGGTATATGAGTGTAACTACTTTCTATCAAGTTGTAATTATCACAGGATTAGATTAGAATTCAACTTCTGTCAACTTATAGCTACCTACTACAAATCAATTTCCTTGATAGTATCGATAATTTATGGAAATACAAACAATAATATAAGTATAGACTGTTATTACCCAGAGTTTTTGGTGACTGGAGAGTCTGGTATCAATGTATTGAAGGCCACTATATCATCTCTAGAGAAACAAATTAACAGCCAGGCACAGTCGGCCTTACGTAATGAATTAGAAATTATTGGCGTCACCGAAACCCCTAATGAAAACCTACAGCACATTATTTTACAAACAGCTAGTAAAATTGGTGTAAGCTTAACGTGTGAAGACCACGATTGGGTTATGAGACCCGGAAACAGCTACGCTCAAGGCACCCAAACATCAAACAAAATTATTCCTCGTCCGTTGATTGTAAAATTCATGCGCAGAGCAAAAAGGGAAGATTTCCTTAAAGCTGCTAAAACCAGACGTAACATCACCTCTGCGGACATCGAGATTCAGGGGCCAGCAAGGAAATTATACTTTAACGAACATCTTACAAAACATAATAGACTGTTTTTTCGAGACACAAGATCAAGGGCTAAAGAATCTGGCTATAAATACTGCTGGATTAAGAACGGAATTGTACACATACGCAAACATGAAGGGAGACCCGCCATCAAGATACGCAATCTTTCTGACATGCACCATCACCTTGGCCTGCATGATGAAAATGTTTCCGTTTGCTCAATAATTAAAGATCGTAATAAATAATGTTTCAATTATTTACCGGTACTTTGCTTAGTAATTTAATACTTATGAGAACCTTTAATTATAATATCTTTCTAAATAGTTTGACAATATTTATTTACAAAATGTATAAAATGAGTTCCAGTTGGGTGATCTCTATTATAAACAAATCACGTATCTATTGTAAACAGTTTCATATTTATTTATACTTCTACACACTTAAATCAAATTTTAATCTAAATATAGCATTAATATATTTTTAATATTTCCTTTACACATAACACTGCTAAACCTGTTCAACATAAAAAATTGTCTTGTAAAAGCCAATATTCAGTATTATTGTTGGTGTATTTGCCGGCATAACGAACTACAATCAGTATGTTATTCTCGTGGTACGAGTGGTGACTCATATCGTAGATACAAAACATCTTCCTCTTACCAAGTACTACGACTACATAAACCACCATAGATATTGAGAAGGATATAGATGATTCTTTTGCTATAGAATGTCACTGAATCTCAGATCCCGAGTTATGCATGGACGTACTACAGCCATATTCCAATTTTACTTTGTTAAGCAGTAACATAAGAAGTCTGCAACGAAACATCAACGATTTTCTGGTGATACTAAAACGACTTGAGGTAGAATATGACGTCATTATTTTATCTGAATGTTGGTTACATAAAGAATCTATATTACCACAGATACCAGGTTATAGTGCTTTTCGTACAAACAAATTTATTAATAAGAGTGGAGGTGTTGTGGCGTATGTGAAAGAAGCATGGAGTGCTATCGTTTTGGAACCAGTTATTTATGATGCAAATTGTCTACAAATCACAATTAAAAATAAACTTACAATTCTGGGTATCTATCGTTCTCCATCTTTTCCTAGACCAGACCGTTTTTTGGGCTCCTTAGATTCAGTTATTAATAAAATTGGATATTCCTATCCACTGATAATTGCTGGTGATATAAATATAAATATTGCTACTAGTGACGTTGAATGCGGCCAATCCGATTACCTATGTTTAAAGGCTAGTCATGGATTGATTTCAGCTGTAACGAAGCCCACCCGTAACTCTGCCTGTTTGGATCATATTTTTACTACCTATGCCGATTCTGCCATAGGTATTGTTTGTGATAGTGCGTTGACCGACCATAAACTAACCATGATAGGTCTTGGATGGCTGAATAAAAAAGTAAAACACAATAAACACAGACTTGTAATAGATTACAATATGGTGGCTACTGAATTACGTAGTGCAGATTGGGCACGGGTACCAGAAACAAATGATGTTAATGAGTCTGTGAACATATTTCATAATATTATTGAACACTATTAATTTGCATACACTTCTGTGTATTAAGATAAGTCGTACTAAATATAATCTTAAGCCATGGATCACCCCTGGACTTATAACATGCATGCGACACCGAGATCAGCTACACAATCGTCTAAAAAGGAACCCTAATGACTCTGTTTTGAATTTAACTTATAAACGCTATAGAAATTTTTGCAACAACTTACTATATAGAGTCACGTGGGGCAAGTGTGCGCAGCGGGTAAGTGTACGCACTCGAAGTATTTCAAAAACGGTTTATAGGTACGAACTGATAACACCCCTCCTCATTAGCGCACAAAAGGCTATACTTAGTGCAACTTTTTCACTGTCCGCCGGTGAACCATTTTGTTTCCGTAAGTGAGTATTGTTTTTTGCTTGAAATATTGCGATTTTTGTCTTAAATGAGAGACTCATTCCTTTGTAATATATTTATATTTTGAAATCATGCTTTATACCATCGAACAGTACATTTTATGTAATATAAGCCGTGTTTAATCTTTTGGTGATGACGATTACGTAATATTGCTCAGTTCTGGTTAAATTTTATTTTGATGGTTTGGGGTAAGTGTGCGCATACGAATGTCGGGTAAGTGTGCGCATGCGAATACTTACCCCGCTCCGCTTTGGCTTTGTATTTATGATGCAATTTGTTATTTCAGAGTTTAATTATACATAAAAAATACCTCGATTATAAAAGAAATGCCGGATAGAAGTGTTGTCACAGAGGAACAGCTAGAAGCTGTTAAAAGATTAATTTCGGAAATTGGTAGCAAACGACAGTGTGGCACCCGCAATAATGAGTGTCTATAGTCATATTTTTAATTAGACGAAGTCAACTGACGTTTACTGTGTTGTCAGTATTTGATGAAATAAAAATAGTGTTGTGACAAAGTGAATCATTGACAAAACTCCTGAATTAATGGAATTGCCTCGATTGTCTAGTGAATAGTTAGTGTGCCGAACTGCCGATATCGGGTACGGGGTTTGAATTTTAGCCGTGCTTTATACATACCAACGAGTTTACGACGATTATGTTCCTATTGTATCTACCTATACTGAATACCGAGTATTTTAAACGTAAAGAAAAAATTGCGTGGAAACTTTTAAGACTGTCCTAATTACAATTCATAATGTAATTGAAACTATAGATGTACAAAATATAACAATATATAACATAATATAGTTAGGTAATAAAAATAAAAAACTGCGCTTATTACAAAATTTGTTTTTATTCATCATCAGATAAAAAAATCATTGTCGCTTTCAGTGACATTAATTATAAATCTGTCTAAAAATTGATAATAATTTATCTTTGAAACAGTGTTTCGCTCCACGTTTCTGCGGAGACTTAAATTGTTCACTTTGTATTATTTTAATACATTGTAGACTGAGGTCACACCAATTCCCAAAATGTCAGCTGTTTTCGAAATACATTTGTTTTTTTGGGAGCCTCAATAGGCAATAGTGAAGCAGCTTTCTCAAATACGTATTTGTAGACGTTTTGTATCATAAGTTTTTCGGTAACGTCTTTCTTGGAGACAAGCTTTGGCTTGACGTGCTTGGTTGAGGATCCATATTGTTTGTATGAAACAATATAGTAAATATACAATATACCCAACAATTACCACAAACACAACATGAGGAAAAACTTAACAAAACAGCGTGAGCGCAAAAATAAACATTGGTGCTCTCAGACCAGAGGTTAGAAGCCGAATTACGAACAAAATGGCGACAGACGCTCGCGACGTTGATTTGTGTTGGCACTAGTAGCCGCGCGCTTTGTAATAAGCCGTTAAAAAACTGATTGTAGTTACTAGTAACTTATATCAGAGCACTTTTATACAATTTTCTTTTGTAGTTTGTAATGATTAACTATTCACGCTCATTGTTCATTCATCTAACTGAGAACTGAACGCATCACTATTACTTTAAATATGGCAACATTATTTTACAATGTGACATTAGCTACTGTCAGCTAGCTTCGTCTAATTAAAAATACGACTATAGGAATGAATATGTACGACTGTCATCCATCCAAGAAATACCGAAGTTGGCCTTAGGCATTTCTTGGATGAATGACTGTGATTCAAAATTGGCGAAAGAAAGGCAAAAAGTCAATCATTGATACTGTAAGTCCTTATAAAGTAGAATTGGAAAAACAAAAAACAAGAGGAAGAATAAATTGCCAAAAAAGAAGATACGACTTGATCTGAAAATAAATAAAATGATGAGCAGGAATTATTTTGCCCACTGTGTGGAGAAAAATACATATTTCCACCGAATGAAGACTGGATCCAATACAGCATCTGTAAGAGCTGGTGGCATGAACAATGCAATAACTTTGAAAAGGAATTATTTGAACTGATGTATTATTATTATATTAGGTTGAGGATGTCTATTTTCTGGTTTATCATATGAGTCTGACTCTATTTACTGTATGTTACATGTTGCGTACACTTACCCGCACTACTGCGCACACTTACCCCTATACTTGGGTAAGTGTGCGCATTTAAACAGTTTTGATTTTGTTGATTTCCAAAGAATTTGTGTAAATGATAATTATTTATTTTGCGTTTAAGTTGTTGATTATTAAATATTTTATGTAATAAACCTTGTTTTGTTCTAGTTAACTTCAAATATTTTATTATATGATACTTCAAACCTTAAGTGCGCACACTTGCCCCACGTGACTCTAATGTTAAAACTGAGTATGAAAATAAAGTCCTTTGCAAACACAACAAAATCCCAAAAAAATTATGGCAGTGTATAAAAACCATTTGCGAGATTCCAAATAAAAAAATGGATGGTTCGGAACTGGCAGGAATCACGAATAATACTCGCGACTCATTGAATCTGTGCAATCAATACTTTACTACAATAGGAAAGGCATTGACTGACAATGTACTAAAGAAGATGAATATTATTATTACTGAGGACGAAATAGTCTCTAAATTTGATAAACCACTATCACACCAAGGTGCTATGTTTCTGTTTCCACCTGATGTTTATGAGGTTTCCAAATATATCCAAGAATTAAAGGATTATAGTGCCCCGGGTTTTGATAATTGCAAGCCTCTATTTGCAAAACATATCAGAGATATTATTTTGGAACCATTAACACACATTATAAATCTAAGTTTATCGGTGGGTATTTACCCAGAGAAATGGAAAACAGCTGTTGTCACTCCTATTCATAAGAATGGTCCTAAAAATAGCCCCGATAACTACCGACCAATATCACTTCTCAGTATTTTCTCGAAATTGCTAGAAAAAGTAATGAAGAAACGTCTCATAAATTATCTCGATAAATGTAATTTTGTCTCTCAAAGATAATATGGGTTTAGGAAAGACAAGTCTACAGAGGATGCTCTACTTTCGCTGACGGATAAGGTCGCTGATTTTTTAGATAAGGGCAAAAAATGTATCGGTGTCTTTCTGGATCTTGCCAAAGCTTTCGACACTGTGGCCATTCCGATTTTACTGAAAAAGCTGGAAAGCGCTGGAATAAGAGGAATAGCATGGAACTGGTTTCGCAGCTACCTTTTCGATAGGAAACAATGTGTCCAAGTAGGACATTTAAAAAGCGATTATATTACAGTACGTCAAGGAGTTCCACAGGGAAGTATCTTAGGCCCATGTCTATTCACTATCTACATGAATGATATCTTGAATCTACAGATACCTAACGCTGATATAGCTTGCTATGCGGATGATACAGTCGTATTATTTAATGGCTCAAACTGGAGAAGTGTTATGCAGCTAGCTGAAAGCGGACTCGTAGAAGTGTCTCGTTGGCTGGACTCGCATTTATTGTCCTTAAATACCAGTAAGTCTAAATATGTTGCCTTTTACAAAACTAGGGCATCAAGACCTACCACACTCGACATTATTAAAGTTCACACCACGCTATGTCCAGGCTCAAACGCAACTTCAATAGGTATTCCAATTAATTGTAATTGTAAAGTCAAGGAATCAGCTGAAACAATTAAATATCTAGGTGTGCTGATAGATCCGAGCTTGTCGTTCAAACCTCACATTACTAAACTGGCAGCAAGGGTCCGGAAGCTAATATACGTTTTCAAACTGATACGTAACAGTGCCAATAAAGAAGTTCTCAAAATGATATACTTCGCGATGTGCCAATCTGCATTGCAGTACTGTATCAAGGTGTGGGGTGGTGCTGCAAAGTCACACATGCTTCTCCTGGAAAGAGCCCAAAGAGCTGTGCTTAAGGTAATGTATGGGAAACCAGCTCGTCATCCCACAAATGAACTGTATAAACGATCCTCAGTTTTAACTGTACGACAGCTGTATATTTTCCAAGTATTCAAGATATGTCACAGAAAGTACACATGTCAACCTGAACATCGAGAACTACTAAGTAAGAGACTATATAAGGTTCATGTTCCTTGCATAAAAACCACATTCGCAAGTCGCCTACCAAGCTTTCTTCATCCTTTCATTTACAACAAAATTTTAAAATTTTGCCAAATTCAGAATCACACAATCTCTCAGGCTAATAGACATGTCAAGGCCTGGTTACAAAGTCTAAACTATGACGATACAGAAAACATTGTTAAGAGTTAAAAAGGGTGAAAGGATTTGCGGGTATTTACGGTAATGAACTTTATTTTATATATATATTTTATTCTTATTATCATTATTTTCCCTTCTTTTTTTTTCTCCTGTAAGTAATATACTCACGCACATACACACAACACACACATTAATTAGATATTGGGAAACACGTTCTGGTATTTATTGCATGTATATATAATTGTAAAATAATTCACCACAAAATAATTAACCTAATTGTAAAATAGTCAATTAAAGTGTACATATACTGCATATTTTTTGGTATCCGCGCTCCCAGCCCCCAAGATACAGGCCTGACCTAGTTTGGGGACTACAGATAATAGAAATATATAAAAATTGTATTATATTGTAAACATGTAAATGTAAATCTATAATATATTATTATTCTCGATGTATAAATAAATATAAATAAATTTAAAATTTAGTTACAAGAAGTGCCTGCCAGAGAATGAAATTGATATCGTTGATTATTTACACGAATAGTTGAGGAAGATGATTGTTAGTACCATTATTAAAAATCATCTTTATTTAGGACCCATTTTTAGCAGTGCTCTTTGTTAGGGTCACCTCCATGCAATGGTCATTTGAAACCATCATGGTTAATTTCTGATGAATGCGCCTTGCTGCCGCCGCGCCGCTGCGCTTTTCTATCCTCCAATAACCAAATCATGTATCCTTACCTTCTTCAGTCGTATGTAACGTAGAAAAAGAAATGTGTCATACAAAGTAGGGCTGACAGTACGAGACTTCGTTGAAGATAGCCCATTCGGTGGACTTACCAAGTTAAACTAGCGGTTCGCTCCACGAGTGTGCTCGAATGGCAGCTAGAATAGCTATTGTAAGGCCGATGACACCGACTCTCCTACATAATGACCATGAAAAGCGGCGTGCTGACCTGACTTCATACTACCTAGAAGATGATTTCACTGGTTGTCCATCAGTGTATACTGTTAGTCCTAGCAGGTATATAGTTCTATATTCATCTATTATAAAATAAATACTTATATGAGGATCGGTCCAGCGTTCCGTGAGACAATGTATCAAAATTAAGAAACTAAATGACGAATAATAAAAAATAGTAGCGACCCGCCGCGGTATAGCACGGGTGCATTTAAAATCTTTGAATATGCATATATTATATATATAAACCATCCTTTTGATGCACCGTTTCTGAAAATCACTTACAAATATGTTGCATAACCTAAGCGGTACAGGCATCACCGGCGAATTTGTCTTATACTAATTAAAGATGAGGCCCGAGGCAGTTGAGTATTGTGCAGTGTTGTCGTGGCGAACATAACACCTGACGATTGTATTCTCTACGATTTATTAGTTGCCCACAAATGTCACTTGTCTATTGGATTAATTTGGTTTGTTGTCGATGTTTTCATAATCTGAGAGTACTTAAGTTAAGTGATACATTGGTACCGGCCAGAAACAAAATTATGATCTTAGTGGTCTATAAGCATAGCACTAGGCCACGAATCTTATGATAATTATTTATTTGGCATTATGTAAAGCGCTAAAGGTAAAGGTTGGTAAAAAATACAGGTGTTTTGGGCAACCAAAGGTTTATTTTTATATAATTCTCTTAATTTTAGTTGTAACCATAGGATTGGATGAGTGTTGTGAATGGCGCTGTAGCCTTTGCAACCTTCTCGCCTGCCTCCCTGGTGATTTTCTGTAACAAAAATCTAGAATGCAATACTGAACGAACTTTAATGCTCATTACACGAGAACATATTTTTTGCATCAGGATAATATTTTTTTCATAAGCATCAAATAATGTAGGTAATTAATCATCATATAAAATTTATAACGGCCTAAAACATATGAAACTTAATAATATATGAAATCTTGAATATTTTAAACTAAACTTATTGTTTATTGTTTCAAAGTGAACCGGAATTAACAAATTTTTTAATGGAAATAGAAAAAGAGGACTAATTTTAGTTATTTTGAAGCAAAATTACAACAATAATTTCTAATAGTTGCAATTTTTCTTTGAAAGTATGTGAGTATTTAATAGTTCATACAGAAATTTTCAACTATTTGACAAATTAACAAATACCTATGGGCAAAAAATGAAGATAAAAGGGCAATTTATCATTTGGAAAAATGCTTTCCTAGATGGTGTTAACTCTGCTATACTGTACATTAAACATATCATACTCATGTTTTCAAAAACAATTCACAGATTCTTTCAAGTAATTTATAAAAATAATATAAAACCTTAAGTTTCTTTTCATATGCAACCCTGTGGACAGCATTGAACTTCCTCTTATCTTCAAGTTTGCGTACGACGTCGCGGTACTTCCAGCCAACCTCATGGGACAGACGGCCAACGTGACAGTACTGTGGACAATGGTTTCTAATTTAAATATCAACAATTAATTTTATATAAATATTTATTCTTATACAAAACAGCTCAGTACAAAAATAATGTCACAACATTGATTCACTTCAGTCGCAAATTACCCGTAAACATCATTGGTAATGTATTTTACATCCATAAATAAAATTTACAAAAGGAGTAAAAAATTTGGGTTTAAAAAAATTGACAATAAGTATATACTATAGAAAACTATTAATTAGGATAGGAAAAATAAAAAAAGAGTACAATTGCCTTTTACCATATCTCTTCTCAGGAAGAATATTTTTGTTATCCTTGTCTATTTTAAAATTAACTTTTGTAGATATTGAATAAAATTTCAGGATGTAATATCAAGATTGCCTAAAAACATAACATTTCTTTAAAAAATAATTCAAATTATTGAAAACAACATTCATAATACATGCTTAAAGATTTAACTTAAAAATCTTTTGTTCATAGAAAATAGTTGCAGTTTCTATATCTCTTTATAAGTAGTATGTCACCCTCTAAACCTGTCTCTGCTGCTCTTATTTCAGAAATAAATTTGAAGAGTAACATTTACTTCACAGATGTAATAATAATGACACTACACACAGTTAACTGTCAGTTTGCAATACTTTATTTTTAATTGTATGCAACATGATATACTTGCTTTCTTAAACCAAACTCACAAAAAAATATCCTGGTACTATTTATACAAAACCTAACACTGTTATTATATATCTGACATTGACAATATAGATTATTTTCTGATAATAATGGAATGGTGCACATACCTGTGCTAACGGTTTACACTGGTCACCGTCGGAGGATAAGATGAACATGAGGTCGGGTCAGTTAGCCCATAGTGACAAAATATACATAAATTGTCAATGTAAGAGGAAATCTGTTAAAAAGAATATTGTACCTTGCGACCAGGCTTCAAGCAGAAGACACGGAGTGCTGCAGGTACAACCACTCGCCTGCGGTTGTCATAAGGAGGAGGGCACCCATCATATGTACGAAGCCTTCTGAGTGCATCCTTCCCACGCTCAGTCTTGTGTGGGATCATACCTATTAAAGTAACATGATCATCATTAGTACTTACTAGAATTAGCATATATGTAAAATGCTCATAAAAATGTTACTTCATATAAAGTGTTTGATCATAAACATCATCTAATGTAGGTATAAAATAAAATAATCACCAGTAAAACCAGAAACAGAATAAAATAACAATATTATTATTAGCTTTATGACTATTCATACAAAAGTAAAATAATTATTAAAATTTTTAATATCTAGAAACAAATAACAGTCAATAAAACTAGAGAGAGCAGGATGAACAATAATTTATCTTTTATAAATAATGGTGCAATTCAAAAGATTCCCATACAAATCTCCTAAAGGCTTGGTGAGCCGACTGCAAAATACGGATATTAAGGAAATATATATATATATCTACCTATATAGAAAATCTTCATAGTCTACCTTCTTTGTTACTTTTAATTAAAATTTTTTAATGTATATGTATAATTTTATCCAACATACCCCTGACAGTTTTCCAAAGAATCTTGGACGGGGCTCTGAAGTGGAATGGGCCACGAGCTGGATTAACATTGCATCGCTTGCGCAGAAATGACATAAACTTCAATTTGTTCCTGAAATATTAAATATTATATTTATTAAGATTGAATCATTAGCAGAATTATTCTCAACAATCTTGTTGAATGGATCAGAGTATTTATGTAGCAACATGAAAAAATTCAGTCGCAAATTACCCTTAGAATAACATCATTTTATTATAAGAATAGTACTTTTAAAAAGAATTATGACCAAGGCAAATAAGTTACCTTTATAGAAATTAAGTACAGAAAACTCGTTCATCTTGAAAGTGCCTTCAGTCACAACCACGCCGTACGAAAAGAATTGACATAACCAACCTGAAGAAGTTCCCAGAGATGTTAAGTTGTTCGCAACGCACAACAACTACTTTGTTTCCTTCCAAGAGAACCTTGGCGATTACTGCGGACAGTCGCCCGAGTAGATGGCCACGGCCATCGATAACTATGGCCTGAAAACAGTAAATTCTATCAGTGAATCGGTTGACGTATTAAATAATTACGTACCGCATAACCTAAAATATAAGTGCTTCACAAATCACAAATAAAAAAAATAAATGAATTAGACTTACTTCGCCTTCAACAAAATTTAGAAACTACGATAACAAATTTATTTTGATTTTATTTTCATTATTTCTATTGTTAACATAAAATTAAGCACGTGTTGTGGCTGTGTTACAGTAACTCGCATTGAAATTTTTATGTCAACTATGATACAACAATAAAGTAACAAGAGATTGTTTTATTGAATAAATTTATTATGGTAGATTTTACTAAATTATATTATAATTTTGATTTTTCTCCTCACCTTATTACTAAAGCCCGTCATATTCACGACAACAAAACGGAAAAGAATTTTTTTTTAACAAAATGGCTACCGCCGGATGTAGAAAAGACTAGTGTTGCCTTCTATAAAGTATTTATTTTTGGAAGAATAGTCATTTTATCCTCGTGTTAAAATTTTGAGTTCTCTAAGGAAACAGTAATAGTCAGTCAGTACTCTGTAGTCTAACCTGCTCTAATAGTCTGTGTTCTTTAACACAATTATGTTGGTAGTTGTTTGAAATCTCAATTTAGAAATTTAATTGAAAACTAAAAATACATTCTATTAAACTTTAGACTGAGTAATGTAGTTTAAACAAATAGTTACGTGTTCTCAATTTATTGGTCATTTGAAGAAATAAATGTATCAATTTGTGTAAATTTTTATTATTTGTCCTAGTGTATTATGGAGATTCCGTACAGAAAAATATTTATATACGTTTTAACGTTTGTTGCTTATGCTTATACTGGAGTAGGCTCAAATATGTTACGAAATTTAAAAGATGCAGTATTATCTGCGGAATCTGTATTTGGTAATATGCTCGAAAATGTAATAACTGTGGCAGAAAAGTTCCGGTCATTACATGAGGTATTTGACGCGGCTGTGGAAGAAGATTGCATATATTCTTGTGCTGAAGGTTTGTAATTTTTTTAATTCGTTCTCAGCTAAACTAATCCATTATACTATTCGTTTTAAAATGAAATATATACCTCCCTTCTTTATACTGTTAGTTTGTATTACATTATCAACACAACAAATTGTATCCAAGATACAGCACAATACAATTATGCTAAGCTACTAAAATTTCTTAATTAATTAGCCGTTTTATAGCTGCCTGCATGGAAAACAGTCTATGTTGCTGCTAAAATGGGGCTACTATCTGTGCATGAAGAAATTGTTAAACAAAATTAATAAATAAAATATTTAGATATATTTTGTAGTACATATTATCTGCGGTTAAAATAATTTTTGCCGATATTTTAAAAATGTCCAAAAAATATGTTGTAACAATATATTATTACATTTTAGGTGGGAAACCAGTGCGTAACAAGAACCATTTACCTAAATCTGATGGATGTGGTTCCTTAGGCTTTGAAATATCAACAGAATATTTACCACTAGAACTGATGACCAAATGTTGTGATGCCCATGATATTTGTTATGACACTTGTAATAGTGGCAAAGAAGTATGTGACTTAGAGTTCAAGAGGTGTCTATATAATTATTGTGACACATATAAATCTGTTAATATAGCAGGCGATACATTATCAAAAGGTAATTAATTTACAGCATTACATATAATTATTTTAGAGTACTACTGATATTCAACTTCATTGTTAGCCCTCTGCTAAGGTTGCTTGCTTAGAGAATAATGTAAATATCATATATAATAATCAGTAATGGGTAAACAATTATCATGTATTATTTCATTGTTGCATACATTTGTTTTATAGGTTGTAAAGGAGCTGCTAAACTATTATTTACGGGAACATTAACACTTGGCTGCAAGTCATATTTGGATGCACAAAAGAATGCTTGCTACTGTCCACCATCAGGAAAAAAGTATAGAAAATACCCAGGAAATGGTGAATTATAGAAATTACTATTTTTTTAGAAATTGTACCAACTACTAATACTAAATATAATTACTATTAGTAGTTGGTACAAATTACCTTTGCAGAAGAAAGTGAGGCACCATGAAAATTTTATAAAGGTTTCTTAGCTTTAATCATTTTCAATTTCATTTTGTTTGGTGTTGCAGATGATCACTGATTAATTACATGTTATTTTTTCAACAAGTCCTTTTATGCTATGAAATTGGTGATGATTTTCTTTATAGAGTTAAGAATTGTGATATTAATAACATAGTCATTATATAAGTATAAACCAATATATTTTAAATTATTTTGTCTTTCTATTGTGATGAAAAACTAATTGTAATTTGAAAAATGAATTTATTATCCTGTTAATGTTTCTATAGTTATATTATTTGTATGAGTTGTGTTTACATTTTGCACTTTTATTTTTTTTATTGTTAAGTATGTTATTATGCAAGAGAATGGGTATTTATTACTAAATATGTTGGATCAAAGCTATTATATTAAAAATATGTCAGTGTCAAAAATACATTATAAACAATCAATTTTAGCAGCCATATGAGTAATATACTGAGATAAATTTTTCTTACCAATATAGTCAAATATTGATATATTGCAATATATTTAACAATATCTCCCATATCTGACAGTTTTAAAATAAAAATGAAATTAGAAGCCAAATTCTTACATCAGTTTTGTTTTATTTTAGCAAAAATTACATCTTATCTCTTTGAAGATACATCTTAACATAAATTATTAATTAGCTTAATTTAGAGTATAAGGCCCTTTGGAAACCTCACAACTGTTATATGCCATTGTCATGTAAAATATTTATGATGACAATAGAACCACGCAAGTTTCCCTAAACTGATATAAATAGGCCTTGAATATAGAAACTAATCCTAACTGGACGCATAATCAAAACACATATGTATCTACAACTCCATATGTTGAGCATATAAAAATAATCCAATAAAATGTAAATAAATGCATTTAAAAATATTTTATGCTTAATATCTTGCTCAGCTTTCACAATATATTAATGTGAATAATTAAATTAGATATTGTAGTAAATTTTATAGTTCGAAAATGTATTCTATGTTAATAGTTCCTTGATTTCATCTTTTTCAGCCGCTTCAATGTATGGGGTACCATCTGGAGTTTTTCCACTTTTAGATGCACCCTGTAAGTTATATAAACAAATTTAAAATGATTCAGTTGAGCAATAGGCACAAGTTTTGAAAGTTATGCAAATATATGTACATACATTTTTAAGTAATGTTTTCACACAGTCAGTATGGCCCTCCCAAATTGCAGCTAAAAGCACAGATATGCCATGTTTATCTATCATCTGAAATATAACAAAAAAAATTATGAAAACATTTCCACTGAAGTGAATTTATTTGTATATGTACAATTAGACTTGATAATATGGGTGATTTTAGTAGTTATTTTACTATACACAACATTTACATAATGTTTTTTTTATATAAATATTTTTTTACACAAAACTTTATCTGATATCACAAAGTAGTTCATCAAACTTAAATACTTTTCTTCTACTTCTCTTTCTTCTACTTAAATATTTAATTATATCTATCATTACTAAATTACTTTTCAGATATAATACAATTTCATGTTTTATAATAATTAGAGGGAGTGACAAAAAAATATTTACATGTGTATTTTATGTTATTCTTCTTATATATTTTATATTCATGATAAAACTCTATTATATACTCACATTTGGGTCAGCACCTTTGTCCAATAAATAATTCAGAACAGTTGTTTGTCCATAATCAGCAGCATAATGAAGTGGTACTCTACCATCTATGAGGGCATTTACATCTATTTTCTATAACAGGAATTTCATAATTTGATTAAATAATTATAACGTGGAATAAAGGTCAAGATAATTCTAGAAATTATTTATATACATTAAAACTACTAATTATTTTAAGCCGGGTCTCAGGATGATTCACATCATTGTTAGTTGATCCATATGAAATTAATGGAAAAGCCACTAATAAATTAGAATGAAGTGTGAAATATTGATTGTAAAAAGTCGACACATAGCTTTCTCTTACCGACAATACTGTAATTTCCCTCAAATAGCAAGTAACGTGTTTACAAGAAATATAATTGACAGCGAGTGGTTTACCTTATTTTCGATAATATCCTTTACTTGATCTATATCACCATTTTTGATACCCCACACTAATTCGCTCATTGTTAGGTATTTATTAATTTTTAATCATTCAATTCTTTATTTCGAAATGCAAAAAGCAATCGCAAAAAAAGTACAGAGAAATAATGGCGATGACAGTGTGACCATATCAAAATTACGTTATTTCTGCCGAGATTATTCTATTTTACAAAATTCCAAAATGCGGACAACGTAATAAAAAATGTCTATTTGAATTTCAAGTTCATTACTAATAATAATTCACACAATAGTATATGAATAGTCTCCATGAACTCGAAAAGTTATATTAATCGTTGCATCGCAAGTTAAATACGCGTAGGTACTTTCATATTTATAACATACTTCAATTACACTTTCATTATCTTGACCTAACTTATTGCAAGGAAAGTCATCCGGTTCGGTGTTGGATTGACACGTGGTTTCCGTATTTACATATTTTAAACTTAAGATCACTTTGACATTTTGTGTTTTTTTTCCTGTTTTGTGTTGTGTTTGTTACTGGTGTTGGCGTAAGTATTTATTTTTCCTACATGTGACCCATCTCCATCACAAAAATGATGGAGATGGGTGCAGACGAAGATCCCCCTGATGGTGGGGGAACTACTGCTAATCTATCTGATCAGATGAGTCTGGATACTTCCTTAGTCTCAAGAAAAAGACAAGCAACGAATGACCTAAATGCTGACGAAAGTAAGAAAGTTAACTCACCATCAGATTCCATCCAATCCGTATACACAAAACCTGGCTTTGAAAATGATAACTCATTTAAATATAAAATCACAGACTCTGCACCTTATTCTGTACATATTACCAGAGTGGAACCAGACACAGCTGCTGGTTTCTCAATACGTCTCCTTAAATTCGCACAGTTTATCCATAAAAATAATATTGTGGGTATTAAAGAGGGAGGTATAAAAGCATTGGGGAGAAATAAAATCTCAGTAGAATTTAAAACATACTCTGATGCCAATAACTTTGTTGACAATCCAATCTTGTCAAATAACAAATATTCTGCAATGATACCTAAGTTCCAGATTTCTCGCATGGGTGTTATACGCAACATTCCCACAGACTGGTCTTTAGAAGAATTAGTATTTAATTTAATATCCCCTGACTATGCTGGACAGATAATTAGAGCCAGAAGGCTCAACACTAAATCACGCAAGCCTGACAATACCGTCTCTTGGATCCCATCCACAACAGTAGTCATAACATTTGAAGGACAAGTACTCCCTGAAAAAGTATATTGTTTTAATACTTCCCTCCCTGTCTTTCCTTACAATCTCCCAACTATTCAATGCCGTAATTGCTGCCGCTTTGGCCATATTCGCACACAGTGCAGATCTCAACCCAGGTGTTATCAATGTGGATCTCAACATTCTGGAGACAACTGTGACCAAAAAGATGAATCGCCATTCTGTATCCTTTGTGATAGTACAAATCATCAAGCCACAAACTCAACTTGCCCCGAACATGTCAGACAAAAGAATATTAAGATCATTATGGTAGAAGAAAATATTAGTCATATGGAAGCATCAGCCAGGTTCCCTACTCCCAAACGGTCTTATGCAGATATGGCATCAGCTCCAGCCTATAACCTCTCACAGTCAACCATAACACAAACATATCAACAGTCTCTCCACTCCTCTCCTTCTAAAACTCCCCAGAAAAATGTATCTTACCGCAAGACGATATACAAGTCCCCAAGACCCAGACCCAACCCGGGCAAATCCTATGACCGCGAAGCCCACTATAATATCATACAGACCCCTAGATCTACCCAAGCTAATGGCTCTGCCCTTAGACATCACCAAGAACGTAATACTGATACCACCCCCCTTGCTACCCCAAATGACAATTTAATAGAACTACTTACATGTTCCCTAATTAACATAATTTCTAAATTCTCCGATGCATTACCGTCCAATGTCGTTTTCTTGATTCAGCAACTCCTATCCACTTTAGCCTCTAATAACGGACCAGCTGGTCCTACAGTGGAATACTAGGAGTATCAGACATAAAAAACAAGACCTTACCCATCTCCTCAACAAACATAAACCCACTGTTGCTGCTATCTCTGAGACATGGCTTAAGCCTGGCATTCCATTCAGGATACCGGGCTTTGCAGTCTTACGGGATGACAGAGATGATGGGTGGGCGGGCTCCGCCCTCCTTATATCTAGAAACGTGTCTTACTCAAAAATCTCTCTCCCTTCCCACAGCTTAGGCTTTCAGATTGTATCTGTAAGAACCCTTGGTATATCTTTCGTATCTGTATATATCCCCCATCCTAACCATTCACTTATTCTGGAATTACAACACATCCTTTCCAATATCCCTCCCCCCCTCATGGTTCTAGGTGACTTTAATTGCCGGCACACAATGTGGGGATCACATTGCACTGATCCTTCATCTTCATTCCTACTAGATCTAGTGGATGATATTAACCTTTGCGTTCTAAATGATGGTACTCCTACCCGCCTTGCAGGTCCTTCCCAGAACCCCAGTTCCATTGATCTAACCCTATCTTCCCCATCTTTAGTAAACAAACTCCTATGGCATGTACTACCAAACTCATTTGGAAGTGACCATACTCCTATTATTATAACAATAATTAACTCCTCCAGCTCCCAAATTGCAAATCCCAAAATTCCACAACCTCTTCTAAAGTATAGAATAACAAAAGCCAACTGGCAAAAATTCTCCTCTCTCCTTGACGAAAAAGTAAACAACATCCCTCCAGATTGTAGCCATATTCAGCAATATAATGATTTCGTTTCTGCATTACTCTCGGCTGCCGATGATTCAATCCCCGTTAAAAACAGTTCCCTTAAAAAAATACCTTCCCCTCCTTGGTGGGACTCAGAATGCACTGCCAGCGTTAAACAACGCAACGAGGCTGAGAACAAATATAAACTAAACCTAACTATGGATAATTATGTCAACTTCCGTAGGACCAGCGCCCATACTAAAAGACTATTAGCAAAGAAAAAAAAATGGGATGGTACACTTTTTGTGGATCATTATCACCAAGAACATCCCCTTCGCTGGTATGGAAAAAAGTCAACTCCTGTCGTAAATCACGTAATTGCCCCAATGAGGACTCCAATGACTCAGCATCTTGGTTGGAAGACCTACTCAACAAATTAGCTCCATCATATGTTCCTTCTCAGGACGATTTCCCATCCTTTCTTCCCTCTTCTACTTCCAATAATAGATTGGATGAGCCGTTTTCGTATGATGAACTTTGTTGTGCACTAGACCATCTTAATGACTCTTCCCCAGGCATAGATGGCATACCCTATTCTTTCATCACAAAATCTTCAGTTCTCGCCCAAAAGAAACTGCTTGATATCATTAATGCTGTTTTCACTACAGGAATCATTCCTGAATCCTGGAAGACTCAAATTATAGTCCCTATTTTAAAACCTGGGAAAAACCCGTCACATTCTGATTCATATAGACCAATAGCGTTATCCTCCACTCTCGCTAAAATCACGGAACATTTAATTAAAAATAGGCTTGAATGGATCATAGAGACCAAGGGGCTATTAGCAAACAGTCAATTTGGTTTTAGACGGGGAATGGGAACTATTGACAATTTAAGCATTTTGACCACTGAGGTCCGCCTTGCATTCTCAAAAAATGAACACCTTATTGGTACCTTTCTTGACATCTCATCTGCATATGATAATGTCCAACTCCCAGTACTCAGGCAGAAAATGCAACAGCTGAGTATCCCTGCGAGATTAATACATATCATTTGTAACCTCTTTATGTGTAGATCAATTTCTCTACGCGTTAATGGTATTTTGCTTCCCCCGAGGCTAGTTTGGAAAGGCTTACCCCAAGGATCGGTCCTAAGTCCAATTCTTTTCAATATATACACCTCCGACCTAGAGACATCTGTCACATGTTTTTGTAAAATATTACAGTATGCAGATGATATTGTACTGTTTGCAGTATCAGATTCCCCACATGACTCTACATCCCGTTTGAACAGTGCATTGTGGTACCTAAACCAATGGTTAGAAGATCATGGTTTGTCTTTATCGATTCCAAAATGCTCTGCGGTTGTTTTTACTCGCAAGAGGTAAATTCCTACTATCCAACTTGCACTCAATGGTGAAAATATCAGGATTGAGGACAAAGTAAAATTCCTTGGCATGATCCTAGATTCTAGGCTCACAGGTCTTCAACACATTGCCTACATATCCAACAAGTGTGAAAGCAGCATTAATATTATAAAAGCTCTCTCTGGAGTTCGATGGGGTTCTCACCCCTATAGTCAAAAACTTCTATATAATGCTTTAATTAGAAGCCACTTTGATTATGGTTGCTTTCTTTTAGAACCATGCAACAAAATTGCCATTGCCAAGTTTGATAGGCTCCAAGCTAAATGTCTGCGCATAATTTTGGGTGCAATGAAGTCGTCTCCGACTAATGCTCTCCAAGTAGAATGTGTTGACCCCCCTCTCCACCTCCGTCGCCAATTACTTTCTGACCGATTCTTCTTTAATGTAGCCCAATATAATACTCATCCTTTGTTTCGTGCCCTTGATTCCCTTTCTGATCTAGTCTCTACATCTACTTACTGGTCACACAAAGATCTGCCCCCAATAGTCAATAGTTACCGTAAACTTAAAAACCTACCAACCCAAATTATTAAAGTCCATCGAAATCCAATTTTTGAATTCGACTACGACTCCTTAATATTCCAACCTAGAGTCCTATTTAATCTTGGTATTCAGAAAAACTCTCCGACAGCCAATCAGGACCTAAATAAAATAATATCAGAAAACTTTAATGAATGGACCTTATTCTTTACGGACGCATCTAAAATAGGGGATGATTATGATGTTGGTTTTTCTGTCTGGATCCCTAAATATAAAATAGCCTTGAACTTTAAATCCCCACCTATGACATCTACATTTACTGGAGAAACACTAGCCATTTTAGAAGCCGCCTCGTATATTAAGTCTCACAATATTAACAAGTCCTTGATATTATCAGATTCACTGAGTTGCTTGCAGGATATCACTAGACTACCATTCCACTCTAAAAACATATTTCTTGCCTCCATGCAAATTCGTGAAATTCTACACAAATGCCAGCGTTCTGGACTAGAAGTGGTACTGGCATGGATACCGAGTCATTCTGGTATACTAGGCAATGAAGTTGTAGACTCATGGGCCCGGAAAGCGACATTAATTGGTTGCAACACCCACAATCGTTACCACTCTCGTGATTTGCGAAGTCATATGAAACCCCAAATGTTCAAGGCTTGGAATGACATCTGGCAAAAGTCACGGCTACTAAAAGCGAAATATTACGGAGAAATCCAACCGCTCATTCCCAATAAACCCTGGTTCTTCAAACATCGTAAACTGGAAAAATGGGTCACGTCTGTAATATGTCGCCTCCGCTTAGGACATGTCTGCACTCCTACATTTCTATGCAAGATTAGAGTCCGCGATCATTCACTGTGCGAATGTGGCTTGGATGAAGGAACTCTGGAACATCTTTTCTTCAAGTGCCCAAATTTATCAGTCCAACTGTATGATATCCTTCCCCACGACCTTCCCCGTCCTATCAATATATCATTTCTCTTAACTTTGTCCCATCCCTCCATAGTCAGAATACTAGCTAAATTTATAACTAACAATAATCTGAAATTGTAACTCCCAACCGGCTCCCCTTAATAAATTAAGTTAAAATATTAAGTGTCTGTTTGTATTGTCCTACTAACTAGTATTGTCCACCTAATAATGTTTAAATAATAATAAACCCTACTAATAATTGTTTGTTGTCCCTCAGGTGTTGTGCTGTCCTTAACTATAATATACCGAACCCGAACGAAACTGTCAAAGTTTACCGAGTAAACTAAAATAAGCCACAGCTACAAATTACACTGTGTCTCTCAAACCATGACATTGGCAAAATCACCGATCAAAATTGGTGGCGGCCATTTAAAATAAAGAAGAAGAAGAACTTATTGCAATCACATTTTATGCGAGGATTAAGTGAACATAGTCGGTATACGCGTAGCATATTGTGTAGTCTGTGCAGAGGACATTTATATGCTTGAATAGACAAATATAGTAAACGAACCATAGCACTCGAAGAAATGGCTAAGTTAAATATACGGTGTGTTTGGAAACTACAAGAGGTTTGGTAATTACATGAGCTACTCGAAACATTGGCTTACTGAGTACAAAGTGTCACCACCGGGGGTTGAGAATGAAAAATTTTATGTTTGTATTATTTCGGATCTGATTACAAAAAAGTTAACATATTGTTTAAAATATTACACTTACGAAGTCGCCTGCGCTACTATTAACAACAATTACAACAACAATATAAATAAACGGCTTTTATGTAAAAAACATTCATTAATCAATATTTGTGCTATTTTAGTTGTTATTATGGTCATTGTGTAAATACTATAAATAATAAAAGAGACATTCAAAATGTTATGTCGAATGTTCTAAAGGTAAAATCAATGCCAATCTTTAATATTGATACCTTTGTTCAATTTGTGCCATAAAAGCACGAAATTGCCTCATATGGTCATATCTGTCTCAATTCAAATAACAAATTTGTGACATTGTGACGTGACAATCTCAATGAAATTGACAATGACAAATAATTTTTTTATAGGCTCCTGTCAGGGTTGACAACAAACTGTGCAGATGCAATCACACTTTCTAGTGTCAAAAAGTAAAAAAATAAGTCGGAGATAAGTGAATAATTCTACTGTTTCTATATAATTTCTAACTTTTCCTTTTTAAGATGGAACCGAGCGACAGTGGGTTTTTAATTGTTATTATAATTTATACCACATTTTCTCTATAATTTCAATCAGAAATTTGTATTCTACTCTGTATTCCTTGACAAATTTGACATATCAAAATATAATATTTTTCTGATTTTTTTTAAAATAACGGTCAAACGCATCGAATTAAATTTTGAGACTTCCTTGCACCGCGAATTTCATAAATTTAAAAGTCTATATTGTTAAACAAACTTTCTCTTATATTATAACATACAAAATGGATAATTCTAGCTTGGAATTTTCAAATAACAAATCACTGACTGCTTGCGCTGCAGTAAAACATGTTATGGTAGGTTTGTTTGAACTAATTTACTTATCCACACAATACAATAAATAATAATGATTATTTATTCTTTGCTGGAAAGCGATTCTTGGATATCTATTTGATTCATTATGTATTTTACTGCTATTAGTTATTAGTTGTAATAGTTGACTGTTTTAAGCATACCAAGAATTTAATTAAATTAAAATTTATCGTAATGATTCTTAACTTAATTTTTTGTAACATTGCAGGATATTCTATTATCTAAATTTCGTCCATTAAGTATACGAATTCACAAGAAAATGTTGTCATTAGACAGTGGTATGGAGGATGAAGATATTAACAAGATTCAAGATATGCTTGCCTTGTGTACTAGCCAAATAAAAAAGAATGTTTTGAATTTGATAGATATTTTTAAGGCAGAACAATGTCAACAACTATGTCTTCAGGTTGGTTAAACAAAACGTATGTAGGTATTACTTTAGATTAAGCTCTTTTATCAAGGGCTAAGAGGCTATGTAAGATAGTGTTGTAAATAATAGGAGTAATATTAAAAAATGTTATAAAACTGAGAATAATTTATCTCTTTTCAGAGCTTTTCTCTGCATAGAAGTAATATAATGCAGTTTTCTAATATAACTCTGTAATAATTTGTAATAATGTAATCTTCATGTTGTATGTTGCAGGAAAGTCGTCAATTTACTATTGAACGCTTATCATGGTGTATGAACAGATTACAAGTTATTGAACAACACTTGTCATCTAATTTTGCAAGTTATGATGAGGATAAACAGTCCATCTTTATTACTCCAATGCATTTTGTCAATTGGATTGACTACACATTTGAAATTCTTGCCAAACTATCTGAAACTATTTATAGGACTGACTATAAGACAACTGAAAGCATGTATCAGCAGTGGAAAGATGATGTAAAGAACATGCACTATCATAATTATATATTTTTAATTATACTATAACTCACTATTATTATATTTAGACATTCTAGAATTATGTTTAGTTGCTATCCCTGAAAATTCAGGTAATAACACAATCAAGGAGAGACTAGAGGTAGATTAACTACCTGTGTACCAAATTTTATTTGTTTGTCTAGTAGTTTTTGGGTAAATAAGTAACAAGTATTTATCCCTCTTTACAAACTTTTGTATTTATAACATTGTATGAACTTATCTGGCAAACTATCCAATGATATGTAATAATAACGACTAAAAACTAAGAAAAAACACACAGTTTTTTGTTATATGAGGAGTTGGGAGTTATATGAGCAGTAATTCTATTCTTTTTCAGATAGTTGACTGTGTTACTGTTTTGCATAAATGCATAGATGAGCTGTTACTTTCTGCAATGACCTTGTGCCGTCATTGTATTCCTTCTGACCAATATATAGTCAAAGCAAGATGTCAAGTGGTAGGTTTATTTTTATGTTTAATATAATCTTATTTAGGATATTATTTTTTTGTAGCATATGATACTTGAAGTAATATTTTCAAAGTTCATCCTCATTATCTTTGTTCATTAAGAAATAGTCAGACTGGATATGTCCATAGATTTTTAAGAATCTCATTGACAAAGGGATTCTTAATAAATCTATTGGGTTGATTATCACATTTCCTATTAATAGTTCAACTAACAATAAGAATAGTCTCTTTAACAGTCTTAACATAATAGTAATTAGCTTTGCAGCTCAATAATAGTCACATCTGATGATCATGAATATTTAAGTCTGTGCTTGGACCATCAATTACAATTTTCATGCTTCTAATGTTCTAATTTAAGCCTAGAATAACTCTTCATGAATGAATTTTAATTGATTCAAATCTTAGATATTGAGAAAAATTATTAAGTTATATACAACTATATATATATATAATTTGTTGTTTCAGGTGTTGAGAGAAACGAAAGCATTATTTAGTGAGCTTGTAGAAGAGTCACAGGGTGAAACATTCAAAGTTACTCCAGATACTTTAAAGTTACAAATTAAACCTTCCAATGTTAATGTTCTTATTGATGTATTGAAAGATGTTTTATATGTATTAGAAACAAATACAAATACTGCATTATTGGCATTGTTAGTGTATTGCTTCAGTAATAGCAAAACCCCTGTTGATGTATTAAAGGAACACTTCAGTGAAAGTGCAAAGGAACAGTGTGGTTGTGCACATAGTGTTGAAAATGTTTCAGAGGAATGTTCTATTATAAAGGATTTTGATTTGTATAATGAGAGGCTGATGCAGATTGGATCATTTGCTATCTCCTGTTCATCTGATCAGAATAGTATGTTTTTAAGTAATACTTTAAAATTTCACTTGGACTGTGTTTACTTGCTTAAAGTTTATAAAAAACAAACAAAAAATAATTATACTGATACAAATTGAAGAAATAAAATAACATTATATTTTAAAATGCTTTTAAACCGCTTTAGTGTCCTCACAGTAGACTTGACAGAAGAGAAACCTGAAAAGGCTAAAAAGCTTAGTAAGCCACCACCAATCATCCTATATGGAGTGGAAGATGTCAGTAAACTCACAGAACTCTTAAGAACTGTTGCGAATTCAAATCAATTTACTTATAAAATAGTTAATAAAAATCAACTCAGAATAAGTAGCTATGATATAGAAATCTACAAGAAACTGATACAACTGATACGTGAGCAAGGACTGATTGGTCACACGTTTAATAGAAAAGACACCAGAAGTATGCGAATTGTTATCCGTAATTTACATCATACAACACCAATTGATATAATCAAAGAAGAAATAGAGGCAACAGGAAACAAAGTAGTGGGAGAAATTATTAATGCCAAATATGGGCCCGAAAAGAAACCCACCTCTACATTCTTTGTAAATATCCTTCCTGGAATTAATAATAAAACTGTCAAAAGCATTAAATACATATACCATCAAGCTGTTGCAATACAAGACCCCAAAAAAAGGAATACCATTGTCCAGTGCCAACGCTGCCAACAGTATGGGCACTCAAAGAACTACTGCATGAGACCCTACCGTTGCGTCAAATGCGGCCAGTCTCACAAAACATCAGACTGTCAGAAAACTGATAGAAACTCACCAGCTCAATGTGCTCTCTGTCTTGGTCCTCACCCTGAAAACTACAAAGGATGTGAAGTTTATAAGGAGATATTGGCAAAAAATCAGCAAGAAACCAACCTCATGTAAATGATTTTCAGCAGAAACCAAACACTTTGATAGAACAAAAACAAAAAGTTAGACAAAAACCTAAAATCATAACCAACACAGACACAGATTATCAATCCTATGCTGATAAACTGAAAACAAATCTGGAACCACAGTATAATCACACTAATACCATCTATGACAACCAACAATCATATAATTTAGAAAAAATTCTCACAACACAAGCCGAAAAATTCGACTTAATATTACAACAAATGAGCACTTTAATAAGTCTCATATCCACGCTGGTTTCTAAACTAAACAAAAAAAAAAAACTAGCAAATAAGTTCTAAGGGAAAGAAAAAACATGTTTGCTCTGAAAAGCTACGTAGAATGTGGACGGGCTGGCACCTAACAAAGACGAAGTGGAGACTCTGTTGCATCTACATGATATTGATATCCTACTGATATCGGAGACTCACTTCACTAATAGAAGTCGAGTGACTTTCAAAAACTATCATCTGTATAATACCAATCACCCCGATGGTACTGCACATGCTGGAGCTGCCATCATCGTAAATTCTTCAATAAAGCATCATGAACTCCCGCAGTTCAGAAGTAACCACATTCAGGCCGCAACTGTTGCTGTTGAAAACAAGGATGGAGAATTCTGTGTCTCATCTGTGTACTGTCCTCCAAAACACAAAATATCAGAAAGAGATTTCTCAGAATATTTCTCTACACTCGGACCTCGCTTTGTGTCTGGAGGAGATTGGAATTCCAAACACGTTCACTGGGGATCTAGATTGATAACCACAAGAAGGAGAGAACTTATGAAAAGTATAGACAAACATAAACTGGTAACCTTAGCAACATCCGAACCAACTCATTGGCCTTCCGATCCTAATAAACTGCCGGATGTTTTAGACTTTTACATAACGAGGGGTTTGTCACGCTTGTTCTATCTGGTGGAACCCTGTCTAGATGCTTCCTCGAACCATATCCCGATTATTCTGACTGCACAACTGTAATAAACAAGGAATCCCACATTACACTGTGCAATAGGCTAACTGACTGGGACTGCTTTCGGGAGACACTGGACAGTACTCTGGACTTAAAAATAGCTCTCAAAACTGAGAACGACATCGAGTGTGCTGCTAAAAACTTTACTCTTGCGGTTCAAAGAGCATGTTGGAAATCGACGCCTGAGACAAGCAATCTTAACAGGAGACATAATATCGTTCCTCGGGTTATAAAGCAGAAGATACTTGAAAAAGACGACTTTGTAGGAAATGGCATATAAGTCGGCACCCTGAAGATAAAGCGGCCATCAACAAAAGCATAAAAGAGTTAAAGCAAATCATCACTTCAGCTAAGAATGAAACTATGGAGAGGCACATTCAATCACTTTCTCCCACTGGTGTTACAGACTACTCCTTATGGAGAACATGTAAATTACAAAATCAACTAATAGAACAAAAATCTCCTCCGTTTGCCCAACCATAAGTGGGTAAGATCAGGCCAAAAAAAGCAGAAGCATTTGCTCTACATCTATCTCAGGTTTTCAGACCAAACAGCGAAGTGACTGGGATGGATGAATCTGATATTAACCAAATTATCCAGAGTGACTTCCAGATGGATCTTCCTATAACACCAACTTCAAGAGAGGTAGCTAGAAATATAAAAAACCTACAGGACAAAAAAGCCCCAGGATATGACCTAATCAATAGAAGCGTACTTAAATAACTATCTCGAAAAGCATTATTGTATCTCACTATTCTCTTTAACGCTATAATACGGGTGGGAACTTTCCCTGCAGTATGGAAGGTGTCACAAATAGTCATGATCCACAAACCGGGTAAGCCTCCCCAAGAGGTCGGCTCCTACCGACCGATAAGCCTTCTGCCTCTAGTATCAAAATTGTTTGAGAGGATCCTCTTGGGAAGAATGTCAGCTGTGCTCATGGATCGGTCTATCATACCTGACCATCAGTTCGGGTTTAGACAGAGACATGGAACATTGGAGCAGGTACACAGGATATGTGATACAATAAGAAGGTCATTTGAACGGAAAGAGTATATTTCATCAGTTTTTCTTGATATCCAACAAGCATTTGACCGAGTCTGGCACAAGGGTCTCCTCTGCAAGATTAAATCACTTTTGCCTCATACATACTATAACATCTTGGAGTCTTACCTATCGGATAGACTATTCCAGGTCAAGGAGGGAGTTCACACATCAAAATTCCACCAAATATTAGCAGGGGTGCCTCAGGGATCTGTCTTGGGGCCAGTATTGTATACTATTTACACATCAGACTTACCACAATGCGAGGGTCTAACCATGGCCACATAGGCTGATGACACTGCAGTTCTAGCTTGCAATACGTGCCCCAACCAAGCCTCACGAACCTTACAAAATGGCCTTAATCACATCAACCAGTGGCTCAAAAAATGGAAGATGGTTGCCAGCACATCCAAGTCGCTTCATGTGACATTCAGTTTGCGACCAGGAAATTGTCCAACGGTAACACTGAATAGTAAAACACTACCCCAAAGTGATACAGTGAAGTATCTTGGAATACACCTGAACCGCCGGAGGACCTGGAGAAAGCACATACAAGTAAAAAGAGACCAAATAAACATAAAATACAAAGGGGATGTATTGGTTGCTAGGCAGAAATTCAAAATTATCCCTTGACAACAAGCTTCTCCTCTATAATTCTGTATTGAAACCCATTTGGACCTATGGCATCCAATTGTGGGGTTCTGCTGCAAATTCAAATATAAGCATAATACAAAGGGCACAAAATAACATCCTGAAACAGCTTATAAATGCGCCATGGTTTGCAAAAATATATGAGTATGTCAACACAAACACAGTAGCCGAAGAGAAAAAACACCACTACTCCAAGTACAAGACACGGCTAGTACACCATCCTAATGTGCTGGCCAACCAACTGATAGTCCCTGACAACATACGTCGGCTTAAAAGGCGTAGGCTACTGGAACCAGATGACTAATCAGGACCACCAAAAGAGACGATGATTCTGCTGGGAATCACTCTCTACCCGCGATGTAATACCTACACCACATTTGTTCATACGACTTTTATCGTATGAACAGATGTGCTGTGGTGCGACGTTCATCCGACTGATTGCAGGATAGACTCATAAAAAAAAAAAATTTAAAATGTACAATAAATAATTAGGTATAATGATACAAATTTAAAAAAATGAAATAACGTTATATTGATTGAGGAATTTATATATGCTTCATGTTTAAATAGAATTTTGAATTTAGTTTTTAATTATGTAATGTGATTAACTGAAAAATGTCAAATTTTAGCCAAATTTAGTTGATGCTATGGCAGTCAATGTGTTTAGAGATTTTCATTATGGATAGTTCTAAAATTTGGGATAGTTGAGTAAATAGACAAATGTTTAACTATAACCAGTGTATAACATAAGTATATGTCATTTAGATATAATATATCAGCTGTGTGAGTACAGAATATTGATTTTTCAGGGATTTTATCTCTTCGTAGTGGATTAGCAAGCCTGGAAGCTTTAGATCCACACTTAATTCCAGCTGTAATACTTTCGGCCGCATCTAATCATACCATTTTATTAATGAGTATTTGGAAACAAGAAGTACAGGAGATAAGAGATAATGTTTTCCTAATTGTGGACCCTATTGCTTTTACTGAGGTAATAATGGTTTGTCCTGATGTTATTTTATTTTATTTTAATGTAATAGGAATGGCAAACAATCTGTCGACGCACCTGATGGTAAGTGTTAAGCGGCGCCAAAAGCTACTTCGGTAAAAAGTGTAATTGGTTTAATCAGTATGTTGTTGTGTTTGTGAATATGTACTTGACATTTATTATACAATAATAACATAAATAAATATTCCTCTCAAATACAAGAGGAAAGGTGATTTAGACTCACAATCACTCTCAAGCAGGGAAATAGGCTTGATAGACAACAATATATCAGACTTTCTGCTTTATCTGAAAATGTCTGCTCTGAAGTCAAAGTCCAAACATCAAGTGACCTCCAAGCTGGTCAGATAAAATGACTCGAATTATTTTATAAACCACATTTTATAGACAATAATTTTAATGAGCACCTTTTATATTTCAATAAGTACATGTAATAATTACGGAATACGTATAATAATAATTACGGAATACTAGATTCCATATTTATTATTATTTTTATCTAATTATATGCCTTGATTACAGAAATCAAAACAAATTATGCATCAAGTACTCTTGGAATTAATAATGGAAAAAAAATACAGCAATGGTAAAGTGTGCTCTGTTATTAATATAGGTTGCATATTACATGAATTCTTTTGTGTTTACTATAAAAATGAGCCAGATGCTCTGATACATTGTGAAGAGCTACTGCCCTTGTTGGCAGATTTGGAAAAAGGTAAATTATAATTATTATAACTTTTTATATAATTCTCTGTACGTAAATAAGAATTAGAATGTCTGTGTAAAAAAGTTGTAGTATAAGAAGGATGAAATACGAGTCCTCCCGAAAGTTAGTTATATTATTTATTATTATTATATATATTTTTACAAACCTGAGAGAAGTATGTTTTAGTATTCAATAAATATCAAAGTAATTTACATGCTTATTAATTTTTAGTACAAATTGAATGTAAAATCGTAAGCAATATTCTTATATCAGGCGACGATTTTAAATATGAAGTTAAAAAACGCGACTATAACAGAGAAACGTCATTCGAACAGCTATTGAAGCGACTAAAACTACTGTACACTATCGTCAGTAGGATTAATATACTACTACACCCAAAGGAGAATGAAGACCAGTTGTTTGCCGAAGATTTTTGTGATAACGATCCACCTGGCAATAAAAATGTTACTCACACAATACTGCCAATCAATCCTAATACATACGTAAATTCTCCAAGAAAACTAAATAATTTAACTAGAAGTGTTTTTGCTAGAAGTACGAATGTACGGTCATCGTCAAATAATTTTCTATTATCAAAGTTGACGAAACATTTGAAAGATAAAACGGAATGTCAGGCTAATGTGCTAAGTTATTCCGCAAGATTAGATGAACTATTAAATAACACAGATAATTGTAATGTAAATAATACTGAACGTAAATTATTGAGTATTCGTGAACCCTCAGTATTATTTATGACACCAATGAAGAGTAGATCATCGCTACGAAGAGCAGTTTTAAATAGCCATTACAAGTTACAGCTTACAAAACCGGAAAACAGAGCTTGTATGGATAAATCAGTTACAGAAAAAGAAAGTGTATTTGATGAAACAAGTCTACAGATTACTGGTAAGGACCGTGACAGTTTTTTAATATCCAATTAAATCTGTGGTGGGTGGGTTAAAACGGCAGGTGAGCGCTGCTTAAAGGCAGATTTTTTTTTATATGCGCATTATTAGGTATAGAAAAAGTCACAAAATGCCCAGTATTCGCATTCTTATTTTTCTTGGTATTCTAACGTGGAATGATAGACGTGCTACTAATGTTATAAAAAATAAAGTATTTTTTCTTATCTATAGTACCATAACTTTTATTTATTTGGTTTGTCTTTTACAGATGTTCTCAATGAAATAAATGATTTAACTAACATATTGTCATCAACTAAAGATTTATGTAATTCAACACACAAAACAAGAGGTTCTAAATATAACAACAAGAAAAATGTCTTAACTTTGAATGTAAATGAACAAGACACTACTATTTCTAAACATATATGGAATATTCCAGTAAATGCTGATATTGTGGATATGCCACTTGATGAGAGTGCAATGACTTCAAATATATCAAATATAACACAGCCATCTGATGTGACCACCCCAGAAAGAATAAGCGACTTGGATCTTGTTGAGAGTAAACTGAATAGCTTAAAATTTCTACAGTTTGAAACTAGTTTGTAAATTAATAATATTTAAGGGTTGTTGCCGTTCCTTAAATAATTACTATAACAAAATAAATATGTATTAATTTTTTTTTATTAGATCATAACAGAAAAAATAACATGCAATTGTTTGAGAATGTTTAATAATTTCCCTTGGTGACGACGCAAGTCGTAGATTAATAATTTGTATCAAATTTAATATTTATATAAATTGATCTAGGTAAAAATAATTTTCAAATATTGTTATTCCACAGCAATTTTCATTCTAGCACTTTCTAAAAAAACAATTCTAGGCGAGTACTTACATTAATTCAGAAATTACGTGCTCATTCATAATTCAAAACGTAGTAGAAAGTGATTCTATTCTTCTTATTATTATTCAAATATTCGAATGGAACATTTATCAATATGTCCGACGTTCGTCTCAACGTTTTTGTTTTGCGAATTTTGTTTACACATTTGACCATTTTTTTTTAATTTAATTGTATATCTGTATCTAAATGAAATTATTTGGCTGTTAGTATGATTAAAAATATAAATGATATTAAAAAATTAAAATTATTAAATAATTATAGTGTTACAATTTTAGTTTTTTTTTTCTGTCCGTCGAAATTTTGAGATTGTCTTGTATCAGCAAAATATGTAACATACAACAGATAATCTTTACCTACATATACATATGTAAGCATTAACACTCCCTAAGTTCTGACCACATGCACAGCAGAGGAGGATCAAACGTTAAAAAAAGTAAACACGGTTGTTATCCTAGACGGGGTAGTCAGAAGCATTGCCAATTACCCACACCTTGGGGAAATTTCGCTTGCTATATTTGACTATTTTTTATGGATGCTAATAAAATGGCGCACCTGTCTGCGTATGAGAATAAGATAAGCGCAGGATGATAAGGTTGTGAGGTCAGGTCAGTTAGCCAGTCCTGACAAATTCACCAGGAATTTATCACGATGGTTGCCAGGGGAACGGCGTGGAGGTCACCCTGACATGGTACATTGCTAGCAATGGGGTCATTCTCATTCACAATTCTCTTCCTCCCGGTATATTCGAGTTTTTTTTTCATGGATGATAATGGAATGATGCCCCGCCAGCGTATACCGTTCGCTCAGGCGGGTCCTACGCTAACAGTATACGCTGGCGGGGCACCAGTGGAGGGTAAGATGAATATTAGGTCAGGTCAGTTGGCCCATCGTGACGAATTCTCTAGAGGGAGCACCGCGTGGAGGTCGACCTAACATGGCACGTTGCTAGCAATGGGGTTTATTAGTTCCCATTACTAACAATCTCCTCCCCTACGGTATATTTGAGTTCAATGTAGGCAAGAATTGAGCCTACCGCTGTCTCTTGGATATGTTTTGTTATCGGCGTTTTCGTCACCTAAGACTGGGTCAGAAATATAAAGTAATGCACAATTTTGGTGTTGGCCAGATTTGTTCTCACGATAGTTGGGGTCGAAATCGGGGTAGTACAGTTAAAAAGGGAATAACGCATGAACTATTTTTAGTAGGTACCCCAGCGCTATGTGACCAGGCAGAGAAGACGTCTAGATGTATTTAATATAGGTACTGCAGTGTATTGAACAAACGTGCACGTACCTAGGTCACAATCCAGTCAAGTTATCACTCCCAAATACGCAGGGTAGATCACAGTTACAAAAATCTAGTATTGTCACTTCCCGCCAAAATCATGGATATATTTTTATTTAACCGTGCTCCAAGTTAATTAGTTTTTTATAGTGACCTGAATCTCAAAGGAATCCGAGCCTGAAATTAATATGTTACCTGGATATTACGCATAGATAAACATGCAGTGATTACTTATTTATTATTGCGGATGTCAAGTGCGTGCCAATAAACATACATTAATTGCCGATCGTAAAAACGTAGTGTCTCACTGAACGTTTCATTAGCACATTTTCTATTCAAGTTCCTACCTATATATATACTGAATAAATGCATTGTTATAAATAACTTACTCGGTTTGTGTCACAGACTATGCTTGGTTTGCAGAATTGATTCGAAATGAATTTTAACATAAACATTTATGTGTTGGCGGGTTTGGTGAGAGAAATAGTTTTTTATTATTTTATATTATTCAGATACATACCTCTGCAGTGAATAGTTTTTTTATCTTATGTTATTCAGATAAATACCTCTGCAGTGAAAATTTACATTTTCTTAATATTTTTTTCAGATCGTTTCGGATTTCGTATTATCAGAAAATATCAATGATAATATTACCTTTAATCGAACATTCGAAATAGACAATGAGAAACGAGTTCCGGTTGGTTTAGTAAAATTAATTGTGACGGCAATGGAGAAATCTTCAAACAAAACAGCGGACGGTGAAGGGCGAGCTATTTATTGGTATCCCACCCCTTGCAGTTTTCGAGCTGAGGTATTACGATATGGTTGGATTTAAATTAGATTAGCTGTAAATCCTTTTGCTTCACAAAATAACCAATTTATAAATTTTGTTTATTGGCATGAACGTAGGTACCAATTAATGTAACCTATACTGATATAAATGCGAAAGTCTCAAATCTCTTTGTTTCAAACTTAACGACTGAACGTTATTAATGAAATGTCATATGAAGGCAGATTAGTTATACCTACATATGAAGAATGTGTCAGAAACTTAAATCGAAATTATATAACTGAATCGTGCTGAATTTACATCTCAATTAAAAAACATACATAAATGTTTACAAAAATTCTTTAGGCGATAGAACATTTTATGTATGTTTAATGAACAGTACACAGCTGTCGTAAAATGGTGTTATTTCTTTAGTACAGTTGTTTTTCAATCATTCAATTTACTGTGGCAACGGTGGTCATAAATATGGAATAACTACTACAATACCTAAAATAGGTTTAGTACCAAATTCAGTGGTCACACTGAATTGGGTACTAAACCTATTTCAGATTAGATTTTTGTACAATTCCTATCAGATTTAGTAGAGATAGTAGTCATACTATCTCTACTAAATCTAATAGGAATTGTACAAAAAAAAGAGTCCTATTGTAAAAATATGAGTTATTTGATACAACCTTATATCTATATATTATATCTTTTTTTCAGGGAGGGTACACCTGTTACAGTTGTAGAGAATCACTACACTGCCTGCCCGGTAATGTGGGGCTCTTGGCGTTTTGCTATGGACGTCGACCATACTGCAGTAATGGAGTCTGTTCTGATGTAAATGAAGAAAAGTGTTATGATACCCATATCGCGAATACTACCAATGTTGACGCCCACGAAAACATGGTCGAGCAGTCAGCAAAGTTAGAAAGTAGCGTAAATCCTGATTGATTTGTATGTTTTATTTTGTATGTATTTAATTTAAATATGAAGTAAAAGCAAAGAAACGGCTTTTAGATAAAAATATTTTTTTTTCATTTTGAACACAAATATGTTTTATGTTTTATGTGAACACACGAAATTAATTGATTAATCCAATCATAACGTAGGTAGGGGCTGATCTACCTAAGGGCTTACCTTTGGGCTGCAGCCCAGAGACCCGAGGATACAAAGGACCCCCTGTCTCCACTGAAACGATATTTAGAATATATGAAAATATCTTGAATATTAAAAAAAATCTATCGTAAGGTTGGCAACTCTGAGATCAATCAACCCATGCAAGTGCGCGTCTATCGAAAGGAACGGGAAATTTCTGGTCGATGTACTTTTTATAATCAGAAAAAAAAGTGTTCTGGTGCGATGAATGTTATATGTAGGTATATATATCAAGTTTCCTAAAGAAACTTTAAATTTTTAAGAAGAGATTTTAATATTTGTTATACTATGTTTGATAAGTATTACTTAATATTTTTCTATATTGTATTTAAAGGCATAAATATATATGTATGTATACCTATGTATATAAACTGTTATTATGATAAAAACAAATCGTTTGACAACGGTCGTAAGATATTGATCCGAACATCACAAATACAATCCACAAAGAAGGAATTTTCAGTAGATAAAAATATTCGCTATATTTGCACAGTGTCAAATCGTTAATTGGATTTTCTTGATTGAATTTATATAATATTACAGTACTTATTGTACGTATATAGATAAATAGAGAGAAAATAAAACAAGTAGCCTCAAGTCGGTCTATATCTTTATAATTAACTGACGTTATAATTTCTCAAAAACTAATAACATCTTTAATTTTTGGTAAGGTACTTAAATTATACTTTTACTTAATGTTACTTAATTATAGCTTTTTTATGTAATCGAAATGGGTAACAAGCTGAAGGTAGACCCACGTGTAAGTGGGTAGTAAGTGGTAACCGGTAACCGCCGCCTTTATACATGAACAGCTTCATCGGGTATCACTTTCACATGTGACACCCGCGATACCACTCCAGTTACCATTTCAGAGGACTAATATGTTTCTTTTACTGTAATTTCACTGCAAAATTTAATGTAAATAAAAATAAGCTACTATGCGATAGATTTTGGTTGCACTGTGGTACCCAAGTAGACATCTTTTTACAGAGCACTTACCTTACCTAGTACCGTACCGTATCTACCCTAAATATATAGATTAATTCTGTATAGTTTTATTAAATCAAGGATTTTTAAGGAACATGTAGTATAAAAATGGTAATGCATGCAATAATGCACCCGGTACTCTGCCGGGTGACCTTCAAACGTTTGCTCCTTTTAGTAATAGTGGTTAATTTCTTGTTAAAAAATCTTAATTCTTTACTCGCGATTGACTGCAGGCGAATATTTTTAATGCAGATGGATTGATCCATGATCATTAAAATTGTCCATCTGTTTTGGCTAATCATATCTTTATCTATCTTAACTATGATGAACACTATGAAAGACTCTTGATAGTAGGTATCCATGTAAAAAATACGATAAGAAACCGTTTTTTAGGTTCATCTTTAGGAACTTTATCTTTTAGATATACCGTATATCTATTTAATGTTCAGTGAATTGTATTGCATTTATATGTTGCGGTTATCATATTGTTTACGATAACAAATAGTTCATATTAATTGTATAGGGTTTTCCAACTACAGAAAGTCAATATCACTATTTATTGTTTTCAAATGGAAAACTACGCGCTCGCGAGAACGCTATGTTTATGACTTCTGTTTGTGTTAGGTATATATATTTCTTTGCAACCTTACATTACGTTCAACCGACTGAACAAAAATGGTTATTTTACTATGTACTGTGTTTGTAACTATGTTTAATTAATTCACTTTGAGCGACTATTTTTGTGTTTCATGTGGCAATGGACAAGCATACTTGGTACATCTTTTAGTTTTTTTATGATGGTTGAATATGAATTACCTGGAGGCAACTGTGTAGGTAGGTACTCCGAGGCATTAGTAGCAAATCACAGAATGTATATAAAGACAGTTCAGTTAACCCAACATGGCGAATTCACAAGGAAGTAACTACGACGGTTTTCAGGGGCACCGCGTGGAGGTCGACCTGACATACTTATACATTGTTAGCAATGTGACCACTAGTCTCCATTAATAAAAATGCGCTTCTCTCTTGTCAACTAACACAGTTTAAAATTGAACTAAGTACAAATTGATACAAGCATTGATATAATCTGTCTTTTTTAGTCCACCCCTTTTCTTGCCTGTATCTAACATTTCTAAATAGCTTTCTAAAACTTAAGCGATAAAGTTAAATTTAAACTGTCACAGACACAGTATTTCGTAGGAATATGTAGCAGGTAAATTGATATACATATATATTTTTTTCGTAATGTAGTTACCTAAATGAAAAATGTATGTCTAACATTGTTTTATACATTGAGTAACATCTATCAGTAGTAGTATTGATAAGACCTATAGGTCTTCATCATCAATATTATTATCACAGATAACATATTACATGCATATTATAATATAATTACTTCTAAGTAAAACATCGAATAAACTAATATATATTTTATTTTTATTGTTTCAATATTAATTCAGATGATAAGCTCGCTCTTTCTTTATGCATGCATATTTTGTTCAAGTTTGGTGAAGTGGATAGTTGAGTAAACTGAAAAAGATATTTACTTTAATGATTAAGGGACTGGGACAGTAACTTGAGAGGTCTCGCAGCGACCAATCAGTAAGAACTCGATGTTCCCAAGTGCATCGTTACATTTTGATATTCTTTGACCTTTGCTTTGATCACGTACACCTATATTCGTCTCGTGATTTATGACTATGTTTGTACTGAAAAGTAACATTTATATACTTACTAATGGAAAATAATAAAACATATTATCAGCAATATTCAATAATTTTCTTCTGAATATATGTATACCGCGGCTTTGTTTGTGAATTTAAGGTGACATGCTTTAAGTCTATTACCGCTGCAATTTCTGAAGTCTTTTTTTAGTGGATGGCTATCATGACGAAAGAGCTCTATATTTATTAAATATTCATATTTTAATTGGTTTAGATTGTCTTTTGAAAGATAAGTTAGTCGGGATAAGTCTCTTTATATCGATAACAATACTCAAGTATAAATTTTAATATTTTTTTAAACTAACTTCAGTCAGGAGCATTATAAAACTTTTAAAAGGCCTGCACAAGAATAAATCATTCCCTTAAAAAAGAATGATCAAACTCAGATCACATAGGTCGATGATAATGGGAATCTCACCCTTTTTTGAAGACGGTTAACCGGAAATAAAATGATTTTCAGTATCAAAGACTAAAATAAATATAAATTAAAATGTTTATTTTTGAAATGATTGACTGACATCATAATATACTTTTCATACATGTATAATATAAATAGAGAGACCGTAATGGTGTTATAATCGAATAAATTATTATACATATATTATGCGATACGACCTATTACTTATGCGAAGCGTGTATACTTATTTCTTTGTTTGAATGACGTGTTCCACATAATGCGTTGCCTGAGATTTTGGGAATTGATTTACATTGTAGGAGGTGCGTAAATTATTGTGATACTTATATATCTTTCTAATGGAATCTGTTTATATAATAATATTTGCTATATAATATTTACTTTTTACAGCTTAAGTTTGCTTCCTGAAATGGTATTTTATCTCTTATAGCAAATTATTTGATAGTCTAATTCAAATATTAGGACTGACTGTTATACAGTAATTGAAATTTATATTCTCCAATCATCAATATTATTTATTTATTTATTTATTTATATACTCTTCATTGCACCAGGAAAAATTACATTAATAGAGTAATTAAAATAAAAGGGTACAAAAGGCGGCCTTATCGCTTATGCAATCTCTTCCAGGCAACCTTTGGGTAGAGGAGAAAAAAACAAAAGGTGGGAGGTGGCATTAGAATAGGAGAGAAAAAAAAAACAATAATAATAATGACAAATGAATAATAATGAATAACATAACATATTACATATATAAACAGTATACACCAATATTAATATTATATATATATATATATATATACATACATATATATAGAGTACAATAATTCAAAGTTATCTCAAGGCTCCTGTCTGAAGCCCTTTTTTATGGATAATACTTTCTAGCACAAACGGCACATGCTGACGAATCATCATTAGGATGAAGTCAGGTTAACTACCACATCGGGGAAATTCATGTTCACGTTGTAGGTGGCGAATCAACCACAGTCTTTCGGATTAATTTGATTTGTTATAAGCGTTTTACATATTTTTAGAAGAAGTTTTCTATTTTCTTAAGATGATATGATCAATAAGGTTGGTCAGGTTTTCCTTTATCATAACGGATTTAGTAATATAAAAATTGGTAAAATTAGCTATATCTCGTAATTAAATATTTATATAAAAATGTCAACCTTTTCATCTCTTACAGTTCTTTTCAAATTAAGAAAATAACTAGGAAGAAATATAATACCGCACAGTTCACTAATTAAAATAGCTTTATTACAGATTTATTGTTTTTATGTATTAGGGGATTTGTATATTGTTTAACTCGGGTGATGTATAGAGTACCTAGTAGGCACAATTAATTTAAAACAAGTAGGTTAATGCCTACTTTTGGTTCTACTATTTAATTTTGGAATGCTACCGGGGTAACCCCTTAGAATCTAAATTACCTTATTTAGAGGTAATCGTGAAAAGTAATTTGTCAATGGAAATCGTTATGTGCCAATGCCAGTCCGTTATTGCTCATTAGACCCCGGGAATCGTGGGGCTTAACTGTATTTAATTTAAAAACTGACCTGTGACCTTAAGGCCTCGTCAATTAAAGTGCATACGTTTTGTAGCTAGCTAGATCTCCCGTGGGTAACTACGCATGCGTGTAATTGTAACTCTACTATATAAGAATTATCTCGCCCTTCCTACCACCATTCCCGCCAAGCTTCCAAACAAGTCTAACAAAAAGGGGAAGTCAGATCGCAAAGTTATAAGTTACTTTTTTAACTTTTGAAAGTGCGCTGTGGCTGGGAAATTGCGGTTCAAAGTAAGTAAAATTGTTGTAAATTACTCGGAAAGATCAGCTTTGATGTACTTTCTATACTTTAATATTCTGCTTACTATAATGAAAATAATATCTGAATATAATTTGTCGAACAATAACTTTATTATCAACATAATGGCAACAGTTCAAAGATTAATATAATTAAAATTAAAAAAGTATAAAGTTTTCTCTCATAACTTTTTAGCGTAGTATTTATTTTTTTATCTGGTTTACTTATAATAGTTGATTGTCTTTTTGTCAAATTTCTACCTATACTTAGTTTCGTATACTTAAATTTAAATAATTCTATCCCGTGTGTAAGTAAATAATAAAAAGTACCTATAATAATATGCTGTTCCTAAAATTTCGTATGGGGATGCCTCACCTTATACGTAATTTCATTAGAAATAGTCCAGTTTTGTAAGACTTCATGATCATTTTGATCCTTGATATTTGTGTAACAATTTTAAATAAATAAACTATGGCGATAAAATATCTTTATGCTAACATCTCTTGTTGGATTGAACTTTTCGAACTGCAGAGTTTTTGTTACAAAAACAAAATGGACGATATATCTCTTTTTCATACAATCAAAAAGTAATATATAAAAAAACTGACTTTCTTTTTATCTTTCTTTAATCAAAATTAAATTTCATCACGTAAACAATAGAACCAGACAGTCTGTATTGAAGGTATTGAGAATTTTGTGCTATTTATAGAATTAACACCGAATAAGAAGACACAGAAGAATTAAGTCAAGAATAATAGAATTAAGTCATAGAATAATAAACAAACTAACGAGACCCGAAGACAGGAGATAGTTGCTTGTCAATGGATTCTTCCATAAAATTATAAACGGTGTCCATGATTGCCCTGCATTGCTAGAACAAGTAACTATAAACGCATCCTATAAATTACCTCGAAGTAAAAAGTATTCGTTATTTAAAAAAAAGTAATTCAGAAGCAATTTGGGACACTTCTCTACCATTAATAGACTAGAAAATAACTATTATATTGTAGCGAAGAGTTCGGATATTGACGTGTTTTCTAGTTTCTCCAAATTCAAGTCAACCATTCAAGAACACGTATTGAAACAATAGTCAAACCCGTTTCATTAACACAGTAAAATTTTTTTTTTTCATTACTTATATGTGTATACATGTATATTTATACACATTAAAATAATAAAAAGATATATGTATATATATATATATATATAAAGTAAAATAAAATAAAAAGATAAATATGTATACATATATAAACTTCTGTAAACATTTACGCATACCGTGGCAAGCAGTAATTAAGTTAACACTATATACTTGCACTTTTTGCAAGTGATAATAATTGTAACCTCATAGAGTATGTCTTGTTGGTCGCTCAAATAAATAAATAAAAAATTAAATTCGTGATTCCGCCTCAATTGCACTATGAACAAAAAATACTTATACAACAATTAAAAAAATAATATATTTTAAAAAACCTTGATCATAATAACGTGAATTTGAATTAGGGTGACACTTAATATTTTCAATATCGATTACAAACCTAATTAGGTATAAGTTTATAAGTACTACTGATGCAGATAGATTCGTGAGATTTCATTATAAAATATGAGTACTAATCTAATGTCACGATGTCCTATAGAATATGTAGAGTAGATTGAGAGTCATAAACTATTTACATACAACTTTTGCTTTATTACTAGATATTAATACGTGGCGTCAGTGGGGAGTCTAATACGAGTTATAAAAGATCTAGATCTATTCCAGTACCAGCTTTCTAATTTGGATTTGTATTTTATGTTTGATAAGTTCGTTAATACTCGATTTTATAATAACTACAAGAATATTTTTCAAGTCTGAAATATCATAAATTTTGTGTACTAGAAAATTACTGTAACTAACTGACATACATATGGAATAAGATATGATGTAGTATCTAGAAATATATGTTTTTCAAAGAATACATTTCGTTGCATACGTTTTGTAAATCCTGTGTAAATCCGCAGTCCATATTCCTATGAAAAGAAAATACATATGGCATTAAAGATATAAAGGGCCATTAAATGGGATAAGAAGAAGGAAAATCAGTGAGAAACTCGGATATTTGATCGGAAATAATGACGCAAAATAGCTAAAAATAACATTACATATCTGCGTAGAAAATTCATGTCTTTGTAGCGTCCATATACAAATTTGTAGTTTCGAAATGAACGTATATGTAAACTTTACGTATATCTATATATGTATATATATTGCTGGTAAATGAAAGAGAGACAATGCATAAGTAATACCAGTCTGATCAGTACCAGTCAGTCAATTGATATTCGTTAGTGTCGAAAAAAGTGAAAAACTGCTAGGCTGATTTCATGTACTCTTTTTTCTTTTTTATTCGTTATGAAAAAGGAATAAATTATAAAAAGTAAAAAGTCCGATGAAAATTTAATAGGTAATAGATAATTTTGCATGAAAATTCCTTATTTTTTATTACATTAAAAACGAAAATTTTGTCTTAAATGATGAACTGTGAAAGTTGTAATAAATTAATTTATAATATAAAATTATTAGGAATTTAAAGATGCTAATTAAAAAGATTTAAGGTAATGAATGAAATTGCAGTATTTTAATTCTAAGGTCTATATAAGTAAACAAAAATGATGATGGACTTCCTTATCAACAATTTCTCTTTTGTTGTCAAAACAAAGAACACTTCTATTTACCACACTGTCACTTCGTCTGACATGGCTGAAACATTTGGCGCTCTCATTTCTCTTTGCGCTGAGTTATACACTTTTAGTAGGTTTTATTTCTAAAAATGAAAGTTTTAAGTTTTACTAATTAACAATTATGAAACTACCTCTTAAGGTAGAATTTCATTATTGTTAATTAGTGTATCTAACAAATACGCTATGATGTACTCTGGTTATGAAAACACCGACAACAAACCAAATTAAAATAAGAGAAGTCGGCGGTAGATGCGATAGCCGTAGGCATGAGCTTTAACTAAAGTATTCTCTGTTGATAATGCGTCTAATCTAACTATCCCATCTGGAACGACGAACATAGATTTGGTTTTATGAGATTTTTTTATTGATGATTATAGTATATGAATACATTTTTGTTATGAAGTCATCATACATTAAGTATTTGAATAGAATAGTAATATAAAATAAACGAAACCTGAAAGTTGGTGCTGTACAAAGAACAATAACCGTTCAACTTCAGATGCGCCGTATGCTTCATCATTAAAAAAAAAATGTATTGAAATACCTTTAATATTCAGTTATATTCCAATTAAACTACATAATATTATGAAATAGCAGATTACAATGTAACGTAGGCAGCTTAAGGGCGTACCATTTATATAGTATAATGGCTTTGTAATATCCTCTTCTAATATTGGATCCTTCAGTTTCTCATAAATTCATTGTTATTAATCGACCAGGCTTGCCTATACAATGTTTATTAATATAAAATTCTTCCCACTCTAAATGTTATAAAACGTCTTGCAGTTTTGTTGTTTCTTATATCTGCACGTCAAGTTAAATCAAGAGAATTGTAATAACTATAACAATAATTTCAATGACGAGATTTTGTTCAGTTTTAGATACAAGTTTGTTCTTATGAAGTCCCGGAAACTACTAGTATAATTATAATTACCAAAAACTGCCATAGTCATTATATTCTATAATGGATCAAACTACTGTATACATTAATTATGTCTATATATATATATATATATATATATATATATATATATATATATATATATATATATATATATATATATATATATATATATATATATATATATACATAATTAATGTATTTAAAAATGATTTTTAGAAATATGTTTATTATTATTGTTAATGTAAATTAAGACATGTATTTTATAACGCATGATTGTAGTTCAGATGTTGTTGATGTAACTTATTATATCTCGTAATTCGGGTTCTTTGTAACATCCTAATGCTATTTAGATTGCCTGTACTTGCACTTAATATTTAGCAGATACACGGTTAACGTTCCATTGACTTTGATTGTTCACTACACAGAAGGGAACTCTCAGACATTTTGCAGAGCAAGATATAGCACTTTTATGGTTTCATCACGAGCCGTATCTTGCCTATTACTGTTTCTGTGTAAATGGTGTACCTTTTGTTGGTATACCTTTTCTTTTGTAAAATATAGTAGCAATACATTAATTTCTTGTATCTCTTTAAAAGTGAAAATTTAATATAAACCGTTAATTTGCGGTGATGATTCCAAATAAATAATGTGCAATGTGCCTATAACTACATGACATTTAAGACCTTAAATGTAATTGATAATTGTTTTGTTTATAATAAATATAGGTACTCATCGATATTCATAAGAAATGGTAAAGAGGTAATTTGAATATGGCGCGAATTGTGTGGATTGTGCTAACCGTTATTCAAATTTGTTAAAATATTTATTTATTCCCGGATACTTTGATTTAAAAAAAAAATAGCTTATTCAAAATTATTTGTTTTTTATTTTCAAGATGACAGACATTAGCGGATATAGTGTAGGAAGACACCGAGGATGTTTTTTACTGGTGGCGACGTTGGCTCTAGCATTTTCAACTTACGTAGAACAGGTAACTTTATACGATTGGAATCTTTGTATTTTTAATTACAAACTTATTTTTGAACACAGTTATTGTAGCTGAAATATATAATTATGCGTTTGTTAGGTGGTGAGCTTGCCAGCGGATCCCGATCAGTGGCCAACATTTCCTAGACGGAATATTGCAGCTTTGGCAAGAGATGGATATCTGAAAAATTCCGTTCTCGGAAGTTATAAGAGAAGTATTTCTACTCTTGCTAAAAATGGACAATTGCCTACATTTAGATCACCATTTGATGAAACTGATAAACAAGATGAACAGGACGAAGAGGAATCTCATGCTAAAAGGAATATTGCCTCCATAGCTCGCCTTCGAAGTTATTCTGCTATGAAGAGGAATATACAGGCATTAGCTAGAGATGGATTTCGTGCCGGCAGAGGACAATATAATCAGCAAAATGATAAACGGAATCTGGCCGCATTGGCCCGTAACGGCATGATACATAAGAAAGATGAAATTAACGGTGATGAATACTATTATCCGTTTTATCAAAATCCAATTCCACCTCTATCAGAAGTAGATGGCCCTTATGATTTCAATGAAATGTACGATTATCAACAATCTGTTAATCCTGATATGTTTCCACCGCTATCACAAGTGTTCAAGCGTAGTGGTCCTTCATCACAGCAGTCGATGGATTCGAATCAACTGGATATAGACAGCAACTGGTATTATAAGAGAGGAATAATGGGTATGCCTGTTCACGGTCTGTATAGACCAGTATATACAGAACCAAATGTTAGGAACAAAAGATATATACTCTCTATTCCAGATGTCATAGAACATAACGATTTAGATGTACCGGAAAACGACAGTGGAAGTGATGATAAGCGTTCTGTTGGTAAGCTAAATATATTTTTTTGTAATATGTTAACAGTTTCAGTGTAATAAACAGTAAATTCTAACAATTTTTACAGATGAAGATAACGATATACGTGAAAATTTTGAAAAACGTCATATCGGTTCGTTGGCTCGTTTAGGTTTGTTACCATCGTTTAGGTTCTCAGGAGGGCGCTATAGTAGATCTGGGAGAGCTAGACTGCTGTTGCCCAGTCAAGAATTGTACAGGTCTTGTAAAAACAACTGTACCATGAATGTACATTGTATTAAAATAATGTAGATCGTACACTGCGCTTTAGTGCTTCTGGATAAGGAGAACGCATATATTTCAGTGTAAACGTTAGAGGCATGATATGTGTTATAGTGCATATGTACTAAATGTTTGAGAATTGATGTTAATGTAATGTGTATTACACGATATGATATAATAGGTACCTCAGTAGTATATCTATTAATTTAGACTACGGTTTAACGGTTAGTTTTGTGTACTCTAGGTGTATTATGTCATTCTTATTATAAAATTTACCGTCAAATATTGGTACCGCATGTGAATGGTGTATCTCAATATGATTCAGTAATTGTATAATAGTTTTTTTGATAAAGAAATTGAGTACTTATTTGTAATTATCACCTTATAAAGTAACTACATAAGCATGAGTATTGAAATAACAACAAAAATATTGGAAAAAGTATATGAAGTATTTGTTATATGTTAAAGAAGCTATTAGACATTTCATATATGTACGTAAGTATAGGCAGTACCTATTCATTCTCATAAATATTTCAAATCCTAATATTTTTTCAGGAAGCATTCCGCTGACGAGAATTTCGGAATTAGGTAAGTAACTATTTTCAGAACCATTTATACTTAAATTTATTATAGATAATTTTATAGTGCTTTGATAAATTCTAGTATGTGTCCTAGTCTAGGTCATATAAAGACATATGTGTATCTTTAAGCAATCTTTATTGATATAAATAAATATAATATAAATACTAAAGATTTTCTCGGTTGACCGGATGATATATGTATGTATATATTCTGTGATATACCAACAAGATAGGTTGTACATGTTGTATTTGCGAGGCGGCTAGCGGATGGTGCTGTCAGTTCCGGTACTATTAACTTTATTATTTCATATATTTGTATACACATAGTTATTTCCTATTATCGTATTTTATATTCTAGAAAAATATGTATACGTACTACGTAAAGGAAGACGAAATAATATTTATTATTGTAGGACTTTATTTAGAGTCAAAAGTAGACAAGTGAAATATATAAATATGTAACTTACTGTTTATATCTTATTACTAAATATTTTAACATATTACATAAATAAATAAGACTGCGCAGTCTATACATATGCATGTCAATCTCATGTTTGTTATTTTACGCAATAGAAAGCTATTTACTTCTATTTCCAAGGCAACTATAATTTAGTATACAGATATGACTGATAAGACAATTTGAATATAATATTATTTAAACCATAGCTTAGAAGATAAACATTCGCATGAATTTTAATATATATTTTAAAATATATGCATACGTTTATATACGTTTGTAAACATAAGATTTTAGTCTGCACAAATAAAAAAAACCTTATAATATATCGAGTTGCATTGTCTTCCCAAGACACTTCTATTAGAAAAGATCTCTTTTATTATACATATTTACTTCATACACAGATAGGTAAATATACTTACCTAGTAATGTGTAGCTTCTGGAATTAGGGTAGGTACTGTTATTTTGGGACTTCTCCAAAATATCAACGATCTTTCTTGATCGTAACCTCTTTTGACTGGCAAACTAAACTGTGAACTTTGTACATTGAATCAGTTAATTAAAATTTTGTGATTTTCATTTTGTTTGTTGACAGGCAATATATCCCTAGTGCCGAAGTTGACACAGCAATCGATTCAGACGACTCCGACATATCGCCGGCGACAGTACCTGCTCACTCGCACCCGACCGGCCGGATCTTCAACAGACCATTAAATAATGACTTGCCCATAGTCTCAGCTCCTCTCCCTTCTCCACCACTCCCACCTCCCAATTATCTAGACATTTTCTCGAAAAACCGCTGGCAATCAAACACTAAAGAGATTCCCAAATTTTACCACTTCAGGTCTCTGAAAATTCCTTACCATACATCCGGAAAAAGGTACCTATTGCTGCCAGCCGTAGACAATATTCTTTTAAGGAAAACCTACCGTAACAGTAGTCTGCCGAGCCGGCGTAAGAATCAGTAGCTGTGCCAGTGCCCGCTAGGCGACGCCACGTTGTTTAGCTCCTGGCCCAGATACCCTAACGAACTATGAACGAATTGTCTCCATTTAATCAAGCATGTAATTTTATTTTGTACTTAAACCTTTGCAATTGTAACGGGGATCACGGATTCTGGAATATACTAGACAATAATGATATTCGAATTATTAAATCTTTTTAATGTTACATGATGTGATGGCAATTATAATGATTATTATAAAAAAATAGAATAAATAGTAATAATATAAGGGATCTCATTTTTGTAAAACGACTCGGCCAGCTTATGACAGATATCGTATAAAATAAATATAATATACGTAGGTAAAATTTTAAGATGTCAATCGCAAATATTAGTTGAAGGGATGCGATGTATTTTTTAGTAGTTTAAATAGCTATAAGAATAATTCGATAATGTTCCTGTTCCTCAAATCTTATATATTATCTTATTCAATTTGGATATTACTTTAAAGTTTCATTCTTACACTTTGCTATTAAATAGTGGGTAAAAGTTAGGCTTCCATTTAAAAGGGGTACCGCAGTAATGGTACCGGAGCGATGTGATATGTGAAGGAATATGTTTTCGATCTACTCAAATTCTTGAGTGTTTACTTAGATTTACATTTAGCTGTGTTTGACAAATAAATATTTTGAAATATTTGTAATTTTTGAAATATTATAGAGCTTTCAATCAATTTATTCATAATGTCTTTTAAGACGAGAACTATATGTAGTATATATTTGCCTGTATCTATTTTTTGAGGCATGGACAATAAATAGATAAAATAAGCGACCACGGTATGAGATAATAATTTACATTCTTATTATACTGTAGTGTGTTTCTCTTATGTCAAGTACTTGTAACCTACATACTGCTAACTTAGAGTTGTATTTGTTGTAAATAAATGAAACTGGGCCATTAACATGTTTTAATTTACCTTAAAAATAAACTAATATCTATAATTTATAAGAAAATGAATTTTTAATCATGAATTTAAGTCAGATGCAATGGTTGGAAAGCAATCCATTTTTCTTATGACACATCTGTCCAATATATTTATTTACGTAGATGAAGTAAAATTTATGGTTAACTAATTAAAAAAGTAAGTATAGTAGTTTGCACAGCTGATCGTATAAAGTATAATAGACCTGTATTTACAAAACAAATTACGATATAAGACACTAGTTACTATGTCGTTATTTCAGATTATTATCACAATTTTTGTGCTTTTAAGTAGCTGGCAAATTCTTTGGCATCCGAGTACTGAATTGGAATATTTTTTTTAATAATTTCAAATCCCTTTAATTGAGCACTCTGACCACCACAATATGAAGTCTATATAATGCTTTAAATATTATTACTACATGACAGTCATTTCCCAAACGTCTCTCTGAGACATACATCGCTAATATGTGAAGCGGGTACTAAAACATAATAACGCACTGAAATAACATGCAAAACGACGAGTTGTTTGTTATTTATCTATTATTACTTCATACATGGACTGTATATTGTAGAATACTGAGGTATACTGCAAAATGCTATCAACGTATCAACGAATAGTATACGCACTAATCTAAGGCGGAGGTGTCTTTTTTCGAACTATTCTCTTGCCACAGATGGACTTTACAGCTTCATTGAACGATAGGACGGGAGTGCAGATGGCATTCCAAAGCGGAGCGGAGAATGGAACGGCTGATATTCCTGCCTGACGGACAATACTTCAGTCTGAGGGCACCGCTAGGGGTTCGGGTCAGATTTCGAGTCAGATCGTCGTAATTACTATTTCCTTTTGAATTGGACAGGTGATTGATCTGTGCCCTTATTATTTATTTTTTAGGTAGGTACTAGGTATATTAATTATGTATGTCACTAATGAATATAGTAATGTGAAATTATATTAAAATATATATATAACTAGCTGTCCCGACAAACGTTGTTATACCTTAAAATAAAAAAAAATTGGACTAACGTGGACTACCCCTAACATTTAGGGGGATGAAAAATAGATGTTGGCCGATTCTCAGACCTACTCAATACGTTCACAAAATTTCATGAGAATCAGGTCATTTTCATGAGGTCAAGCCGTTTCGGAGGAGTATGGGGACGAAAACTGAATTTCTAAAAAATATTTTATATTTTTTAGAAATTCGGGAAATTATTAATCCACAATTAATAAACCAAGGAGTAAAAATGAATAGAAATAGAATTAGAAATAATCTTTATTCAAATAAACTCATTACAAGCACTTTTGAATAGTCATATTTTGATTCTACCACTCATTCGGAATGCATATTCACCACAAGAAGAATGAGCAAGAAACTTGAAACAAGAAAATATAAAATATGTTACTATTGAAGATAGAATAAAAAAATAATATCAATATGTTTTCAACAAAAATGCCCACCTAGACAGACTAGTATCTAATAAAGTAAATAAGGTAAAACTATTTTCATTGTGGAGTTCAGTTTTTTTTTCTTAGAGTTAAGTACAGATCCGAGCAGTTTATTCGTGAAGTTATCCTCCGGGAACTAATTGCCAACGTTCTTGAACCGACATTCCATGAGCATTCATTTGTTCTTATTGCATAAGGTTTCATTTACGTGTTGCCATTCTTTTGTGCAAATTGTTTAAAGCTTTTCTAACGAAAATCCGACGTCGTTTTAATACAATGCTAATATTATTCAATATAACTTTGTATTTTTGAGAAAATAATTAGTTTTATAAGGATATTTATCGATTCGACTTTGCTGAAAGTTGAGTAGGTACAAATCGCAAATGGAGTGGCGATTTCTAAAAAATAAATATCTTTATTTCTATAGGTTACGATATAAGTTACTGAATGAAATACACATGACATACTGATGAAAATTAGTTAGAACCTTTAAGTGTAAATTAAATAAGGAGAAGAATAAAAAAAAAATGGCTATTGATAAGGTAAAAATATTTATTATGCTATTAATAATCGGCACAAGATCTTTGCAAGTTGTTATATACCGAATATGATTATTACCAAGTTTTCATCCTACGATATTCCACTGGAACTCATTTGGAATATCAATATGAATTGGCATGCAGATAATGTCTATTCAGTTACATATATTTAAAGAGGAACAATGGCTTCAGTGGTTGCTGGAGCACATTCGGCAGTAGGAGTGGCGGAACATTGGCCCAGGTTGCAGTAAGGCAGAGCAGGGTCAGTGCAAGCGCGCTGGAGTCCTCCAATCTTTGTGCAGACCAATTTCGTGGTACAGTCTAAGCAGGACGCACCGACACCGGAGCATATCGTCCATTGGGGTATCCAGGGTGCGCCCGCTAGCCAAGGTGGTAGCCAAGGGTTTACACCACCAGCTGGTCCGGCACCGGGAGCTCCCCAGCCGCCCCATCCACCCCAAGCACCTCCAGGCTGAGCTGGAACTGCTGTAGCCACTGCCACCTGAAAAACGTTATTATAATATGTTTTTTTGCTAGATAGGTAGTGTTATTATATAATATGACATATATACGTAGAGATGAGATAATATAAAAAGAGAAACTTGTCAAGGATCAGAATGATAAGATTCTTCTCATGTAATTTCAACAGTATTAAATACCCATGCGCTGAATAGGTGTTATTTGCCTGTTACCAAATATCTCATTTTTTATTTCTGTTCGTTATTTCTATAATACTTTAGTACAATGATTTGTCTTTACAAATAAGTTGGTTACACTAAAAAATCAAAACTTGTAATACACAGTGTCCTACTGGATTACTATACTTACCAAGACGCAAAGTGCAATAAGAACTTTGGAGTACATTGTTGAGATCTCGTAAGTCGTTCGTATCGTTTTACAAAATACTGTTCAATACGTTTAGATGTGTAGTTCCTCGCGTATAAATACGAGTTAATGTTTAATTTAAGGATTAAATTGAAGAAAACAAGTAGAATAATAAGGTTTTTCCAGTGGTATATAATAACCGTTGATTACTAGATACCACGTCAAGTATAGATAGCAGCAAAAATGTACTGAACAAAAATATTTGATATTTCTACATAGTTTATTAATAAAAGGATGAAAAGACGGAATTGTCGTTGATATTGGATGTTTTTAATAATAGGATATAAGAGTATTTTCTAATAAATTCATGTCTGACTCTATACAATTCGTTATTAAATCATCATCTATGGCATCTTATAATGGAATGGACATAATATTTACATTCGGCGTAGACATCAATGAAATTTTAATGAAATAAAATGTTATTAAGCTGTAGGTATCAATTCAAGAAAAACTACTTTTGTTCGAGGTAAATATTAATATTTCAGAAGTACAACAAATGACATGACTATTATGATTCTAACTCTACGGAATAATATTTGCTGTTGTAGATAATATTTTAAGATGTTGGTTCACGATTAGGAAATTTTAATTTACCTAATTACCTTCCTAGATTACTTTAGAGTTTTGTTTCATAATGGAAATTTCACGGGGGGTATTTTCAGTCATAAGATGCTATACGTATATTTATACAAAGACTTATCAGTTTGTTTAATAGAATGATTCCACTTTAGGTATACAAGATAAGAATAACTATACGTATTCACAACAATCGGAATGAATAAAATTAAACCAAATCAACTAAATTGATATCCCATATTATTTGAATATCTCCAATATTCTTCTGTTAGTAGGTACCAAATCTTACGGCTAAAAGAAAATGTCAAATTTGTAAGCTCTATGTGGTGAATGGATTCCTATATTAAGAGATGGAAAAACAGAATTTTTAGATATAAAATACAATTTTATGACTACTGCAAACTTATCGAGTTTTTCTAGAAAAACACTTAAATAAATAAGACTAAATAAATACAAATCGCGTTGTGACAAGGTGCGGTATTAAAGTCAGATAGAATCTAATATGACAAAAGCTTAGGACAGTCACAAATTTCTTATTCCTATTTTAGTAAAAGTAATTAGCGAGGTTTCTTCCATTATAGCGATGTTACAAGATGTAAAAGACATAGATATATAGTTAAAGAACATAGATATACAGAGAAGTTATTTCCTTTGGACTTCGCATATATACGGTTAACTCCTATTAAAATCAAAATAGCAAATGTTTTTGCTATATATATTTCACAAGAGTCTTATAGTTGCCTATTTTAGATGTAAGGTTTTATTTACTTTTTTCCATATAGATAGTTTCTTATTTTACTTAAAGTTACGTATCGGGTACGGGCACAACTGAGTGCTTTTATCCTTATATATAAATTTTGCCTCATCCACATAATTCGCATAAACTTCTCCAATGTCTTCTCCAAAGTAAGTCTCTATTTGATGGTGTTTTTGTCTGTACATATATGTCACGAAATATTCATACCATGATATAGTGTTGTAATGATGATGATAATGAGGTTTTATGTCTCTATTGATTCCGTACCAATTTTGCTACGATTTTAGAAGAATTTCAAAAAAATATACCAGATATTTTTTTCTGCCTCTAGGTTCTTTTTATGTAGTTACGTGAATACTTTTAATAAGAATATCAAGTCTCTCTAACTGTAGACTCAATTGAAATTTCTAAATTAGATACTAAATAAATTTAAGCGAGTGCGATTTTGTTGGTTGTGCTCGCTTTATAAGCTATTTTTCAATTCAAGGGTGTGAAATTACAGTATGAGTAGCATTATATCTTACTTCTCCGAAATGGCAACGCGTGACACGATAATGTGATGTGCACAGTGTCCACTGTTCATGTACATACGCAACTGTTACCACTTAAAATTAAATGGCCTGTAAGCCAGTCATATCCCTATTAGTAGGTATATGAGAATTAAATAATAATCTAGGAAATAAACATTTAAATTTAAATCAGTGTTTTCATTAATTACTTAAATCTCAAGTAGTTCAAATCATATGTTCTGATTTAAAATACATCACTCTGTGTTTTAGTTTCTTGTACCTTTATTATAGAGTTTAAGAGTTATGAGTACCATTCGATGAAACTGTAAGTTTAATTATTCGAAATAATGTAATAATATTTGTAGTACTAAAATAAATTTATTAAAATGACAGTCATATGACATATTTACATAAGCAAAGATAATAAAAAACCGAAAGATAAGTATTTGTTATTGTATAATAACATAATAGTAATAAGTAAACTGTACCTCTTTGTTACATGTTTTAGGAATAAAATGTAAATAAATTTTGTTTGTATTACACCATTCCTGATTGATTAATGTTATGAAAGAATTTACATATATGTAATGTTTCTTAAATATTTTAATTAAAATTAAATCTCAAAATGATACGTTAAGTATGTTTGTACCGTAAATAACAGTTATGCTTGGTCTTTACTATAAGCTATTACCAACTACAATTTGGACGACACTAAAACCCATTCAGTAAACGTTTAAAAGTATTTGCAGGAATATTGCAAAATATATATCTTTTAATGATAATACTCAGCTTTTGAATTACACTCTCTGTCTCTACTTAGTTATGTGTCTCAAATACTGGCAAGTTCATATTCCTTTGTTTTTTACGCCAATTGACACTGTCCTGGAAATCTGGAGACTTTCAGATGTCTTTGACATGTCTTTTGCATATATAGCCACCCCATCCTTCAGACTGGACTTACTAATAATGTAATTCTAAAAGTTAATTTTTCTGGTTGTTATCTGCTCAAACTATCATCTTGAAATTAGTATATATGTACATATGTGTAGTATAAATGCCATGTATTTATTATCGGAAGCACTTTACTCTCAGAATAACTATTTTGTCGTAGCAATTGTATAGTATTGGGTGAATGTAATATATTGTATTGTATTGTACTCCTTTTTTAATTTTTCACAGAAATTACGCAGATGTATCTACAATATAATACAACAAGAATGACGATGAGGATGTATGATATGTATGTACGTAAATATCTAATGTATGAAATGCGTAAGTAATACAATAAATTAAATGTATGACGAATGGATGAATCTTAAATTTATTGTTTATTTATATTTTGTTTACATTCAGATAATAATATTTTTCTTCGTAACATTTCCATTAGCGTAAACGTACAAAGGCAACTACGGGTTTCCTTATCGGAGACATTGTCTATCAAAACCTTAAGAACTGTATAATGTACATATGTAGGCAGTTTGACATACGTGATATACCCAAAATCAGTAACCATACTTGAATAAATGAACTACATGTCATTTTTTCACAATAAAGACTAATAATATTCTTTTAAAGTTGATTTAATATCTTCAATTGAGAAATTATAATTAAACTCGTATCGTAAAGTATGTTATTAGTAAGTTGTCTCCTTGAGTTAAGATGTAAATTCTAAAAGCTCGTAACATATACAAATACAGAATGAGCTGTTATAATTTGTATTTATGCGTAAGATACTTACTTCTCTATCTTTACATAAGTACATGTGCAATTAGTACCTTATTATATTCAATTTTATTAGTTCTATAAATTTATCACCGCTAGCTATCTGCTTTAATTTACTATGAATTATGGAATACTATGCAACGATGGGAAATTTGATGTAGGTTAGATAAAAATATAAATTGGCATCTACTTCAAAATCTGCATATCTGTTTGCCATGCCTTGCTAAGTTTATTTGTAGCTCAGCAAATGATTATTTTTTTCGTTATCTTGTACTAAAATATACTTTTTAGAAGATCCGTGTGGGTACCCCTGTCTCACTTATTACAGCTGCAAGCAGTAAAAATAAATTCTTTTTTGCCAGTTCTTATCATTTGTATCTATACGCTGGAATTGGGCGGTCGGGAAAAATATTAATATGAAAAAAATACATTCATAAGAACCTGAAATGTCCTACATGAATAAATGATTTGTACGTTTAGATGCGATGGTTACCACATACTACCAAGTTGGGCGTTGGCATTTTTGTTTGTCATTTCCATTGCAGTACTAAGTGATAAAACATACTTAATTGCAGTTTCAAGACTATTTTATTCGTTCCTGACTCGAATTAGATGAATTTGAACAAGCTTCAATTTAAACTATGTATGTATATAATATATGATACTATATACTCATATATATAATGACGATATATATGTGAGTATATAGTATATAATATACCAGAAGCATGGTTTGAAAATAATACAGAAATATTTCATTTAGAATCACGAGTGAGTTTATTGGTGTTTTCACATATAGAGCCTAATATAGAAGATATTAATGTATTAGTTATCCTGAGAGGTTGGTATTTTAATATTCTGTTTCCGTAAACCATTCATAAATGAGTTGTAAACAAAGAATGTAAACACCGCAATCTTTAAGATAAGATGATACTTAGTTCTTGGGCCCAATATTTCACGTGGCTACTGTTATGACGTACATAGTAACATAATAACTGAACTAAGTAGAGCCAGTACTATGAGTATTATTGACAACTGACTGTTTTATTTTTAGTACATATGGGTAGAACAGATATAGAAGAACAATAACATCAATACAAACATATATGACTGAAAACAAATGTTTGTATTATGCGGAGATCAAATTCGCGACCTTGATTCGCTAATCCTCAAAAATTTCGCTAGCTAGTTCTTTTATGGAATAAATTAAAGGTTTACCCCTGGCTAGCCAATAAAACTAGTGGACTGTGATTAATATGTATAATATGAAAGATGACAATAGATGTACATTAAATTAGAATGGTGTGATTATTAAGTAACCGGTAAGTATTTGTACCGGTCGGACAAGAAGAGGCCGGTGTCCGCCGCTGGCCGTGGTCGCCGATACGCAGCACCGCACCCGCAGCCGGCTGGAGCTGCCTTGGGTCCGTAGACAAAATAATATAATAATATATACATTTGTTCACATTAAAAAAATGAGATTGAAAAAGATGAATTGGAAAAGATATTTCTGTACTGGTACTTGCTACTCGTGTGTTATTGTTTATGATTAATAAGATGCTACTCCTCCGTACCCCGTAATTTCATATACTTACATATACAGGTATTCGCATTACCAAAAGCATAATGGCGTTATTATATGCTGTTTTCGATTCATGTTCAAATAAATGCTCACATTAGTGCTAATATTGAATACTTCTCGTCTTCTCTGTCACTTACTTAATTATTTAGTTATTACATACGTATATAGGTAAATTATTTCATCAAAATAAAGTACTAAAACTACGAATATCATATTTTTTACTTTATTAACTAAAATTTATTGTCGATTTTGAAATATATATATATGTTCTGTTTACAATAGCGTAAACAGAACATATATACATTTCAAAATCGACAATAATCTTATATGTTATACATCTAATATGTTAATCTATACATCCGTTGCAATTAATTTATAGACCGGATACAAATATTTAGTTGTTTATATGGTATTCAGAATACTGCGGCATTATATTATGTTAATATAGTTTTAATCAATGTCAACATTGAGTCAGATTCGCAAAACATTGTTGAACTAAGACTTAACTTTTACCTGTTATCGCGTCAGGAGCTGTTATCTAACGTTATCTCAGCTAATTTGTGTTGTAAGTATAAAAGGATGCTTGTACAGCATTCGACACAATATGTGACGAACGAGCTCGTATGAGACACTATTGTATTTAAGTCTTTTAAAAATCGAACGAAATTCGCCAAAATGAGAGTGATTTTTTTACTTCTTATTGTAAGTATTACTTACATTCTTCTATACATAAAACGTTATTAATAGTAGTGTGAAAGTGCTATAGTAATGTTAATAAAGTGTTTACGAAATCAGTTTTCTAAAGATGTTACAACTTATCATTTTGATGTAATGATCTATATATATACATTAAATTTTAAAACCAAACAGTTGCGTGTGATTACAATAATAGATTATACTTTTATTTATCTTTTTTTTTTAAATAATCATATATAAATAAGCGTATCGGATATTAAATTTATTATGTATATTTTTGTGTTGTCCAAGAAATGGTGACATTAGATTAATTTTATCTTAATAATTTCATATACATTTACAATGTGTCAAAACAGTTATAATTTTTCTCATTTGGGGTTGTTTGGGAATAATAAATAATTTACAATATGAAATAACATTGACATCTGGTTTCAAATTTGGTAAGGCTTTGCAATATACATTATAAACATACATATACTTGATGTTCATAAGCTTTAAAATATTCTTTAACAATAAGCAATTTTACAGTTTAGAATTTTAAAGCATATAGATGGATACGCTGCAGTCATTTCATTTGAAAAAAAACACTTTAAATTATCCTTAAACAATTGTGAAACGTTTAGATTCTATTACGGTTTCGATTTTATTATGTTAATAGAATCGAAACATTTCACAATTGTTTAAGGATAATTTAAAGGCTTTTTTTCTAACTATAAATATCTAAGTATTCAAATTAAATGTAGACCTTCTACAATAAACAACTATATGAAATATGTTAAATACTTTATTTATAATTAATTATAAAGACATTAGGTAAAAATAACGCGGTCAAATGTGGCGGGTTTTATTCCTCGCATGTTGAAACATTCGTATTCATGAATGTGATTGGTTTGGTTGTTTTCTATGTATATTATGTATAAATTTATAGAAAAAAAATATGTCTGTGCTTGTATCAGTTGTTTAGTACCTATATCATAAACTCTGCTTAGCTTGGAACTACATGGGGCTGTATGAGGGGCTATATGTTCTGAGGCTGTAGCAAGTATAATTATTATTAGATTTAAATGAAATTAGCATAGTAGTTGAGCAAAATAACGCTTAAGTAAGGTAGATTTAAAACAATATGTAGAATATAACATGTTTAAATTCATATTTAAGGATTACGCAATTACATTTTTGTTACAGATTGGTTTATGCCTGGCAAATGCAAAGAATTTGCCAAATGAATCGCGTCAGTCACGATCATTATTGCGATCTGATGATTCTGAATCCAGTGAATCTGTGTCTTCAATAGATCGTGATAATGATAGTAGTGATGATGATAATGACGATAACGAATCTAGAAATAATAGTAACATAGAAGCAATCCGAAGAAAAATTGAAGAAAAGCAAAGGAAAGAGATAAAAAAACTAGAAGAAAAAAGACGCGAAGAAACAAGGAAATTGGAAGAAAAACGGAAAAAAATTCAGGAAAAGCTAGCAAAAGAGGAACTGAAATTACAACAGAAAAGACAAGAAGAAGAACGTAAGCTTCAAGAACGAATTGAGAAAGAAAAACGTAAGCAAGAGGAAGAGAACAGGAAAAGACAAGAAAAAATACTGAAAGCAGAACAAAAACGTCAAGAAAAAGAGCGTAAGAAACTTGCAGAACTACAAAAAGAAGCTCTGGAGGATAATAATGCCCCTGACCTAAATAGTGCAGAGTCTAATGAAGTAAATGACTCATTAGACTTTGAAGATTTATTAAAGAGTTACGTCTATGAACAATATGGCGTAACAACGGTAAGTCCAAGTATTGAGAAGAAATCAGCCTTATATAGATTTAGACTCGAAGTGCTTAGACTTAATGCATATAGCACTAAAAGTGAAAAAAGACGAGCATTAATAAACTGGTTAGAAAATGAAGGACGAAAAGATAACACTGTACAAAATAGTTTTAGAAATTATTTGTCAAATCGCATTAATATCACAGAAATAGAACAGTTAAGAATAAGATTGATTAGACAGATTGAAAAGTTAAACAATGAATCAAGGTTGATAAATAACGCTGTATCAGTATCACCATTAGCTTCTATTGCACAAAATAATGTAGAAGAAAAGAAAACTTTGGTCCAAGCTATATCACAATTGCTATCTACTTTACTTCCGAATTTGATTAACGGTGACCAAAATAGTAACTCTAATACTTTGTCTCCTACTACCAATGGACCTTCAAATATTATACCAAATACAGATCCCAGTAACACTATTATATCTGGTGTTGATAATATAAATCCTACTGTAACTGATGCATCTGCTTCCGGTGTTCCTGCTGTTAATCCCACGGAAACTGTCTTACCTGGTACACAAACTGTTGTTAATTCTTCTGATGGTGTAGTATCGAATGCTGATACAACTTCTACAGCAAATAGTAACATCATTTCTTCTGGTACTAGTGTATCTGTATCACCTGGTTCAGCAGTTGATGGGGCTGAAGCTACTTCTACTGGAAACAATGGCGCTGCTTCTGATAGTTCCTTATCTGATCCAGCATCCAATACTGATGCAATTCCTTCAACAATTAGTAGCGTTTCTTCTAATATTGATTCTGAAATTTCTATCTCTGATACTACGTCTACTATTTTATCCACAGCTGGCGGCTCAATTGAAAATGCAATATCTGCTGCTGACACACCTTCCGTTGCTAGTAGTAATACTGTTTCTTCTAATGGAGTTACCTCAGGAGTTACTGCTGTTGATTCTACAGACAGTTCTGTTGTTATATCTACAGTTAGCAGTTCAACTTCAGCTTCAGCGTCTAGTACAGATACAAACTCTGCAGGAAATAATAGTACTGTTTCAGCTAACGAATCTAGTTCAAGTGTTCTTACTATTGATTCTTCTAACTCTGCCACACCGAGTGCCGTACCTGCACCTGGTAGTTCAATTGAAGGTGAGGCATCCTCTGCTGTTGCAAATCCTGCAGCAAGTAGCCCTTCTGATGCTAATATTGGAACTAGTTCTGGCATTTCCACTATTGACTCCACTGATGTTGCATTGTCTGGTGGGGAACAGACAGTTGTTATTTCGTCTGAAGGTACAGCTTCGAGTTCCAATACAGTTGCTGCAGCAAATAATGATGCTACTACACCTGATGCGTCTTTATCTGGTTCCAATATTTCTGTTATTGATTCTACTAGTTCTGTTACATCTAATGTCGTCATATCTGCGGTCAGTGATTCATCCCAAAATGGATTGCCAAGTTCTGATACCACTTCTTCTTCTTCATCTGGAGTTGAAAGTGCAACTGTCAACTCTGCTGCAAATAACGGTGCCATATCTACTGATACCTCTTTACCTGGGTCAGATCTTTCCACCACTTCCACAAGCATTGCTGATGTACAAACTAGTATTGTATCCACAGCTGGTAGCCCAACTGAAAGTACAGTATCTAGTTCTGACGCAATTTCTGCAACGAGTAGCATTTCTGGCGATGGATCTAGTTCTAGTATACTCACTGCAGATTCATCTATATCTGTCTCATCTGGTGTGGAAATTACAAATATTGTTTCCTCTGGAGATGCTGTATCGAGTGCTGATACAATTCCAGTATCTAATAGCGAAGCCATTTCTACTGACACTCCAATATCTGGTTCGTCATCAACTAGCAACAATGAAATTTCTGTTACTGAATCTGTACCAGGATCTAATATCGCTGGTTCAATTAACTCTGATATATCTGGCGTCGGAACTGCAGTACCAGAAGTTGACATTAATTCTATTGGAAATGATAACACTGCTTCCACTGATTTACCTGTTTCTGATTCCGAACTTTCTACTGGGTCAATTAACGAAATACCTTCGGTTAGTAGCTCAACAGAAAATACAATTCCCGTATCAAGTAGTAATACTCCTTCTGATTCTGCCATTACTGCTACTGAGGTTGCAATTGCTGATTCTACTGATAGTACATTATCTGATGCTGACGGTTTGGCAGGAAATATTGATATTTCTTCCACTATTATATCTGTATCAAACTCCAGTCTTATTAATTCATCAGCACCTGAAGTTAATACAGCAGTTAACTCTGTTGATGAAACCGTATCAAGTACTGACTCAAGTTCAGCATCAGCATCAACAAGTATTGATATTGCTACGTCGGAAGTATCTACATCTGCTTCTGAAATTCTGACAGATGCTACCACCAATACTCCTGTAGTTGAAATTGACAATTCAGGTGGAGCCTCTACTCAAGATCCATCATTAGCTCTAGAAAATATTAATAGCGCTACAACTGATGGCACTCCTATTACTCTAGATATCAATGCTTCAGAAGCAACAATTTTAGAAAGTGATGGTATAGCAACTACGATCTCAGAGGTTAACAGCATCACTTCTGAAAATAGCAATGCTATAATATCTGATGAAGTTACTACTACTGCTGGAGATCTTACTGCAATAGGTGAAATTAGTCTTGAAGCATCCACCACGGTTGCTGGTCCTTCAAGCTTGAATGAAGTTGATAGTATTGTTACGTCTGGCAATATAAATGAAATTGTAAACGAATCACAAACAGAATCAGGCATTATTGCAACCGTACCGGAAATCAATATTCCTGCAGTTCCTTTGCCAGCAATCAATCAATTTCTAGAATTATTACCAGAACTAAATCGTCCTAGTGAACCAGGTGCAATTGTAATAGAAGTAAATCGGCAATAATACGTTAACTGACTATGTAATAAATAACATGTTGTATCTAAATAATGTATATAGATAAATATAGAAATTGAACAAATGATTTTGTAGATATGTGAATTTAAATTAAATATAAATACAGGGCAAATTTTGTGTTCATTTAATTCCATAAATTAATAATATCCTATATAATAATCGTGAGATCCATAATATGACAGAGTTTTACAAGAGGTAATTTCCACTAGAAAATAAAGAAAATTTACCCTAATATCTATGTAGTACTTGAAAAGATTCTCAATAAAAGACTCTATAAGTTTTGATATTTTATATTTTACTAGTGACTTTTCTAACTACTTTTTACAAATGTTTGGTTTACAAGCAGCATATTTAATTTAATTCTATATTGTGGAATGCAGAACAGAGGTATTCTTTTATGTATAATTTTTGATATATCTATTACTAAAATTAATTTATATAGTGTTAACAACTTATATTTATATAAACAATTAGAAATTATTTTTATAGAAATTTGTCAAATCCAATATTTGTTAGTGGGATTATTAGGTGGATTTGGATAATTGTGTTGAGAAAGGGGATCGGGAATATTCGGAAATGTATACGGATCATTCATATATTTATATTCACTGGAGAGACCAGCTAAACTCATATTTAGGGAGTTTTGAGAAGGACTCCAATTCGCAGATGAAGATGGGTCCACCGAAACTTTGGAATAATCAGTAGGAACTTTTGGATAATCATTATTTGGTAATGTCTTATATTCATCTGCAGCTGATTTTACAAATGCGTCCTCTCTGGTATCAATAACTTCTTCACTAGTTACTTTATCTTCAGCTTCTGTTTCTTTTGGAAGGTAATTAATAGGTTTGCTATATACATCATTAGGATATCTTGCGTAGTCATTTCTGGGGATTCCTGTGTCTAATATTTGGCTGTGAGTGGCTCCATTTGCACCACTAACTAGGTGACTGAAACTAGAACCAGATGTGCTTGGGAAAGCCGCACTCTGGAAGGCTTGGTTTAAATGTTGCGACTGTGCCATGAGTTGGTTATAGTTGGTATATTTTTGATGATGCCAAGCCTCAGGATTCTGTGTGTGATGATGAGATGGAATTTCGCCAGCTGGGTATGGACATGGTATTTGTGGTATTGGTAAACTAGAGTAACCAGAGAGACTTGGAGTTGAATTTGAACCGGTGTGTTTTCGTAAGCGAGCCCGTCGGTTTGAGAACCAGACCTGAAACATAAAATATTCATACTAGTATAATAGATGAGAAAGAGTATGCTTCTTTATTCTAAACGTAACTACGTAAACGTAAATACTTGTTGACACCTTTGAAATATTAGGCGCTTTAAAAACATAATTATTTACATAATCGGAATGGCAAAAAATAGCTTACGCCCTAACAGATGGTAACCGTAACCTACATATACAGGGGGAAGGGGATTGTTAGTAATGTGGATTGACAACATTGCTAGCAATGTACTTTGTCAGCTCGACCTCCACGCGGTTCCCCCTGGAAACCATCGTGTTAAATTCCTGGTGAATTTGTCACGATGGGCTAACTGACCTGACCTCATGCTCATCTTATCATCCTCCACTGGTGCCCCGCCAGCGTAAACCGTTAGCGCAGGAGGGTGTACCATTCCATTATCATCCACAAAAAAAAACCTACATATACATGACGATAATCAGGTACATGACGTTATCATGTATCGCCCATATTACCATTTATGTGTTGTTATTTTGGAGTTGTAATGTATAGAATAGGATATAAAATTCTTTATTAAAATAAACGTAAATTTTATCACTTTTGAATTGACATACTTAATTTTACAATCTACTACTCAATCGGAATACTATATCATTATAACAATAATGAACAAAATATTTGCATGTTGCTCCTTTAAATAATTGTTGTAACTTTACATTTCGAAGTTAAAATATGTAAATACAAATTACCAAATAGCACTAATTCATTACAGTTAAAATATTAAATATAAAAACTGGTTGAGTAACTAAATCAGTCGTAGTAATTAGAGCAGATCAGTCCCTAATGTACATTGTAATTTCATTGCTTTATATTTCACCCTTCACACCTACAAGACATCTTACAATGCAAGCTTGCAGGCAGAAATAGGTGAGACAGACGACTTTGTATAAAGTCTAGGTTAGAGTGGAGCATTATGGTCTTATAGTTGTCCATACACTTTTGATACTGACGATGATTTGATATAAATGGTTGGTATCAAGCGTAGACATAAATATAAAGTAAACGCGTCTAACTTAGAATATCCCAATTATTGCGTAAAAAATAAATAACTAATATACCTGTATTCTGGCTTCTGTAAGTCCAGTTTGGAGAGCCAGCTCCTCTCTAGTGTACACATCAGGATACTGAGTACGGTGAAACGCTCGCTCCAATGCATCCAACTGTTCCCCAGTGAAAGTTGTTCGGGATCGGCGCTGTTTCCGTTTCAGCGTTAAACCTGGTTCTGATTCTATATCCGAAGAATCTGACCCTCGACCTGTTTGAAACAAATGTAGCAACTAAATTATTTTGATGAAGTATAAATAACTTTTGTGCTATGCTAATATATTATGAAAATTTTGATGTGGTGTCGGCATTTAATAAAAGACATTTACATAGTACTCCAGACCGTCAATTTATGATTGGCACCATGGGCGTCACATAATGACGTAAGTTACGTACTGGAGTTATACACTTACCATTAGGTGTTTACCATTCCAATTACACAAAATAAGAAATGAACTGAAGATTTAATCTAGATCCAAATACCTAAAATATATTGCAGGATGTCTTTTCGTAAGGTTGACTTACGTTCTTAAACAATTTATTTGACACCACAGTAATTTGTCTTCATCTCTTTTTTGAGACACGCGTTATTTATTAGCGGAATGGTTTTTTTTTGCAAAAACCCACATCATATTTTAATACGCCTAAATCAAGAGCCGTCAGACTCGCGGGTCGGTCGATCTCATTTATAAATCGGTAGCGGAATCCTACGGGAAACATATTAAAAAACGGCCTTAACAATAGCCAGCTTTGCCCTTAAAACTGATTTTAAAAAATGCGGCTTATATTAATAGCCTTTTGAAAGAAGTCAAAATTGAATGAGATGAAAAAATAGGGGCTCAGTGCGGCGCGGAGTAAGGAACACCCAGTGTGGCGGTTTCTTTGTCGGCTTCTTTGCTGTTCGGGTGACATTTTGGCACCATTCAATATTTTGGTGTCGCGTTATGGATTTATGATATGTAAACGAATATGTGATTTAATTCCGAAAGTTACAGCTACATCCGATTTGTATCAGCCACTACATAAAATATGTTTCAGCCAATTTGTAGGTATGTCGTGATACATAATTATTTTTTATACGTCTACCGACGTACGTACGTAATGTTAATACAAAATTTTACAATTTGACATCGAGTTTTGAGATAGCAACAATAATATTTAAGTTCAAGTCAAAGTTCAATTTTCATGTGTACGTATTATTTGGTTTTATAAAAATATGCTTGTAGTATGTCTTTCTTAAGTTCTTATAAAATTATATATTTTTATTGTAAAAAAGTAAATATATTATTTTCATTTAAGCAGCGGAAGTCTGTGATTACTCACACTAGATGTAGGAAGAGCTTGGCGGGCATAAAGCAAAGGGCATCATATCTAACCACAAAAGCCGCGACACCAAATAAAAAACAACGTATTGTAATAAAATGATTTACATTGCTCAAATTCTCTGGCTCGCTCGCGACTGTGACAGATTTATTTAGTCTTTTTTGTTCCCAGTCCTGATCATAAGTATGAGAATAAACGAGTCGCATTTCGAAAATAAGTCGATTAACGATACACGACTTTAAAGCAGAACATCAAAGTTCATTTCGCCGGTGTGGCCACTGGAGTGCACAAAGGCAATACTGTAAAGATTTTATATCTGTTGAAAGAAGAGAGTTTTATGTAGCTGACCCTAGTGGGAGAGAGTCGGGTGACTTTTAGCGATTGCCGAAATGTGACCCCGTGAAGACCGCCGATTCCGACCGCCTCATAATTTGGAAGTTGAAAGAGCTCCGGCATTTTAACACCTTCATAATCTCCGTTCATTAAACCACCCGACCAGCCTTTGTTTCAGCGGGTTGTTGGGATGTTAACAGATGGTCGTATTAGTACTCCGAGCAGTGGGCGTATGTAGCTCATTTCTTTCACTGTCAAATACTCGCATATACAATAAACCGAATGGTATTTTTGGTCGATATTTTTGCAACTAACATACGACTTTATATCCTACAAATATATTCTACTGTTTTTGTCATAATTTAGAGTATTAAAAGTTAGTACTACGTTGTATTATATAAGACAGGTATAAAGTAATATTAAGACAAACAAAATAATAGTTCATATTGATATATTACACATTGATTATGAATAGGTACGATATGATACGAATACATTTAATGAATGTTCCACTTTTCAGTAATGGAGGTGTCAATTTAATCTATTTTACGAAATAGATTTTATATTATTACATAGATTTTTATCATATATTTTATATACAAAATAGTTTTTGCTAAAATTACTTTGAAATCTGTTGGGGATTAGTTCTTTTTTCTCGGTCCTTCTACTGAATGGGAACTATTTTTAGACCTCTATGTTAAATGTTTTTTGTGTGTCAGGTATAAAATATTATATATTACTCTGAAAGAAGTATTTTTATCTCCTATATTAATGTGTACCAGGCCTTCTGATTACACGTTGAATAAAAATAACACGCCTTTTTAATGATTTTTATTGATTACTGTTTTAACACAACAATAGGACATTCGCAGAAACGCCATCTTATTCATTTCTATATAATGCTAATATCACTCTATTTTGACAACTGACAATTACAGATTAATGTGTCAAACTTGACATTGACACGCGGATGTAAATACATCACAAATACTCCCCCTATAAATTGAGTTTTACAATAGGTTTTCTTTCTCTTTGTGAGCGCCTTAAACCAATAATTTCAGAATTACAATTAGACCCTATTATAGAATTATCATCTTTTGAAACATTGCTACCAATATTATTTCCCTCAGAATCACCTACTTGAGAAGTTACAATAGTTTCTAAAGATCTATTTAAATTATTATTATTACTACAATCTCTATTACAAATGTTTTCATCAACTATACTCTTAGGAACTACAACTTCAGAACATACTTCTTTCAAAGTTATATCTTCTGAATTTACTTTTTCAATACTAAAATCCTGATTAGTTTGGGATGGAGAGCTTATTATTTGATCTAAATGTCTTTTCCATATTAAATTCTCATTTACTACTTTACATAAATAAGTTCTCTGTCCCAAGACCTCATCAATAATACATTTTACAAAAACCTTTTTATTTGGGTTTCTATAATCCCTACAATATACCCAATCTCCTTCCTTAAATGTATCCTGTCTACTCCCTCTTTTAATCCTCTCCCCTTGTTCTTCCTTTATGGATAATAAATCTAGTCTAGTTCTAAGTTTCCTTTGAAACATCAATTGAGAAGGACAAACTCCTGTAACACTATGAATAGAATTTCTATAATGAAATAAGTACCTGTACATTAATGTTTGAAAAGAATTATTACAATTTAAATCATCTTTTAATGCTTTTAACATTCCATATTTAAAACTTTTTACCGAATTCTCAGCAAAACCGTTGGTTGCTGGATGGAATGGTGGTGACGTTTCATGTTTAATACCATTCTTGTATAAAAATTCAGAAAAATCTCTTGATACAAATACACTTGCATTATCAGTAACTAAAATTTTTGGTAAACCGTACCGTGCAAAACATTCTCTAAACTTCTCTATTGTATATTTAGAATCAGTATTTTCCATAATAAATGCCTCTGGCCACTTTGAATATGTATCAACAATTAGTAAAATGTTTCTACCTTTAAATGGACCTAAAAAGTCTGCATGTACTCTCTCATATGGACTATTTGTTTTTGGCCATGAAATAATATTAGATTTTGGTGGTTCTGGACGCATCGACATACATATGTTACAATTTTTTACATAACTTTCAATCATCTGGTCCACTTTTGGCCACCAAAAATATGACCTAGCATTAGATTTCATCCTTACAATACCTTCATGTGTCGAATGTAACTCTTTTAATAACAAATTCTGTATTTTTTTTTGAATTATAACTCTATAACCCCACATGATTACTCCTTTATCAATATATAACTCGTCTTTCCTCTGTAAAAATGGCTTGAAAACATCACTTACATTATTTGAAAAACCATATCTTATCATATTAAATACCGAACTAAGAATAGGATCCCTTCGCGTTTCAGATCTTATTCTATTAACATCAATTACATTTTGATCTTCTACAAAATTAATATAATCATATTCTTTATAATACATGTTATCAGTGACAGGTAATGGTAATCTAGACATACAGTCTGCATTTACATTTTCTGTACCTTTAATATGATTTAATGTATAATCAAACCCAGACAAAAATAATGACCACCTTTGTAATCTACCTGCTGCCATTTGTGGCAAACTTTTATGCTCACCAAATAAAGCTTTTAAAGGCTTATGGTCTGACAATAACTCAAACTTAGTTCCTATCAAATACTGATACAACTTACTGACTGCCCAATATAAAGCTAATGCTTCTTTATGTATCATTGAGTATCCTCTCTCTGCTTTTGTATACACTCTAGATATAAAAGTAATAGGTCTCTCTGAACCATCTGACATAATGTGACTTAATACAGCACCTATACCATTATTTGATGCGTCACATGCTAATCTTAAGGGCTTATTCCTATCATAATGAATTAGTATTTTATCAGAAATGATCTCCTTTTTTATTAATTTAAAACTTGCTTGGCACTCTCTTGACCAATTAAATGTTGAACTCTTTTGCAATAGTTCATAAATAGGTTTTAATTTTGTAGATAACATTGGTATAAATTTAGCATAATAATTAACCATGCCTATCCAAGATCTTACTTCTGAAATATTTTGGGGTGGGGGTGCTTTAATTATACTATCTAAATGTGAAATATCTTTTTTTAACCCTTCTCCTGAAATAATATGGCCTAAATACCTTATCTCCTTTTGAAAAAATATACATTTGTTTTTGTTAAGTCTTATGCCTGCATCCTTAAAACGTTTTAAAACCTCTCTTAAATTCTGAAGATGCTCAAGGTCATTGGCACCCGTAACCACTACATCATCAATAAAATTGACTACCCCTTTAGCTCCTAGCAAAGTTTTCTCAAGTTTTGATTGAAATATAGCACTAGCTGGCTTAGTACCATACGGTAATCTATTTAATTTATAAATACCTTTTGATGTAGACCAAGCTAACAGTTTTCCTGTAGCTTCATCTAATATTAAATAATTAAAAGCATTTCGAAGATCTAATCTACTATAATTCTGACCTCCCTGCAGAGCTGTAAATATTTCTTCAATTCTAGGTATTGGGTGATTTACATCTTTTAAATA